GAGCATTGTATTTGTTGCAGGATGATACAAGTACCTGATATCAACCTTATATAAGCATAGACAGTTTTGTCCTGAGTCGATGGTCAATTACCTTTAAGCAATTGACCATTATACTCAGTCTAGCCTATTATCCACTGCATAAAAGTAACCTGCCTACAACAGGTTATGGGCCCTGTGCTTTAAGGCCTATTTCAAGTTTTTTTCCTTCACATCTTGCCTGTGCCCTGTTATCTCTCTATCAGTCACTTCACTACTGAAACAATATCACCATATACATTATGCCATCCTTTGACACAATCAAAAAAGGCTTTAACAATCTAAATGCCTCCAACTATAGTGAGTGGAAAGAAAACATGTCAGTCTTACTCAAAACTCACTACAAGTATCTTATCACCATTGGCCATGACCCTGAACCGGAGTTTGCAGACCTCAAGAAGCCAATATACCAGGAGAGAAAGGACTGGAAGAACTGAAAGGAAACTCAGGTATCGGCTGCTGGCACAATCTACTTTTGCCTTGATGAATCCCAGAAGGCTCATGTCAAGAACTGTCTTGACAATCCAGAGAGGATGTGGGATACATTAAAGGCATACCATCAGCAAAGAAAACTAGCAACTTGATTTATAGCCTATGACAGCTTCTTCAATCTCAAGAAGGAGACAGAAGAATCACTTTCAGACCTTGCCAGTCAGGACACTCAAATCATGAGTCATATCCGTGCTCTGCATCCTGCTCATTTTGGCCTCCAGCAATTAGAAGAAGAGCTTCTCATTATGGCTCTGATTCATGCACTTCCTCAGCCCAAATTTGGAAACTTTGTCATATCACTATTTCTTCTCTCCGATAAACTCACTTCCAAAGGACTCCACACTGCATTTCACAATAAAGAAAACAATCAGAAGCTGCATGCTGGTGATTCAGCAGTCTCTGTCGCTCTCAAAGCCACACCTTTTCATTCAGCCACAAATTGGGCTACCAATGCTGCTGCAAAATGTGGATGGTGCCTTCATAAGAATCATGTAGAAGAAGAATATATAATCAAGAAGTTTTCACTTAAATGGGACTGTGAATGTGCTGCTGACTATACTACTGGAAAGCATCATCATAAGAGGGCTGAAAAGAAGGACTCGAAAGCTGCTAACTCTGCTGAGATGAAAGAGGAGACTGCTAGCCAAGCAAGTACTGATTTATCATCACTTGCTGTGTCTTATTGGAATACCGATACAGGTGCTTCTCATCATATGACCCCTCACTGACAATAGTTCCAACTCTATGCTTCACATGTCATTCCCATTTGTCTTGCAGACAATTCAGTCATTTATTCAGCAGGGATTGGGTCAGTAGTATTGGAGTCAGAGATTCAGGGGAAGAAAGGCTCAGTGGTGGAACTTCTTGACACATTACATGTACCAGCATTGAAAAGTAATCTCTTATCGCTCTATCATCTTACATGAGAAAAGGGATTTAGGATCTCAATTGCTGGATCAGATGTCACTTTCAGCCAGGGTGAAAAGATCCGATTCACAGCAACTGTAAATGAGAGCAATATTGGTTATATCAATGCTACCACACATTTGTTCTCAAAATCAACCACTATCATTGCAAACTCAAGCTCTACAAGTATCTGCCAGATGGACAACACACTTTAGCACAGATATTGCTGTCATCGAAACATGGACACTATACAGCACATGCATACAAAGCAGCTAGTAACTGAAATGAAGTGAGAGTCAGGTCCCTCAACTGATCCTATCTGCATACCATGCTTTGCTGGCAAACAGCATTGCCACAATGTTCCTTGTGGTCCTTCAGAGTGGAAGAAACACCTTCTTAAGTGAGTATACAGTGATATCAAAGGTCCAATACCTGTCACAACTCCAGAGGGCTATCACTACTGGATAACATTCATCTGCAGTGCATCTGACACTTGAGCTGTTGCACCTCTGAAGTATAAAAGTGATGCCTTTAATGCCTTCAAGCAGTTCAAAGCATATGCAGAGAATATCCATCCAGAACTCAAAATCATTGAGTTTCAGGAAGATAAAAGCAGTGAATATATAGGAAAGGAGTTTGTCAACTTCTGTGCTGAGCATAAGATCAAAAGATGACATACTGAACCCAATGAACCATACCAGAATAGCACAGCAGAACAAGCCAACCACACAATTGCAGAGGCCATCACTGCCATGCTAAATGAGTCACATCTCTCATCATCATTTTGGAACCTCACTCTCTGAGTATTCATTCATGTCTAAAATCGCATTCCCACAGATCCTCTTCCAAACACCACACCCTTCACAGAATGGGACCCAAATCACCAAAAACCAGATATATCCCACTTTCACGTGTTTGGATGTCTTGCATATGTACTAGTATGAAAAAAGAGATGTCAAGCATTAGAGTCACACACCCAAAAATGTATCTTTATTAGATATCCAGAGGGAGTAAAAGGCTGGCTATTCTAGAACCCATCTACACAGTGGTTCATCACCTCCAGCCATGCTGTATTCGATGAGCATGTATTTTCTAGAAATCACAAAAATATTATAAATCCTCTTGGTGATGATACATCTCCCACAAACAGACATAACAGCACAGATACTGCTATACCTGATGCAGCGATGCCTCATTAAGAGGAAGAGAACATACCTACTGATAAGCTATCTCCACCATTTGAGCAACTCCCATTATCATCATCATCACCATCCTCACCAGCTCCATCCACTCTATCAAATATGCAAACACCTCCAGAATCACCTCTTACTCCACTATCAAGTCTTCCGACATCTCCTACACTCTCTTCACCACTTTTACATCCTCAGGCATGCTTCGAGCTACAATACAACTCTAAAGATCTTATAATCCCATCTCCAAACACTGGACATGGTTTTCACTGTAAACATTCTGGCACTAATGCGATGAACTCACTAGACTCAGATAAACCCCTTTCTGATCCCATTGATGAAACCACTGCTGAGCCAGAGCTTACTGAGACAGATGTTGTCACAGGAATGACCTTTGTATTGCATGATGATGACTATATTACATATACAGAAGCTTTTGAGCTTGCATTTCAGACAGCAGTAGAGATGGCAAACCAAGCATCTGCACCCAACAATAAACCAAAGACACTTGCAGAGGCGATGACTTGGCCAGGAGAGGAAAGTGAAAAATAGTATGAGGCAGCTCAGCAGGAATTGAATGCACTGCAGGAGAGTGGCACCTTTGAGCTTGTGAAGCTCCCTCCAGGGCAAAAGGCTATAAGTGGGAAATGGATCTTCAAAGTGAAGTGTAACCCTGATGGATCCATTGAATGCTACAAGGCATGCTATGTTGCAAAAGGGTACTCACAGCGGCCAGGTTTTGACTACACTGAAACCTTCTCTCCTACTTCAAAATGGGCAGCTATCCAAACAGTCCTCGCTCTTGCTGCACTTGAGGACCTAGAGCTCTGCAGTGTAGATATCTCATCAGCATTTCTGAATGGTGATCTAAAAGAGGAGGTATACCTTCAACAACCAGAGGGATTCAAGACAAAGGACAAGAGCTGAGTGCTTCATCTCTTCAAGTCCATCTATAGACTGAAGCAGGCTGGACATGAATGGCACAAAAAGCTCCACAGCGCTATGACCAAGATGGGCTTTAACAGAGTATGCTGTGAACACAGCATATGGGTGTACAAGAGAGATGATGCTTGGATTATTGTTCCAGTGTTTGTCAACAATGTAACAATTGCTGCAAAGTCTATGGAGTCTGCACAACATGTTGTTGATGATCTCAAAAAGCACTTCAAACTTCATGATCTAGGTCCAACTTCATTCCTTCTTGGTGTCGAAATACACAGAGACTGTCTAAACCAAACACTCACACTCTCTCAACCACAGTACATCCTAAAAATCCTAGAATGTACCGGAATGTCCAACTGTAACAGTGTCAGTACTCCTCTCGATCCACACACTAAGCTATCCAGCTCAATGTCCCCTGCTACTCCAGAGGAATGGGAAACCATGTGGCACATCCCATATCTCCAAATCCTTGGCTCTGTAGCATATCTGGCCATCACCACTCATCCTGACATAGCTTTTGCAGTCAGTGTCCTATCACATTTCAGCAAAAACCCTGGATTGAGGCATTGGGAGGCCCTGAAATGCCTCCTCAGATACATAAAGGGAACAATCGACCTAAAATTGACATATTTACCTGATGCTACAAACCCAGACCTGTTCAAAACATACACAGATGCAGATCATGGTGGAAACCCAGACAATGGGTGCTCGACCTCAGGATATGTTGTCAAGATGGGCACAGGTGCAGTCAGCTGGATGAGTCGGCTACAATCTATAGTAACCTTATCGACCACAGAGGCTGAATATGTGGCTGCCATCTCTGCTGGACAGGAAATTCTGTGGCTGCGAAACCTGTTCACAGAATTTGACTTCCATCATCTGTCGCCATCGCCACTGCTGATTGACAACCAGTCTGCTCTCTCTGTTGCTCGCAATCCTGATCATCACGGTCATGTCAAACATCTTGACCTCTGCTTCTACTGGTTACAAGACAAGGTTGAGCGGGGGCACATACATATTGAATATCTTCACACAGAAGACATGCCTGCTGACATCTTCACAAAGGCCTTAGGGAAGGAGAAGATGACTCACATGATCAGGCTGTTGGGTCTTGAACTCTGAGAAGTATTGTGTCGAGGGGGAGTGTTGCGGGACGACACAAGTACCTGATATCAACCTTATATAAGCATAGACAGTTTTGTCCTGAGTCGACGGTCAATTGCCTTTAAGCAATTGACCGTCGTACTCAGTCTGGCCTATTATCCACTGCATAAAAGTAACCTGCCTGCAACAGTATTGACAAGGATTCAATGGAGGCATCTGTGGGATAGCCTATTATCTGGGTTGTATTTGCTTGAATGACTTTCGTGGGTACGCCATATAGAAATTCTGCAAGATATAGCATGTCTTAGAAAGGGGGCATTGCATTTTGAATTAGGGCCTACCAGTATTACTCTCAATGCCGTTTAACGCTGTAAGGTGTATTAGATTAGGCAATGGTCCGGTGGCCATATAAACACATACTCATCATCATGTTGACTCGGCCAATAACGTCTGGCGACACCGCCGAGCTATTTCCTGAAGCCACTATAGACCAAGGCTGCAGTAATCTACATATCACCAGAAATCAGGTTACTGAGGCTCTCATTTCTCGCGAAATCACTTACCCAGCAATAAATTCCTCGAAGGCATCAAACAACTCCGCAGGTTGATGTGCATCTACGCACAGAACTATGGTAGTAAAGGTAAGAATGTATGGGATAAGCATGGCAGGGTGGATGCGAAGAAGGAAAACAAGATAATTTCAGAGGGAAATGGAACGCATTTCAGAGTCGCCGTGCACTGTCTTGAGGGCTGGTGCCCTGGGGAGGAGTAACAATCAAATTATACGACGCAGGGGCATATAAAACATGTCGCTGAGACGATTCGTTAGCATTACCTGTAGTTCCCGGTGACAGGGATCAAAGCCAATCTGCAAGGCAACACAATTCCCCGCGATCTATTGAACCACAATCACATCGTTTGTGTTTGATGTCCTTCTGTGGTCATCTGAAGGTAAGACGACGAAAGTGTGAAACATCAAATGATGGCTCGGTCTACGTGCCATCTTGAGATTATCTGATGGGCCGGCGAAAACTTTGCGTACCTAGGTTTGCTATCACGGAAAGACCGCCAGCAAGACATGTCGCCACGTACATAGTCTTAGCACTGACTTGCATTTACAATACTTGCTGAGATTTTCATGTCAGAGCCAAATTAGAGGGCCCTTTAGGTTCGCCTCCATCTCATTCAACATAGTACATTCTTCACAAAGTCGCAATTATTGCCAAATTTCAGGTGAATAGCTGAAAAATACACGCTCTAGACGAACGAATCGTTAGTAATAATGTCAAGCATTCCCCCCGGTCTGCTATAAAGAAAGCTCACTGGACCGAAGTAGTGACATGGCTCGTTGATCACGCGTCGTGGGAAAATATGACGCGAGGCTTCGCATGACCTGTTTCGTTTCTTCGACTCTTGCCCTCATCCGAGTCATCGACCAATCGTGGGGCCAGCGCTCTGCTTTGATACCCCAAGGGCTGGCAAGCACCAATAGCAGCAGTACCCGGTAGGGCCTACGTCGACTGAACAGGTATTGCTTCAGGAAACGAAATGCTTTAGAATTACTCACATTTGTTCAGATACACCAGTTGAGAGGCCTCTGCAGCGTTATACATGGTCGTCTTGCTAGTTTTCTCTAATCCTTGCGAGTCACATGCTCGCTTGAGGGCTGCGAGAGCGGTATTCCATTCAGTTCTATAACCAGACTTATTGGACGTTCATGGTGCAGGCTCACAACACTTGCTTTCTCTAAAGGGACGATGCCTTCTGACGACTTTCTCTACACATTTGATCAAACGCCAACATTAGAAGAGGTGGTGCTCATCGATATAGGGCCCGACGTGATCACGGACGAATTGCTCTCGACGCTCATGTGTCGTGGAAGCGATCATAAGCACTTACTTCCGGACGTATGCGCTCGGCTCGTCGAAAGAGAGCGGGTTGCCTTCCGAGCTGTTTTTAGCGACTCGCGCCATTATGTTCCGAAGGACTTGAAGTAGCCATTACGATGCAACCGGCCCTGGGAGCGAGGGCGAGGAAGAAGGTGATCATGAAGAGGGAGATGACGACGACGCAGAAAACTCGAGGGACGAATAAATTTCTTTCTCAGGTCAGTTCCTTCGATTTGCCTTAATCTGAAGCTTACCTTCTTCCAGGATGATCTCTTCTCCTTAGCTGAGTTGCCCATCGTGACTGGCCATCCGCAAGCTACAAGTGCATACGTGCTTTTCTCATGCTTGCTTTGCTTTTTTTACGATTACTATGCGTACTATCGAATACTATATCAATGAACAGAATTTGTTGTTTTTCTGCTTATCGCTGCATCTATGCCTCCAATGGAATGAACTCGGACGAGAATATGAATGCTTATTGCAAGCTGACTCTGATTCATATGAGACTAGTTGTAGCATAAAAAATGAGAGGAAGAAAAATGTGGCGCGAACTCAAGGACAGTGCTCGACGACCAGCTGGCTAGACGGAGAAAAGAAACAAACATGCTCTACATATACACAATTTCCGTCTCTCTCAACCATTTTAATAGATTATTTTTGAGGGATGCTGGTTTTTTTTTGTGCGCCTCTTGAGGGTCGAACGCAGTGGTCAGGACTGAAGCCGGTAATACAGCCTTCTTCCACCTATCACGACTTCGCCAGCATGCAAGGTCAACGCTCGCCGCTCGTCGTTCAGCGCTCAGCGCTCAGCCTTCGAGAAAAGGCTTTGCATGCTCTCTGTTTACTCTAGACGCACAGGATATCGCCGCGCCCAGGAGAAGGTAGGTCGCTTGATTCCTTTGAGCAAAGATCAGCATATTGTCGACGAGGATATTAACCCGGAGAGCCATCTAGGCGTCGTCGTGGGGAAGGGTCGATAACTCTTATCATGGGCGAAAAAATCCAAAATAATGTTCACGCGTAACCGAATGCCTGCAGGACCGACAGGGTGCCTAGCTAGGTCCGCCGTAGTTATTGGAGGGATTATTGTTGGCCATCATCAAAGATAAAGCAGCGGTAGGTATGAATCCAGTCCCAGTCCATTCCCGATGCTAAAAGAATCCCTTGAAGACAAATTTCGTCATTATCAACACCTTGGCAGAGAAGATAGCTCGTCTCGCAGTTGGGCGTAGCGCCGCGCAGCAGGACCATGCGGATATCCGGAGTCGACTTAATAATGAGGTTCACCACATGATAGATCAGGAGTATGGCTGTATAAATAAATACCTTAAGTTGGTCAGTTCATTTTTGACCGCTCTGCTAAATTCCCTTCAACCATGATAATAGCAGAGGATACCCCAGAGTCCCCTACAAAGACAGTCCCTGCCAACCTACCATTGCAGTACTCGACGCCCCCGCCAGCTTACGGATCGACCACTTCGAACGTCCCAATACACGTCGTTCCAGAACATCCAAGACCTTTATTCCCACAAGAACCTCCCTGCCGAAGATCGCCGGCGAAGCGGTTCTGCAAGGCCTTTTGCGTGGCCATCTTGATCTGGTTTCTCGTCGCAATGTTCACGTCGAGCATCACGAATGCGGGCGGGTTTTACCACGGGGGAGGAGTAAGCCCCATTTCCATCTACTTGTGCCCAAGAAACCTGATCCGATTCCTTACCTTAGTATTGGCAAGATGTCCGAGTCTTTGATTCTGACTTCCCCATCCCCGATGGCTACACCGTTCGTGAATGCATTCGAGGACAAAACTGGACATCCACAGGATCTGAGGGTGCGGTGCCCACTGGTCAACGTCATTCCGCACACAAATTGTTCGACCTGCCTTTGAACTCGGAGACCCTTTTCCTGCTTTCCCAGGGCTCGTTGTCTTCCGGTGTCGTTAAAATCGTGACCTCTCCGAGTATCACGGATGTTGTCAGGATCGATGTTACGATGCAGTATTACAACAATCGGGTTTTGGACTATGCCAAGGTGTGTCTCTTGCAGCGGCAGGCGGGCGAAAATGGCGTAGGCGTCTTCGTATGTGTTATCTCCCTTTTCTCTCTCCCTTTTGTCCTGACCTTTGCATAGACTCCTCGGTGGTTCAATAATCCCTCTTATCAAGATCGTCCGCACTTTGATATCACCGTTGTCATTCCCGAGCCATCGAGCTCTTCTGCATCCAACATCAAGAATTTCGAGACTGATGTCCCGAATTTTGCTCAAATACTCCAAGATCTCGAGAACCATGTTCATTTTGGCAAGATCTTTTTGAAGGGTACTAACGCGCCGATTCAGGTAGAGGTAAGCATGATATCATGCTGTATTGATTGGAGCGTAATCTGATGGTTTTTTTAGTCGCTCGAGTTTGATTACGGGAGAATTATAACATCCAACTCTCCGATTCAAATCAATGTAAGCGCAGGATCTTTGCTGTGTCCTCTTCCATTGACCCCATTACTAGTCTCTCGACGCTCTTGGCGCTGAAGTGCATACGTCCAATGGCCCCATCAAAGGCTTTTTCGTTGCTTCCGGTAACCTTGTCCTGAAGACATCGAATGCGCCTATGCGTGTTGATGTAGACTTGGGAGATATGGATGTGACAAGGTCGACGCTGGAGCTTAGCACGAGCAACAAGTAAATTTGCACTCTTTTCGTTCATGTCCTTGTCAACTCACCATACCGCATTTCTAGCCTCGTTGAAGCCGGCATCAAGCTGTCCAGTCCATCTAGCGACGTCTCTGCGCACACCTCGAATGGGCCTCTTCGAGTCCAGGTCCTCGAGTCTCCAGTAGACTCAACAGTAATATTCAACGCTCGGACGTCGAATGCATTCGCTGAGGTCGGGCTGCCCCCGACGTATGAAGGCACGTTTTCTCTGTCGACATCGCATATGCAGCCGTCGTTGCTTGTGGAGGAGACATCCGACCCGGCATGGCGGGGCAGGCACAGGACGGTAAAGCAGAACACGGTGAGGAGAGGCGAGACTATCGGGGAAGTCTATTGGGATGAGAGGAACAGGGTTCGTGGGACGGCGACGGTGCGGTCGTCGAATGGGCCTGTTTCGTTGAAGCTTTGAGTTTACGATTTCTGATGATCTCTGGTTCCTTCCTTGTTGTACAACTAAGATGTATTATTGTATTAGAGACATTGTAGTTCTATCTCAATTACTTCTGCACAGTTCTATTCTTATTGCGGTGGGTCCGCGTTTGTGGGTGACTTGGATTTTTTTTGGGAGGAATACGTCCATCGCGACTGGGTATAAGATTCTAGACTCTCGGCCCCTAGCTAGGCTTAGTGCCGGAACTGCCCGATAGTCGTCCTTTACGTCAGTTCTCGAATTGAAGTTCCTTCATCCCTTGTTAGACGCTACAATCCTCTGTTATCTGCTGTTGCTGGCGTTCTGGTATATGTAACATATATGCCTTCGCTGACGTCCGAGTCTCTGAGACGCATCTTGCCGTGGGGACGTCGACCAAGAGTGACAGTTGACACCAAGAAATAACTGTCTGTCTGTTCCCGGCCTCAGCGGTTTGCTCTAGATTTTGGGGTATCCCCACCAATTTTTCCCGCCTGTCAGCTCATTGAATGGCCTTGCGGCGTCGCTCAATAAATGATATTCCTGAATTACCGCCGCTCTATAATAGCTGGCCAGTGCAGATGTATAGGCGGATCAATACGCGATCGACGCCAAGGCTCGGCCTGGCGACAATCATGGAACACAACAATGACGTCACTTGTCAATGACCGCTGGTATTTATGGGGCCTGCATTTTACACTCCTATCCATTTCGCATCCTCCCAGCCTTCCATGTTCTCAATACATCTCTTGGTCTCTTTCCTGAAACTTTGAACACAAATTATCCACCAGCCCGTACGTTTCCTGCTGTCTGTCTCTGCATGAAATTCACGATATCAGTAACTTTACAGGCTTTCACACCTTGGGTGCAGACATGATCCGTTTCGACAGCATCCCATTCGAAATCCAGCAGGCCCTGTGCACTCCAATGCACCGGATCCTGACGCCCACCCCACTACTCAAAGATCCCTCAAAGATCACCGGTTCGCTATACTTGGGCTCTCTAACCGCCGTGTGCGAGAAAGACCTCCTTCGAGAGCACCACATCACCCATCTCGTTCAAGTTCTAGACGTACCCTGGCTCCCAGTCTCAGAGAAGGACGGTTTCAACTGCTATCGCATCGATATCCTAGACCAGGCTTCCTCAGACCTCAGGCCCCACCTCGAAGACGCGTGCAATTATATTGACAAAGCCCTCCGGGGCGGGAAGAACGTTCTCGTTCATTGTCAGCAGGTTCGTCCAAGAGCATACATTGTAGTGCAACGGGTTTTCACATGTGTAATGACAGGGTATATCTCGGAGCGCGTCGATTGTTATTGCGTTTCTGATTCGCAATCGGGGAATGTCATATGAAAGTGCTTATTCGCTGGTGAGACATGAGCGGCCGTGTATCAAGCCAAATCCGGGATTCGTTCAGGCCCTGAAGGAATGGGAAGGGCTTTGGCGTCGTCCTCCTCCTGGTCGACGATTTACTTCATGATGACGGTTGGAGAGCGGCGGCATTGACCGCACTAGGACTTGATGTCAGTCCTTTCACCAATGCTCGACACCTGGTGAAAGATACTCAGGACCGTTGCCTATACAAGATGCATTCGTATGTAGCATTACCAACTTTTCAGGTCTATCTGAAAATGGACACGCCAGGACGGCGCGCATAGTTTCCCAATCTCTTGTCTTATGCATTCTAGCACTGCAGATACCTCCAATGCATGTATATCATCTCTGTCTCATTACTTTGACCTAGTCACTTGACGTCAACTGTAGATGCACACTGAGCTCCATCGTCGGCTCACGGTGCAATATCCGACCATCAATGTTCATCTTATTCTCTGAAATGGTCTCATGCATAAATCCGCCTCTCTTCCTCCGATATCTTTCTGTACTAGAAGCGGAACGTCACACCACCCTCAAACATGTCCCTCTTGAAATGGAGCTATGGGCTTGGAGCGATTGATGCCTCTGCGACGGAACAGTGGAGCAAAAGACAGTCACTCCTTACTGACACCTGTCACCAGATTATGCCATGGCAACATCGTTTAGTGAGAAAAGTGTTGGGCTCGTTCGTCAGTCTCCGCGCGCAGATGAATCCACACGAATATAATTCCAACTTTCGTGTTAATCCGATACATGTATGTAACAATTTCAATAAATTTGAGAAAAAGTAACCAAGTAAGAAGCGACACTAAGCATCCTATGTACTATGCGGTGTTCGAAGATTAAAAGAGGGGTATCTACTGAACAACTTGGATCCTTAGAGGCTCAAAGAGTCCAAAATACTATCCAAACTGAGGGACTCCAAGAGGCTAGTAACACTGGCACCGAAAAACATCTCGAGTTATTGTCATGAAAAGATAAACTCCGGGCGAACGTATCTCATGCTTTAACAAGCCTCGCTTCCTCCGATATCTTTTTGTACCATAGATGCAGAACGTTATACCACCTTCAAACCTGTCCCCCTTGACATAGAATTATGGACTTGGAGCGATTGGTGCCTCTGTGACGGAACAGTGGGGCACAGACGGTCACTCCTTACCAAACTCTGTCCTTATCTTGACACCCGTCACCAGATTATGCCATGGCAACATCGTTTAGTGAGAAAAGTATTGGACTCGTTCGTCAGTCTCCGCGCGCAGATGAAATGAATCCACACGAATATATTTCCAACTTTCGCGTTAATGCGACGGGTGTGTATGTATGGACAAAATGTAATGAAGTAAGAAGCGACACTTAATATCCTATGTACTACGCGGTGTTCAAAGATTAAAAGAGGGGTATCTACCCTTAGAGGTTCAGGGAGCCCAGGATGCTACCCAAACCGAGGGGCTCCAAGAGGCTAGTAACACTGGTGCTGAAAAGAATCTTGAGTTATTGTTCTGATACGATAACGTCCGGGCGAACGTACAGGCTAGAGATGCCAGGGACTGTGGTATCCGCTTCACTGATAACCTGGCTCAAGGAGGTATCGACGCTCGAGAGGAGTCCTCCAAGTGAAGGGACATCATCAGCGACGCTGAGGAGGCCGCTGAAGGTTTGGGTCATGTCCTAAAAATGATTCCTTGAGGATCATCAATATAATAAAAGTGTACAAGGCTTACAGTGGCAGTCTCAGTGACAGGACTAGAAACCTCATCTTCCGTTCCTCCCAGTACCGTCAGGCCGGAAAGTGAAGACGTGGCGTCATCGAGAGCAGAGACGACGTCCTGAATCAGAGGGGTGACAGTATCGTCGCTGGCGGTAGCAGAAGAGACGAGGGTATCTGCAATTTGAGAGATAAACACAAATATTTAACAAGGTAGAAATAAAATGACGGACCAATCTCAGGCAAGACAGCGCTCAAAGCGGATTGGAGCGTCGTGAGGACATCAGAGATAGACGATTCCTGTCGTTTGGCGGGGAAAGGCACGGACGCAACCAGTGTGGAGAAGAGAGCGACGAAGAAAAAGATAGTCAGGCGCGAAGCAACCATTGTCGGTGAGAAAGCGAGTGTGAGTTAAATTTAAAATCCTGTGGGAGTGAGGATGGGAAGAGACGCAGCGAAGAAAGGCTTTCTTATACTCCAAAGAGGATTCCAGGCTGTGTGTATCAAGGGTCGGAAGAAAGTCTTCTAATTGTCACTGAATCGTTCCGTCCGGCAAGGTCAATATCACAGAAAGATTTAGAGCAAAGCACCAAATATTCTGCTGAGGATCCGCAAATACAAATAGCCTTAATTATTCTCATGATACAGTGGAGCCGATGGGATTCTGATCAAGGGCACATCGCGAAAACATGAAGATTTCAGGATCATTGAAGCTTCTAGCGTCGAACTTGAAAGCGACGACTGCTCTTCAAGACGGCCCGGAATAGATGCTTCTGATGAACAGCCTACGTAGCAACGCCAAAAATTGTCATAATCCATCGGCTCACGAGGAAGACAAAGGTGAGTCGCACTACGGATCGCTGAGAGTTTCGAATAATAGGACCTACAATCGAAATTGATGAAAGACGGAATAAAATAATGATATAGGAAATGACAATGGAAATGCGTATGGTTAAGTACACGTAGCGTCACGAGCCATTCATGAACCGATCCCACCTTCTCTTACACGAACTTCCATCATAGTCTGCAAAGAACATCAAACCTGAAATTAATTAACAGCGGAACTATTGACATACCGAAACTATGTTTCTGATCACATGAGCACCGGCCTTTGACCCATATATCCTCGGAAAGAGGACAGTGGCTCCAGTCATCATGCTGGTATCCGATCTCTTCGAAAAAATGTATCTGATCCTTTCGGAGGAAAAGCGAAACCGCGATGCTGTGGATAGGCGCGTCGCCCCAGCGCTGTTACATAATACTAAGTTCTGAGGCAACGAAGAAGTGGGAAAGAGCACACTTCGTAATAGAACCCGCCGATCTTATCCAAATGTTCGAAAAAGTCAGTGTAAGCAGGCCCACGCCAAAAATCCATGTCAGCTATCTCGAAATTACTCCAAACTTGAATAGTTTAGTAAGCGATACGGGAGAGGAAATAGTTGGACTGACAATGGCAAGTGTTATATGTCTTGCCACGGTTTCCTGAGAGAAAACCCATAGAGTTGTCTTCTGCGATGTGTTCAGGGTGTTGAGAGATGAAGTCTGCAATAGTTTAACACAATTAAGGGAAAATGAAACCACAGAAAGAGCAACAGACCTGTGACGTGCCCCCATAGTGACCGAATGGAGGCAGCGATCTCATATACGGTAATAGTAAAGCCGTATACTTTATTGTTCTCCTCCATGAATAAGAAGGGATCATTCAAGATATTGCAGTGGAATTGAACATTCGGCCTAAGCAAATAAGACGAGAATTTCGATATAAAGGGAGTACGCACTCGATACGCCAGTACCAGCGGTATTTTTGCATTAGAGGATGTTTGAAGAAGAACTGATCCGTAGATCAGACGGGGTGTCAAAATGAAGAATGAAAGAGACGTACTCCCGAGTTGAATCGACACATATTTCGATAACTAGACGAAGGTGAGATCAGAAACCTGGCGAAATAGAACGAACCTACGATACACTATCTGCAGCACCTGTAAGCTAGTGAAACACTCGGTAGATTGCGGGTGCGCACCTCCATATTTCACTTTCGCTGCTACCAAAGATTTCCTTGCCTCCGTCGCCTTGTTCTCGTCTATCCAATCTGGCTGGTTCCAATGGTCGCTCGGTATAACACCAAATGCTGCATTGAATCCTGTCAGTACAGACATTCGTCTGGCCAAAACCAGTTAGATGAGAAGCAAACCAGGCAAGCTGGGTTTTACCTTTTGAACTCGCTCGAAAATTCAACATCGTTCAAAAAGACATACGGATACCCATGGCGCGTATTGAACCGGTCTTCGATTGCACGAATAGCTCGCATGGCACCGTCAAGGTCAGAGTTCCTTGCAAGCATTACGAATGTCGCGTTGGCCAGCCGTGGCCCGGACGACTGCGATTCTGGGCTTGGATTTGGCCGTGGAGTGTAGGAGCTGGACGTCGACTCGTCATCATAGTAGGGAAAGTCGTCGTCGCCACCTCGAAATTTCGAGGCGATATTCGAGAAAGCGGTAGCTTGGCGATACTCATCGTGGATGAAAGAGAGGGTGTAGTGCACGCCTACCTTGGGAACATCAGCGACCAGCTTACAGAAGACATTGAAGGAGCATACAAGGACCGCTAGGATAAGGATAGCGTATCGAGCCAGGCGGGACATTATCTTGACCAGTGGTGGTGGTGGTCGAAGGGAAAGAGACAGTCAGAAGGCGTCCGCAGTCGCATCTGTGTCAGCATGCTCTTAGCTTCTTACCATGATCGCGACTTTCCACAAAAGCTTTACTAGCCAAGACGTCTCTGTCAAGAATTACCGATATGGTAGAGATAGGAATATTGTCATCAAAGCGATAGACTAGGTTTATCGCCTCAATGCGCCTGAAAGCTCAGTGCTGCATGCGTAACATTGGCAAGGTCGCTCTTCTCCAAGCGCTGTATTTCTCGATCAAAGACGAGGAATCTGTGTGATCTTGTTTCGTGATTGTTTAGGGCCTAATGGTTATCTTCATTACGCAGGGCTGTAATCTGTTGTCTTTCGTAACAGTGGCGGCACTGATCTCAATTCTCCATCGTCCACGTGCAACAAGCAACGCCTAGCAATGGACCGGGGAAGGTTCGTTCTACGTTGACAGAAACATGGAAATCCGGCAGCTTCTACGACAAAATCAAGGAGAATGTAGTTCTCGGTCTGCATATGTTCGTGATACTGGATATACAGGTCAAGAGGTAGTGAGTGTTTTCACTTTGTAATATTCTCATCTAAATCTTTGCATCAGCGACTTCGGAAAATCAACGAAGCCCACGCTGTACACTAGGTCAAGATGACAAGCTGTCTCTCAACTCAGAGATCGAGTCTCTAGAGCGGGACTTACAGTCACACTTTCTCTCGCTTAATGACTTCATCACCTCGAGGTTGAGTATGCTCAAGATTTTGCTATTGATCTCGAGTACGATCTATGGCGTTTTGGATTTATGGGCAGCAGCTTCTCAGCGGAGTCAACACTACAGAACATCCTTTGCCATGGGTAGGGTATACGACGTCGAGGTCGAATGTGAATTATATCACCATATGATGAATGAAGCGTCAGAAGTGAGTTCTAAGTACGATTCTGTCGGCATTCTGTACAGTTACGTTTTAGCTTTCAGATTGCACACGAGAAAAAAAACTACCTTGTATGTATAGCTACAGGGGAGCTAGTGACTTTAAATCATCGGAATGACCTCTCGCACATACTGCTTTATACCAATCTAAGAACAGGTTTTCAAGCATTTCCCGCTTTGAATGGGTTAAGTGGCCATAGTCAACAATGCGCAAGAAACTGCTCTATAGGTGCGGCGAAAAGGCAGTATTAGGCTGCACGCCCCGAAAGATGTCCTACATGATTGTGCAATAGTATGCAAGTTCGTCCGAGTCCTCCACTCATTCCAGGCCTACATTGCCACACAAGCGTCGATTATCCCACACTGGGCATATACGTGAGCCTTCCCAGTCTAATAACCCCACGACTTTGCTTGGATTGTCAGCCGAGACAACAATATTCGCCAATTGAAAGTCATCGTGAAACAAAACGTAAGGATTGTCGGGGGGGTCTAGAATGTCATCTTGCAAACCACTGATACCCTCAGCCAACAGAGAAAGCCAATTCTGGGCATCCTCGAGCGATGTGTCCTCCAAGCCGCCACAATATTTTCCGACCTCCCTCTGCTTCTGCCAGTCTTGAGGACGCTCTTGTACGAATTTCAATTCTGCATATACATTTGCCAGCATGTAGTCCTTCGTGGACTTGAAAGGTCCACAGTCAGGGCCAAGTAGGGACGGACGCGTGCATGAATGGCTGAGTGGACCGACAGTTCCTGCTTCATCAAGAAGAGACCCGATAAAAGGAAACTCCAGTTTCAGCAGCTCAGCTTGAAATCCAAACAATTGACGGGCGACTTTCTCGCGGCTCTCGCGCTGTAAATTATACCAGACTTCCCCTAGGGAAGAGCCGACAATCTACAAGGGGTGTATATAAAAGCATTCAGTAAGATAATAGATGCAGCTAGCCTACCCTGTCTGTGAGCATGAAACGCGTCCCAACAGCATTGGTCGCGTCAAATTCGGCTAGATGGACATGTGGAACAGAAGTATGGGCTTTGACGGATTGCATAGTGGCCACCTGTGGATATATCAATATAATAAGCAGACATGGTACTTGAAGGACACACCTCAGACTTCGTACGGTATGCTAGGATTTCGTTGGGCTCGCCGCCATCTTGTCCGGAACGGCTGCCACTCAGGCGAGCAATAAGTTCTTGTCCGTCCTCAAACGATAGAACAAATACCTTGGAAAATATCATCGATTTCTGTATCTACTCTGTTATATATTTCATAATATGGATGTACTCACTGTATTGTGTCGCCTTGTGCGATGGCTTCGTAACCAGTGCACTGGACACCTCGATGTTCTGATGCTCTTTGCTGAAGGGCGTCGAAGTTGAATTTAGAAATAGACGCATGGTAAAGATCAAGAATGTTCATTGCCGAGAAAATCCATGACCACTTCAACTTGAAAAGCTCGTCGCACCATCACTGCTGGGACCGGTACATTTTCTCAGCAGAAAAATAAGACCTGAAAATGTTGCGACATTTCATTCAATTTTACAATAGTAAAAATGAGTTCAGTAAAATGAGTTGATAAATGAGATCATTTCCATATTCTTTTCGGTAAAGGAAAACAGCAGGGAAAATTGAATTGAAAAAGGCATCCCTCACTGCCAGAACAAAGGAAACTACTCTTCATTTTCAGAAAAGAGTTTGTTTTTGGCATATAAAAAGAGTGCCAAAAATAGCAAGTTTTCATCATGTTTTCCTTATCCCGTTTTTGCAGCATATAAAGGTAATTGAAAGTCACAACATTTTCAGAATGTCTGTGCTGAAAAGGAACTGGCCCCAGCAGTGCATGTACTTTTTTTCCAATTTTTTTTTCTATTTCCGATAACGATCATGTGGTACCTCCTTCTTGATCCTGGACACCAACCAATAACCATGTCACTGTATCATACACATGCATTAACTGTTGAATAAGGGAGTAGATTACCAAGTGACAGGAAACCCTTGAAGGCAAATGCACAAGGGTGTCCCACGCTACATACAGCTTTTATACTACTTTAGAGAGACATACTAGAATCTTCAAGCAAAGAAAAGAAAATTGGCTGAGTAATGCACATCACAATGGTTACCAATCCCGATGGTGAGTCTGGCGAGTGTGGCGCTTGCGATGATCGGCACCAAAAATAGCACATTAACTGTGGATTAGTCACTTCCTTCATCTGAGCTACAACTACAAAATCTCAAATCCATACGTAACTCAACGACGTTTCACAAATTCTACGCGGGTTACGGCCGTTGTTCGACTCTGACGCTGGCATTGATGATAGAAGTTTCGGGACTCTTCTTGGTCTTTCGCCGTGTCTGTACCCATCGGAATGCGGCATCTATTAATTACTGGGGTCTGTTTTGGTATCCACCTCTTTTCATCAGACCATCTCTGTGTTATGTCTTCTGAGTCTCCCTCGACAATCGTGCTCGGAGACTCTTAAACGGAAGAATCCAGGTATAAAAAGCTGATTTTGACGTCCATAGAAAGGCCGATGATAATGCTCAAACCTGTTCATTTCCAGTAAATTCGAGGGTTATCAGATATCAGAATCACAGTTGCAAGGAGACTCTTTCTTCTTACACTGATGCTCTCGGTCAACTCACATGCAGGGTATCTACTAATAGAAATCTTGTTTTTCCAATTCAGTTTTGCAATACCACAGAACTGGATACCACAGGAATTGATATAGCATGTGTTCCGGATCCGGAAGAGTTTCTTATAACAACTTGCGTATCTGATGGATCAAGCTTACAAGGTCAACGCTGAATTCTTCCTTTAACGTGCCATCAAATGTTCAAATTTTTTCACCGCTCACTATCCGGCGTTGATGAAACCCCACCATCTGTTCCCTCAGCTTGTGGCCATGTTCCGTGATAGCCAGCGGTGCTCCTTGGGGCGAATACTAGTTTCTAAACCTCTCACACCAATCTTACACTGATTGCGATCTACAGCTTGAAACACGGCGAGCTCGTCACCTGTCGGTGCGCGTCATCGCTTTGGACATGATCTTATTTCTTCTCACAGTTTATCTACGAGGTATGATAGCCGTTTGCACACAGGTTGACAGTCTGCGATGAGACAAGAAGTATCGGATTTTGTCATTAATCGAGGATTTGAGACTTGCAAAGTGTCGAAGCCACTCCAGGATCCCCAAATAGCTTTAACCGCCATAAATTCGAGGGACACCCATAAACTCCTGAATCCCGAGTCCGCAATGCCTTGCTTATGCGGAAGTTCAAAGATTTCCCTCCACTCACAAAAGAAGCGCGTTACTGTCAAGCTGTATGCAAACGGCGGGTGTAATTTTACGTGGCTAAACTTACAATCATCATCAACCTGGGCGGGAAGCTCTTCCGACGTCGAGGATTGAAATGGAATGATGGGTCAATGCGGTGACCACATTGAGCATCGCTAACATTGGTTGGTTTACTCAGCTCCGTTTTTTTGGTATGATGAAACCTGGGTATTCGAGCGCCTTTCAGATTTCTCACGGTGACTGTCGAAAATATATGTACAGGCTCTTTCTTTTCAGAACCGTGAAAACGACGCCATATACAACATGCAGCCCGTCCCCGCAGATTATCCCATAGAAAGGCTGTAAGTTATAAAATTGAAATTGAGTGGTATGAATTGAATCATATCATTTCAGGTCTGGACCTTTGGTTCGTCAAGTTTTGTGTCTAATCTATTCAGAACCTAACACAGCAATCCAGATCGTTGCCTGTCTCTTGCACTGGGGACTCTTCGGGACTCTTTCTGTGCAGCTGTGTGCGTCGCTCTGAGCCATTCTAGCAGATTGTTTCTAATGCATTCTCGTTAGATTTGTATTATCTGGCATTTCCGAAAGACAGAAAATTTATAAAATATCTCGTCTATGGCATCTACATTGCCGAGTTCGTTCAGACGATGCTCGTCACCCGCGACGCCTTTGCAGAGTTCGGGTACGGCTTCGGTGACATTAATGCCCTGACTGGAATGTATTTTAATTGGCTAACTGTCCCCATCATGAGCGCTGCTGGTGCGTGTAGAACATGGTCTGCTCTTTTTCTGTTACTCATCGTGAGTACAGTTGCTTGTGTCGGGCAGGTCTTCTATGCATATCGAATTTTCATATTGTCGAAGTCACGAACTGTCCCCATATTCGTCATCTGTGTTCGTTGCCGTGATCTTTCTCTGTTCCGGTCTAGCTCATCTATTTACAGGTGTCCTTGACCAGTTCTGTAGCAGCTATAATCACGGGCGTCTACTGTTTCCAAGCAGGCAACATCACTGAACCCAATAACCGGAGGATGTCCATCGCTGTCGGAGTATGTAATCGTCTAGGCGTCCCGAGTTCATTGTGCTGACTCATGCATAGATTTGGTGCGGAGCCTCCGCTCTGTGTGATATCGTCATCGCCATCTGTATGACTTACTATGTGAGCTTCTCCCTTCTTTCGGTTATCTTTCATTGGTGTTGATGCTGTTGAGCAGCTTATACGCAGCAGTACTAGTTTTCCCCAGACCCGAATTCTGATCACAAAACTAATTCGTCTTACCATTGAAACGGGATCTGTGACGGGTATTTGCTCCCTACTATCCACCGTTGTCACAAGATTAACCCTGCCTACGTTTAGCTGTTGTTGCTCTGGTCAACCTTATCCTCTTTTTTGCCTTCCCTCATCAGGCTTTCTATGGGACACCAGCCCTTATCATGCCCAAGTTGTATGCTAATACCGTCTATATGATGCTGAATTCACGAATCCGAATTATGGGTGGACGTGATACCTATACGTCTTCTACCGATATGAGCATTACGTCAACTATGATGGAGGATATCACCTTCATTTCGACACAGGGCACACTGCGAACGGACGAGGTGCAAAGACGACTGTAGGTGGTGGCAATATTCAACGATGGTTGTGAAATGGGTCGGATGAATGTCAGTCCGCAATGATTCCTGCGCTTTATTGGAGCTGATTTCCCCCCTTCAAAGACAAACCACAGGAGGGAATCAGGGGCTATGTCGTGTAATGTTAGATTACATTCTCTGAGCCAACAAAGTGTACGAGATCCTGTCCCGGTTTATTTATCTCGCCTTGTTATAATAAAGCGGTGCTCTTGTTTGAGAAGCAAAGCTTCGATAACGCGTCAAGATGGAATCAGGGTAGGGTCGGACGGAAAGAGAATATCATGGGCAATATCGACGCGTCTGCAGTCGAATTTGCAGCACAGGTCGCTTGGAAAAAGTTAGAGATTTTCGTAGATTGGAAGGGTACCTTTAGGCCGGGCTCGGAGATTGCCGAAGTTGATCTTTCCTTCCTACCATGTTCTACATCATCGGTCTTGGGCTCTGCGATGAAAAAGATGTCACCGTTCGCGGACTCGAAGTAATTATTCAGTGTGTCTTAACTGGCCCATTTCTTACTGTTTTCCAGGCCATTAAAAGCTCTTCACGCGTATACTTGGAAGCTTATACCAGCATCTTGATGGTACAAAAAGACAGACTGGTATGATAGCCATTCACTACCATGTTCCTTGAGCCGACGTATGCAAGGAAGCATTCTACGACAAACCACTGATACTCGCCGACCGGGACATGGTGGAAACGGAGAGCGATGAAATACTAGCCAATGCAGACAGGGAAGACGTATCCCTGTTGGTTGTTGGGGATCCGTTTGGGTGGGTGGCACGCTTTTTTCTTTCGTAGCAAATTCACAACAGATGTTGCAGGGCAACAACGCATACCGACATCATCCTTCGTGCTCGCGGCCTGGGCATCCCTACCCGTGTGATCCACAATGCATCGATAATGAACGCAGTGGGCGCATGCGGCCTCCAGCTCTACAACTTTGGCCAGACTGTCTCCCTCGTCTTCCTCACAGAGACATGGAAACCCGACAGTTTCTATGACAGAATCAAGGAGAACGCAGATCTCGGACTGCACACGCTCGTGTTGCTGGATATAAAGGTCAAGGAGCAAAGTGAGGAGAATCTGGCTCGGTGAGGGACTTTTCCTCTCCCACACTCATATCTTAATACTGTATCAGCGGTCGGAAGATCTACGAACCACCTCGATACATGTCGATACGACAAGCTGTTTCTCAACTTATAGAGATCGAGTCTGTAAGGCAGACGGGTACGTTATCTCCTGATACGACACTCGCAGTTGCACTTTCTCGCGTTGGCGGTGGAAGCGACAATCAGAAGATCGTCGCTGGTACCCTGACCGACTTGGTAAACCATCGAGAAGATGCGTTTGGAGATCCTCTGCATAGTCTCGTCATTGTCGGCAAACGACTTCACCACCTGGAGGTGGAGTATGCCCAGGACTTTGCTGTTGATACCGAGAGATGGAGAACGACGGCGAAGCAGGTCTACGGATGCGCACTGGATCCATGAGGAGCAGATTTATAGCTGCATACGTTTTAGCATATGGTGTTGAAGCTAACCGCTCGCATCTTCGCCCTTGACCTACTATCTATTACTTGAAAGGGCTATCACATGGGAGTAATGTCTGTCTATCTCTTTCAGAGGTGTTCTTCCACAACAGAATGCGCTTATGCCGTTAGATGATATTGGAACAACCATGGTTTCGCGCCACTGACGTGTACCGTATTTCTATAACCACGACACAACCTTCAAGCTTATTAGATGTTCAAGACACTACGGCCAGCAGTAAGACCCCTAATTTCGTGATGGAAACCTCCCCCCTGTCCTTGCCGCAACAGCGGTCACTACTGCGTCTCTGTCGTCGTGCTTCTCACATTCCGTCGACAAACTGTGACGTGATAACACTTGTAAGCCAGATTCGGGCCAGTCAGTGGAGCACTGTGTGGAAGAGCCGAGCTGAAGACCGTGAGGAGCTGTTTATCATTAACCTTGTGCCAGAAACCCACTCGGACATGATTTGGCGGGAGTTTTACACGTACGAGGTGGTCCTCAAGGGAAGTCCTGTTGTTCCCAGGTTTCATGGGATGTTCCAAAGACCCATTGGCGATTGGTTTGCTTTCTGCCTTGAGGATGTTGGGGACAATCTAGAGAAAATATATGGCCTAGGTTGGTCCGAGGTAAAGAGGTCCATGCCCAGGGTGCAATGGTGAGTGATTTGTCTTCAAATATCATTCCTTGACTGGCACCTTCAGGCGAAAATTTCTAGAGTCGGTGAAACAATTACACCCCTTGGGCATCATGCGTGGTGATCTTGAGCCACGGAACGTGGCACAAATAGCTCAGGGCTTTAAATTCTTCGATTTTGGACGGTCGGAGCTGCACCACTGTCAGCGTGATTAGTGTGACGCGCCGCAAAATTTGCTGAATATAGAGCTATCATCCAATATTGTTATTTTATCGCTATATTAGTGGATGGCATAAACAGGGTCCTGCTAATTTGCGGAGAAATCTGCAGCGGACTGTATGCGTTGGCGAACATGCCATGATTCGGGGAACTTTTCATTGGACTTTTAAATGATTGTATATACCGCACTAGTTGTGACTTGCAAAGGAACAGTCTCAATTTGAACATCACTGTCACTGAAAACATCTTCATCGACTTCCTTTTCATCTTGTATATCCTCTAGTGGCGGAAGCATGAAGAGGTCAGGAGGAGGATTTGCGACACTGTGTCCTGGAATCAATTTAGAGCATATTATTCCAACAAGTATGGCCAGGAAAGGCTTTCGTTGGATATTAGCGTCGAACTGTGTGAGCACTTTGTTTGGATCAGGATGCAAAGGGGTGCTGTGGAAAGTTTGAATATAGATAGAAGGTGGATATATCCCGGGCGCAACGCACTCTTAGACCGGACTAGAAGAGATCGATGAAATGCTTGTCGAGCCCAGCGATGATGAAAGTCTCACTTAGTTGGGCGGCAATTGCAATGTACCCGGCAAAAAAAACCCGTACTATACGCGAGAAGTAATCATTGGCAGCGCAAACTAGACTGTGTAAAATGGCGACAGAGGACAGCACTCGGTGGGGACTAACCTTGATGGCCATGGTAGCGGCGCCTTCTCGTTTTCTCGGACAGGTGTGATAGTAAAGTCGCCCTTTTGTGAAAACAGGAGTTTCCTGACAGGTTGGAGGACCAGAGTGAATGCGCTTTCGAGATGGACAGCGTTAGATATGGCATCAACGACAGGTTCTCGCTCTCTGGTAGCATATTGGCCATACAGGCTCACGCTGTTTTCATCCTCGAGCTCCAAGAATCGCATAGTATGAAGGGTCTGTCGCATCGACTCGCAAGAAACATCGTCAATATCGGAGTCAGCCACCGTTGAAGTCAAATACTCTGCCAGTCTAGGGAGGAGAGTATCATCTAATCGGCTTAGGAGTGGTCGATCCGACGGAGACGTCAAGATGTCATGGGTGGTATAGGCAGCCGTTGTCGCCCCTATGTACGGATCTGGCCCGAGGAGAGGTGGGAGAGGAAGGAACGTCAAGAAATCTCGAATGTTGGCGGGAAAGGCAACCATGGTTGAATAACGGATAGCAGAGACGGGTCGAGGCAAGCTACCCAGGATTTCAAACTCCGAGTGTTTGCCGAGGTGTAGCCGACCGCGTGAAAGCGTGTACCGTGTTCGCGCCGTTGATCAATGACGTATTTTCGATCGTCCAAAATCAAAGAACTTGGAGTGTACGACAAAATGTTTATCTAACGCAGATCCCTCCAAACTGAACCAAATTCATATATCATATAACGCCTAACGGGGGGTCTGAACTGACAATTCAGCACGTCAAGGAAGGCTTCAATATTTTGGCTCAGTAAAGCTATTGGTGACATATAATACTCCTCTCTAGTCGTTCTGCTCCCAGAATTTCTTGTCATGCCAACAGTCCTCAAATCATATGATTTCTCCTTCCTATGCCATCATCCAAGAGGTGTCTCTACTCACCTGATGATTCCACGGTGCTATAATCCACCAACGCAGCTTGTGTAATGCTTCCATCATCCCTGCCGAGCCGAACCAAATGAACTTCAGCTAAGCCCTAATGCCTCACATGGGTCCATGAACTGACAGCGGAGTGAACTTCCCTAACGCCTCACCTTAGGTGAACTTTTGGTCGTAATGGTACACTGGTGTGATTTCTTCAGCAGTTTGCGTCACGTTTCATGGCTCAAAATTACCATGTACGATATCCAAAGTTTCATTCGCCTGATTCATTGTTCTTTCCCACACCTTTAACACTCGAAAGAGTTATTCATGTGCAGTAATATCATACACTTACTCGACAACTACTGTCTCGAAACTTAATCACCTCCCTATAGCCTTGTTCCATCTACTCATACAGGAATATCCATTACGATCTATCATTCGAGGTCAGCAAACACTTCACTTAAAATGCGAAAGAATCGCTCACCAAAACTCTGGTCCCTTTCACAGGTGCACATACCCCGCCTCCACGTTTCTTCGTCCCGCGGACAATGCGTGTACGGGAAATGCTCATATCCAATCTCATCAAAGAATTGAATCTGATCTTTGCTTGCAAACAAAGCGGCAGCTATACTGTGCACTGGGGCATCACCCCATCGTTCGTAGTAGAACCCACCCTGGGCCTCGAGGTAGTCAAAAAACGCCGTGTATGCCGTCCCTCGCCAAAAGTTCATATCTGCGATTTCAAAATTGCTCCAGACTGCCACAAGTGTGAGCGATGGAAAGAAGCACTTGAGCGAAGAACTTACAGTGGCAGAGATTATATGTCGTACCGCCGTCGTCCGAGAGGAAATCTATCGCGTTGTTCTCTGCGACGAATTCGGGGTGCAAATCGACGAAATCTTTGACGTGTTTCCATAGCGTGGGTATCGTCTTTTTGAATTCGTACATCGTGATCGTGAAGCCGTAAATCTTCTTGTGCTCCTCCATATACACAAATGGGTCAAAGTTTATATCACAGTGAAAATGGACGTTAGGTCTGTCATCTAGTAAGCATCATCGAAATCCAAGCTGATATGAGCGTACTCAATTCGCCAGTACCAGCGGTACTTTTTTACAAGGTCATGCTTAAAGAAGAAACCCGAGTTGAAACGGCACATATTCCGGTAGGCTATGCTACCTATCTCGCCATTTTTAGCATGGATGTATGACACAGAAGAATGAGTGATATACCGCCATAGATGACTCTCTGGGACACCATCTTATTACGCGCCTGTGTCGCTTTATCTTCATCTATCCAGTCCGGCTGGAACCAATGGTCATGGGGTATCAAGCCAAACTCCATCTTCGCAGAAGTAAGCACAGAGACTCGTCTGCAAGAAGTTAGTCGGATAGCTTATAGAAGTAGAGAAGACTCGCCTTTTGAAATCATCAGTAAACTCTACTTCGTTCAGAAGAACGTAAGGGTAGTTATACCGTCGATTGAATCTGGCTTCGATCTCGCGGATGCTTCCGATTATCCTTGTGAGGTCGCTGTTTCGACAGAGGATAACGAACGCCGCGTTGGCACGTTGTCCGGGTGCGGTTTCATTCCGAAGATTCGATGGTGTGTAATATTTTAGTGGAACAAGATTCTTGTCCACGAATGCTGGCGTTTTACTCTCGCCACGAAAATGCGACGCGATATTGTTGAGTGATGTTATGCGGCCATACTCCTGGTGCGTGAAAGACAGTATATAATGAAAACTTATCTGCGATACGAAAATAGTCAGTGAATATGCTTCATGAAAGAGAAATACTGCGCACGATAGCACTCAGGACGAGATAAAGATATCGCGATGCCGTATTCATCGTCACCAGCTTGGGATAGCTGGGAACAAAATTTTACGAGACGTGGTGTGATGGAATGCCAGACAATGTCGGGCAGGAGAGCCTCGACACCATCGAGCTACAGGTACTGCGCAATAGTTGCGCACCTGCGGAAGCTCGTAGATTTGTTATTCAACTTATGAGCTGCGCCGCATAGAAACATAGCCTTGAGGGGCCCCATCCATGATATCTGATGAAAGAACAACACTCTGCTACACGCCAATAAGATTAATTTAACAAATTTTACAGCTGCTGCCAATGCACTCGCAAACCAATGATATTGACATTTTGGTGTCAAAGACGCGAATGGCAACGATGGTGCTGTTTTTCAAGTTCTACTTCGCGTTTGTTCCAAGCGCGTAAGCTCGACTTGAAAGGCATGTGAGTAGTTCAGCGAATGAAAGGATGTTGTAGTGGACCAAGTGTTGATCAAAGAAAGGATTGCAATTGGACCGTTGTCGTGGGCGGATTTCAGCCAATGGACTCGGACCGCCATCCGCCGTCATTTTCACAATGATGCCACCTCCACCACGACTTGGCTGGCTCTCATTCTTCCTTTCCGCCTCTTGCAATCTTGCAAATGTATTTTGAAGGAATCCTCGACACCCTGCGCAACCTCGGCACCTTTTTCAAGCAAGCCTGGTTCTCCGGAAAGCCTCGGTGGACCCCAGCCCAGATGACAGACTTGGCAGGAAAAGTCGTTATCGTAACCGGTGGCTCGTCGGGGATAGGAAAAGAGATTGTCAAGGTGCATTGCTCACTTCATCTTACGTGCGCGCTGAAATTGATTGGTCCCCAGGAACTGCTGCTTCACAACGCCAAAGTGTATCTTGCCGCTAGGAATCCAGAAAAGACGGCGAACGTTATCAAGGAACTGACGGAGGCCACTGGAAGAACAGCCATTTTCTTGGACCTGGATCTTGGAGACCTGAAATCTGTCAAGGCCGCTGCTGAGAAGTTCCTTTCGTATGTATCTCTGTATAAACTGCTGCTGAATGTTTCTCATGTCTGTATTGCTTTAGGAACGAGAAGAGTCTCGATATCTTATTCAATAATGGGTAGGACTATGATTGATGCGCTGGCTATCGTCTGCTCATCAGTATCGCGTGTCAGAGGCGTGATGCTAGTTCCACAGGACATGCTCACTGTCCAAGGCTACGATTATCATTTTGGCGTTAATGTCCTCGGTCATTTTTACCTCACGAAGCTGCTGCTGCCAGCGTTACTTTCAACAGAAGGCAAAGCCCGTGTAGTCACCACCTCGTCCTCGGCTATCTACCTGCCTTTGGGGAGCAAGATCCTGTTTGAAACGCTCAAGGATGGACCATCGAGAAAACGCAAGTCCCCGTCGTATCTGTATTCTCAAAGCAAAGTGGTAGGCACGATTCGCTGTGTTGATACATATGCACCCATTTATTGCCGACAGTGCGACGCGATGTTTGCGCTGGAACTAGCGAGGAGGTACGGGGACAAAGGAATAGTATCTATTAGCCTCAATCCTGGAAACCTCAAGACAAATCTCGACCGGCACGCGAGCTGGTTCAACTCGATCGGTTTGGTGAGCATCGTTTCTTGTACCCTGTTCTCATACCGACACATCTACAGTGGTTCTTGCTCTTATGGCCGGCAACTTGGGGCGCATGGACATCGCTATGGGCTGGCACGAGCCCAGAAAACGAAGATGCGAACGGGAAAGTACGTTTCTTCATGGCAGCTCTCTGACAAAATTTTGCTGACGCACGGGTTAGTTTATGGTTCCGTGGTGTCAGGAGGGTGCGATGACCAAGACAAGTCGAGACCTAGAAGTCGGCGAGAGATTATGGGCTTGGATGGAAGACCAGGTGAAAGACGTATAGCAGTTCCAATATCGTGCTACTCTAGGTGGAATTGCCAAATCTCAGTCAAATGAGTTCATAGCCATTCGTATACTTAGACTGGGAAGTCGTATTCTCATAGGTGATAGATATGCGCGAAGTCGCCATCAAGGTGGAAGATGCCGAATACCGCTATACTTAGCCTGATAAACCGGTTTTATGAGAAACGCGGAAGTCAGTGTATACAGTCAATCCTCAGGGTGACATATCTTCGGAAAGGATCACCTTTTCTATCCGATGTCATCGGTTGACCAGTGACCGATGGAACTAGGTAGCGCACCGGAGCGCTGGAAGGAGCGTGTCCCCAATTGGTGTCGCGCATTAAATAGATTCCCACCATCACTGGGGAATAAAAGAATAGCCCTCATGATGTTATAAAGACACTCGTTTGACACGTCTTTCTTAGCTCGAAATGGCCGGAGGCTCACTCAACGGTACTTTTGGCGCCTTCCTTATCGGTGTCATCATGTCTTCATGGTTCATTAACCTCTGGATATATTCACCCGTATTCTGATCTCCTTGTATATCTAGCTTGTTTGGTGTAACCTGCACGCAGACCTGGTATTATTTCACTCGCTACTCTGACAGTATCGCCATCAAGGCCTTGGTAAGCATTATAATCCCTCCTCTCAGCCACCCTGTACTAATAGACTCGCAGGTCTGCACTATATGGTATTCGTCACTGCTAATCAGACACCCAATTCTTATGGGTTTGCATAGGATTTTGGAAGTCATCCATGTGGCTTTCACTAGCTATGCCATTTACTATTATGTAGTACTACATTATGGGAATCCACCTGCTCTGGCTGAAATCCCGGTGGTATGGTGAGTACCACAATTTTCATGGGGGAGTGAGACTCTAATCCATGTTAGGTCGGTATCTGTGAGTCTCCACACCTGTCTGCACGAGCGCTTACCTATATACGCCATCCAGCTCAATATCGGCGTGACGGTATGTGATTTAACACTGTCCTTAGCTTCTTCAAGCTGTCCCTAACGAGAATGATTGTAGGATCTCATTACTTTGCTTGTCTACTTATTTTATGCTCGGCGGATATATTATTGTTGGCGTGATCCTTTTTTTCCCAATTACCGCCTTCTGATACGTTTCATGCAGTGTCAAATCACAATGTTCCCCTAGTGGCCATCATCGTGAGATTCCTATGATACGATTATTCTCCATCACTAACCTTGGAATCAGATTGTTCTCTCGATCTGTCGCTTGGGTGAGTCTCTCGTACTCTTTTTTCTATCCTCCGTAACGTAGCCTCTGTCTAGGAACTAGCCTGGGTGCGCATTTGGGCCGCTCATATAAAGGATGCTAATCGGATGCTTGTTCCTTTTCTTTTGTCTTTTAGGTGTCACCGGCTACAGGTTAGGACTGACAGTGCTTCTCAGACATCCCCGTCTCATTGTCATTTTCAGCATATATCTCAAGTACTTCATCCTGTTTGCACGCCCCGGCATGAAAGTAAGCATCCACCAGAGTTGTTCTTGAAAGTCCATATTTCTCTCCATTGCATGACAGAACCTCATCAGGACTTCCTTGATTCTTCATGTGGTGACAGATCTCCTGGTTGCCGTATCACTTTGTTATTATCTCCACAAGAGGCGCACGGGAATTAAACAGTATGATATTCCACACTGCGGTTTATCCGAACTGATTAGAAGGAAAATGGCATTACAGCACCAACACGATGATTAATAGACTCATGGTCTATGCGATTCATAACGGTCTTATAACTGCGTAGAGGCATATCATCTTCCTATGTTATCGGTTGAGTAACAGATCCATCTCCAGGATTGTGGATATCCTCGTCTTTGCCTTCGTGAGTTACTCTTACCATCTCTGCGTTTCTTCATAGGCTGGAATTACTCAGAACACAGCCTACCCTGACAATCTCGTATATCTGTCTGTTTATCAGATCGTTGCAAACTGTACGTTCAACCTGTCTATTCCACGTTCTCGAGCTAAAAATACACCCCATCCCAAGTATATTCAAACTCCTTCCTTGCTACGTTCGTTGCATGATTCTCCATGGAATCGTCCATCCTTACAATCTCACTTCAGATTGAACGCCCGTAGACGTACCAAACCGAACAATGATACTGACGTCGACATGTTGAGTCTATCCACCTCCGGTGCCCATGATATGTCCTTCGAAGATGCCCCCAGGACCAACACGACCAACTTGGTACTGCGTTCCTCGTTATTTATTTTGTCCTCACGCTGATCCTGTCATTGAAATATTCTAGCGGCACATTAATATTACTATCTCATCCACTGTGGAGACCATGGGAGATATGAACGGGACCTCTTCTGTGAGTGCGTGTATAGTAGTAACCTTTGCTTATTGACCGTGTTCATTCGAACCACAGACTGAACCTGGTTCCAAAGTCGTAAGCGTCTGAAGAAAGAGGACACGGACGTGTTTTTTTCATCCGCTGCTTATTGCCTTCGCTTGTTTACTGTCGCACTCGAAAGATCCTGCAGCGGAAACGGTGAAATATCAGCGATGCCTTGGAAGCGCTTCTTCAGTATGGCTTCAATGTGTACAGGAATCGTAGTTTGGTCGAGACATACTTGAACGTCCAAGAGGCGCATACAAGAAGAATGAGAAATTGTCTTGATTAGAATTAAGGCCCCGAGCGCCTAGCAAGAGCGGCAAGAAAATGCAGTTCGAAAAATTCCGGCTGGCATGCGCTAAATACTAGTTACCGGAGGAAGATAAATAAAGTATAAGGATTGGTTGTATGGAACCGTTCTCGGCCCGATGATGTGGGTCGCTGCGATACGAATAATGCAAGGCCAATGCCAGTATCGTAGACCGGCACAGGACAGAGAACAGTGGGATTATGTGGATTGCGGCACTGTCGCTAATACAGACGACGGTCTTGCAGTGATTGGACCATGGAAGTTGTACGTATTGCCAGCATTATGGAAGCCATGCTATGATGACATTCTGTATGGATTGACACATGAGCCAGAAACGTATCCGAGAGCAACGGAACTCTTACGTTTTCTCAGCATGCTCCTGTAGCTATGCTTTCGCATTCTCCAAAACCTGAGCTCAAGCCACCTCAGACGGAATGGCAGGTAACGTCATCCCAAAGAAAAAAGTCATGCACAGCGGCATCCTTCTGTACGTCGACACCTCCATCGCTCATCTGCTCAGCAAGTTGTTCGCAGGTGAGATACGGTGACCATAGCAGACCAGTCGGATGATGCCCAAGGAATCGCAGATTCGCAATCACGGCTGTCGAGAAGGAGGCTTCAGGAGGCTTCAATATGGACGTGGACTCCAACGCCACTTTCGGCTGACATAGGCATCTTGGGTCTTCCCTTTCTGCTCCATTATCATGCCCGATTATTCGCAATACCCAGCCAACGGAAAATATCTCACCGACGACGAGGATTGCACAAGTCGCGTCAAAAATACGAATTGCTGATCCAGACAAGGACGATGGCGCTTTCAACACCGTGAACCGCATGGAGGCATTCATCTAGCTCAAGTGTATGGGTGCCTCTGGCCTATCGCCTCCAGAGGCACGCGCCTTGTCCGACGAGGAAATCATTGAGAAACTGCGCTATGCTCTGTGGGATTCTCAAAGGATTGACGATCTCTTTCACGGAAAGACCTACCTCACCGATTCCAAGCTAGACGTTACCGCCCTCCCCGCCTGCATTTCACCCAAATGGAAAACATGTCCGGGGCTGCCAACAGAGCTACTCCGGACATCACAGGCGCGTGGACGGGTACAAAGGCGGTAATGAGCAAGGCCTCGTTGGATATCACATGAGAAGGCGGAAAGGACACCCCTTTTGTCACCTATTTCACCCACAACGACCATCTGCTTCTCATGGAGATCCTGGACGTCAAGCAATGTGCTTGGCCTGAACCTTCCGACAAGGTACTCATCGACCTCGACACGTTTTGTAGTCTTGTTAAATTCCCTCACAGTTCTTGAAGCAACTCAAAACCGCTCAAGAGACCAAGTTTGGCCACTCCTCGAATGGTCCTCTCGTCCCAGTGATGCAAACACCCAAATTCCCCTTGATGCTCGTACGGTACTCTTATATGGAAGGACGCCCGAAGGTGAGAACTCCACTGATGACATCTCCATCGGCTAACAAAGAAGCAGGGCGGTTCCCAGTTCTCCCTTTTCCTCGAATCCAACATCAAGAAGAACATGCCTCGGGTGTCCGCCAAGCAAGTACGCGAAAAGCTCCAGTACCGTATGCAATGTGGGGAACAGGTGCCAGAGGCCCATTTGCGGATATTTGCTCGTCTTCTGTCAAATAACTCCGAACTCCTTTATGCGGAAGGACTTCAGTCGTACTGGAAACGGCATATCGCAAGACGCGGTTAAAGAGACCAAGATCAGCTTCTTTGTTCCTTGTCTTCGACTGCGATGGAGGTGGGTTATTATCAGCACCTGACACCGCATCCTGACTCAATATTGCCCTACCAAGAGTCCTGGAAGAGATCGAAACTGGAGTTCCTAATCAGCAACTGGGAACGACCTGTCAAGCTCGCGGAAAGACAGCAAAGAAGCTCACGTGCAATTCGTTGGTACTCATGCTCTTTACGTTATCCGTTAATAATACTGACCCTTCGATCTTTTAGGTGTAAATCAGTGGTAAGCGTCTCCAACACACTGAGCATCACAACCGTCCTCACGCCTATTCACAGTATTATCGCAACGCAGAATGCAACAAGGCCGACTGGCCACGACGCAAAGAAGCATGCAAGACGTTTAAGCGCCTCTTGGACAACCCATCAAGTTCCCCCCCGGATAAACTCTACATCCCTGCACGTACCTACGTCGACCTGACACTCGAATGCGGGTTCGCCGTGGACTAGGAAGCCATCAAGTATTCCGGCTCCACGTACGTAGGCGACTCCATCCGGAATGAGTACGGGGACGAGAGATTCCTCCTACGGACGCAGATGCCTGCTGTACAGCCACGAAGGGGGAAGGTCTAAGGGAGAGAGCATCTTTTGCTTTGACAGGCGGAGGAGCATATTGGTAAGGACCTCTCCGGGGATCCACCCACGGTGCGGGAGCGAGGATGGCCGCCGCGGATCCCGTTCCATCCACAGGGACGTAAGCGCTATACGCAGGTCATCAAGGCTAAGGGTATACAGGGACAGCTCATCTATCTATGGGCTAAGCGCGCGGGAGATGCGGTGGATATTGAGTACGTGGAATTGAGACGTGACTACTTGGATGCGTGCTAACTGATTTGACAGTCTTGTGGATGTGTCCGACCAGAGAAAGATATGGTGGAAGTGAGCAGAGGGCGACGACGCCCTCATACTGACAAGTTTCGTTTCTGATGAATCGATAGGTAGCAAATCATTTGTACTCCAGATGCTATGTCCCAACCATGCTTACAGACATTCTCATAGATCTTTCAACGTCACCCTGAAATACAAGCGTAGCTTCATCCCCCATTCTCACCTGGCAAGCTGCTTTACAGACACTCTCGGAACTCGTACTTGTGTATCCCCATCCGTTCTAGTGCAGTGTACCCGTTTTGCGGAGTTGAAAACAACTCGCTAGAACGTCCATGTCACCTTTTCCCCGGGAGGCCATCTTTTAGCCCAAAAGATTCGGACACCGAAACGGAAACTCCCTCCCGCCTCCGTCAAATCGTCCAGATGATCCTGCCTTGCTCGAGGTCGGATGAGTCAAAAATATGGGTTTGCCATCTTTGAGGCCAGGGCGCTCGCTGACTTGACGTATCACCTCTTATTTTTGTCTGGGCGCGAAATTTCTTCGGTCTCGTCGGATACTTCTTAATCAAGGTGCCAGACTCGGATATTCAAGAAAGATATCGTGGAATCGAACCGAGCACGCCTCGGGCGTGCGACGCCCTCACGTTCTAAATGGTAACCAGTAACACAGGCTGACCCAATGTCGGTCGGTCATTTCCAGGTGGTAAGCGGGGCTAGCTTTTTGCCAATTCGCTCAGTACGCTCGAGCGTAGCGCCGATATCATGAGCGCTAGTCGTCGGACTTTTGATTTCCGTGATTATAGAATAGATTTCACGACCGCCTTGCAATGGCGCCCCGACGCATCTATATATGATGGCAACGGCCTTAACGGTTCATTTACTTGTGCTTACTGGAAGGAGCATGCTCATGGTCTAGATAATTAATTAGCCAAGGTAATACATTCGCGAATTGACCGCCCATCAGAGTATTCAATGAGTCACTGCTAATTAGTGGTCGGTCCGGATGCGATTCAATTGCTTCTGTCAACATCGATATCGGACATTCCACTGCCATTGCTCCGCCGAAGAACGCTGGAACGGTCTCTGCATCTGATAACGGTCGAATGCGATGCAGCGCGTTACTCGGGACAACACAAGGATGGAGCCGATGTATTCGGAGAAATAAGAATGCCTTGGTGAAAACATAGGTGTTGTATGGTACGGTAGAGCACAGAGAGGGGATACGATACTATGGGAGCCATGATACAGTGAAGAACAACAGCGAACGATAAATAACGAATATAGCGTACAAGTAGTACCTGTCAAAAAGCAAGCAAATTATAAGTATGTTACGATGAGGCACACGACTCGGAGACTCGTTCAATATTTCCAATGAAGCCCCGTTGTCCTGCCAGAGGCGGTTCGTCAGATGCGCCCGAGCGACAGAAGGAAAAAAAAAAAAAACGCACCTCTGCTGTATGATACTCCCTAGGCCTGTATATCGATAGACAACATATGTAGACGCGGCAGCCACCAGCGACAATGCTGCAATGACTTTGTATAGGGCCTCCCTCCTGGCTGAGGGGTTCGTCTTGGGCCAAACTTCCGATGAGGTGAGATCTGGGTGCTCGTAGATTTCGAAGGCTCCGCGCATCATGGTTGCGACAGGAAAGAAGGAGAATTAAAATTCGCGGCCGCGGTAATGGTCTAGGCCTTGGCGCTGGTACCGTGGGAGGTGGCAGTCGCAGGGGGGGTGATAGTCTGTACGTGCGTGCAGACGGAGTGCTGTTATATGTGGACGGTCGACAATAATTGTCGAACACGTTACTGTTCGCCGCGGAACATTGACAGTGAGACAGTTACCTCTGATCGAGGCCCTTTTATATCCTTTGCCTCTTTTTATAGTAACCAACGCGACCCTGGCCTCGCCAAGTTGCCCAAAAACGTGCCTTACAAGAAACATATGATCCGCCTACGTCTCAGGATTTACGTCGGCGTAATAGACTGAGGTAAATAAATCCGATTGCGGTGCTATCTGTTCGTGCGAATCGTCCGGAAACAGCGCTAATTCAACCTTCGAATACTTGTAATGGAGGTCGCTGTGATAAGGCAAGGAAATCAACGTACGGCGAAACATGAACGCCGGCCTTACCTGCGCTTTGCGTCATTTCTATTTTGTATCACCGGATCTGGCCGCCACCGAACGAACAATACATGTTTGGAAAAATACAAAATGTGTAGAAACGAACAGTTCTCAAAAAGAATGACAAAAAAAGAGCATCCATATGGTATATGACGGAAACCAAACAAAGAAACTAGAGCCAGAAGATACACAGAACCTCCTAGTCAGCATTAGAACAAACACACAAAATTACTCGGGAAGATATGTCTGCCCGGTTGCGATCGAGCATCATCCAGTAGATGGCCGCTCCACCAACCATCTTCCGGTGTAGCTGTCACAGCAATGACATCCCCAGCTTGGAAATCAAATTCCTCGTCGATCGTAGCAGTATAGTCATACAGAGCTTTCACTGCAAAAGGGTAGGGCATCACGTCATTAATCAACTACAGATAGTGAAAGTAAATGCTCACCATAGAACAAAATAGGATTCTCTTCTTGTGGAGGCGCAGGAGGTGGCGGGGGCTGAGGAGAAGGCGACCGTCCATACATAGGAGCAGGTTGTTGATATCCAGATCCACCTTGCACATGCATCTGCCGTCCAGGGGCAGGCGTCCCATTCGTATAATAACCACTAGCAGCAGATGTAGCACGTTGCATGCCATTTTTCCCCGCGTTACCATACACTTGAGGCTGAGGCTGGAATACTTGCTGCTGCATGGGAGCTTGGTACTGCGCAGGAGGCGGCGCAGAGTACTGCATTTGGTGATAAGATGTTGTGACTGGAACCGGGGCCGGGGGAGGTGCAGTATATCCAGAAGGAGGTCCAGGGGTATACGTTGGCTGCACCGGAGGTGGTGGTGGAGGAATGACAGGTCCCATATTCATGTAACTGCTTCGTCTCTGCACGGGTTGAGCATAAGAAGGCTGCTGCTGCTGAAGCGGCGGGGGTGGGGGTTGTTGAGGAACCGTGGGCCGTTGCTGCTGGTGCTGGTGCTGCTGGTGCTGCTGATGCTGGTGTTGGTGTTGGTATCTTGGAGCCATATCGTCGTGAAGCACGCGTCCAGAAGGATCTAGGGCGATACCGACCTTGTTGGGACTCGCCGAACGCTGGATCGAGGGTGCTGGTGGCGCAGGGATATATCCAGGTGCTGGACTGGGCCCTCGAGACAGAGGTTGAGGACTGTTGCTTCGGGATCCATGTGCTCCAACGCCAGTATGGCCCATTTGGCTGGGTGGTCTCCCGAGATTCTGGAATTGCTGCTGACGTTCGGTCGAAGGTGACGGAGAGGGCGCGCTATAGCTCCCACGACGACTAATAGACTTTCGTTCACCAGGAAGAGACTGATGATAATCCGTGAGCACGCCTTTGATAACTTCCGAATCTGAAGGATCAAGAGAGTTTCTGGGTTTCATGAATGCGGCTGTTGGCGGGTTAGAAGGACCTGGACTGGGTGACACAGGTCGCGACGCGGTGGGATGGGCGCCTACGACCATCTCCGCAGAGTTGCGATAATCACGAGGGGCCGGTGAAGCAGAACTTCCAGGTCTGGATGCCGGGGAAGCAAGAGTTGCTTGTCGTGAAGGCCCACCAAAGGCCTGTGAAGTACCTGAACTCTGGAGAGGAGGGTCGGCAGCGCGGGGTTGGGGATGTTGTACATTTTGCGGTGGCTTCCACATGCTGTTTCTCCTCGTGCCTCCTTGTGTAGACACAACATTGTTAAGCTCGGCAAGAGTTTTAGCCAATGGATCCTCAGTATCAACGTCTTTTGATGGACTATGATTGTTCACGATGGATGTGGACGACCCGCTTTGCTCCTGAGGGTCCCGAGATACGTCCACAGGGTAAGCATTATTACCAACTTTCATGAATGTCTGCGCATTGGGAACGATTGATTCCGCCATAGGATCTTGAGGAGGTTTCCGTGACACAGCGGTGGATTTCCTATCCACGTCAGCTTTCACTGGTGATGAAGTGCCGTTGATAGACGGCACGTTTTCGTTTGCCTGCCTGCTACCTCCAGCACCCAACCCAGCTATATTGACCTTTGGTTCTTCTTCAACGACTGGTGGTGGTGGTGGTGGTGGAGTGACCGAAGACGTCACACTGTGCCTACTGGGCTGTCTCTGTAAATCATCGCGCTTCGACTTTGGGGGATCGTCTTCGGAAAGTTTATCGCTGACTTTGCGTTTCTTGTGCGGTCGCGCCACACGAACGAAGTCTGCAACGTGGAAGGTAGGATCGGATGAAGAAGAGGGAATGGTATTAGGACGATTGTAATCGATGATCGCGGGGGTGTCTGGTATTTGACTGCCAGTGCCGTAATCCCGAACGAAGTTCTCCATATCCCGCTCCACCTCGGCCTCCTCCAGGGCTACCCGTAGTTTTTCACATGACTGTTTATGGAATGAGAAATCAGAGAGGGACAACATAAAGCACGAGAAGACGCACATTATCGTCGAATACGCACACAGCGGAAACGACATTGGCAAATCCCCAAAGACTGTCTTTGATAAACTCGAGCCTCTCCTCTTCCATGTCCTGACAGGAATCGCAGAAGGTTTTCCAATCCTGCTCCCACTTGGCGGCCGTATCAGCATAAGCCTTTGAGAAGTTTACGTAGTCGCGATTATTGGCTTGCACCGTCTGCTTGGCCCGTTCTAACTTAAGTGTGATCTTCTCAAGCTCCTTACCCTGAACGAGAGTGCTTTGGGCAGTGAAAGAGTTGATTCGAATGCAGTCCTGCTCGTACTTTTCGCGAGCCTTGTTGACATAGCCTTCCTGCGCCTGCTTGGCCTTGAATGCCTTCTCTATCGGAGCCTGCCAGTTCTTCTTATGTGTGCCTTGGTCCGTATGGAATTGTGCAGCCTTCGCCTCTAGCTCTTTTGAAATAGTATAGGAAAGCCTATTATGGAATTTTGACTGGTTTTGGGTTTCGAGTACGACAATTTCCAGGCAGTTCCGGATATCGCTGCGAGCACTGTTAGGTAGATTACTCGTATCGATGGGCGAGGTGCCTACCCTATTTCATCTTTGCCTAGTGGATACTTCGCCAGCTTGGCCAGTCGTTTCGCGTAGTCATCCTCGATAGCGGCGCTAGTGAGCAGTGAGCAGACGACCAGCAGCATCCGGCCTGCACATACCGTTCTTTCCAAAAGTTTCTCAGTTCCTCCATTGTTCTCATGGCGCCTCGCATCCTCGTAAACAGCACACCGACACCGATGTCGTCTACGCCCCAGAAAGTGTTACAGAAGTCGGACGTCCGTTCACCTTGTGGCATTGGCGACATGGTGCGTACGTATCTGCCCAGCGATGTCGTCGACGGCTGCCTGCTAACCGTCATCGTTGTCGACAGATCAAAGAAAGGCCAATGAAATTGTGCCGGTGGTGGTGCGGAACAAAGTTCAACTGGCGCCTGGGCGCTGGGTTCACGTGCCGTGGCTATACCAGGTAACTAACAGGCATATATGTCCTTCGACGTCCTCCTCGCTGTATTCCTTCCTTTGGTCATCCTCTTCCTCATCTTCAGAGTATACCCAACATTGGCGTGGTCCGACGTCTTCTTTCTCTTCTCGCCGCTGTCGTCGGCGTCACGCACAGAGGCTGGCATCTTCTCGCCTCAACATGCATTTCATTCCTTCAAACGGTACCGCCAACTCTCTATGCACGAACTTTCTCGCGCACGCTCTGCCTACGTAGCGCTTGGAAGGATGCACAAACGGATTGGCTATAATATTGGATACCCAGCCAAGCTGAATGCCTTTGAAAACTCCATAGAATCGAACGGCCAAATTGCGGACGACATTGCTCGGCTTGCCGCTGTCGAGTACGACTTGCGTGAGTTGCCGGCACACAACGTCAGCGTGGGCTCGGGAGACCTGTCGAGGGTACGCGAATCACTCCGGCATTTCGTGCGCGACTGGAGCAATGAGGGGGCCGCAGAACGAAAAAAGATTTTCACGCCTATTCTCGACGTCCTTGGCGCCGTCGCACCAGGTGAACGTGCTGGATATCGAGTCCTTATCCCTGGCTCAGGGCTGGGTCGGTTTGCCTGGGAAGCGTCGCAGCTGGGGTTTGACACGACCGCCGTCGAAATGTCATCCTTCATGAACTTTGCATTCCGTTTCTTGCTTTCGCCGCAGACAACATCCTCGCTCAATCAGCACAAGATCTATCCCTATGCCCATTGGTTTTCGCATCAAAGGTCGAATGACTCGCTATTCCGAGCAGTCGAGTTCCCTGATGCCCTACCCAGGCCAGATGGAAGTCTGCGTTTGCTTCAAGACGACTTTCTAGAGCTGCCAAAAGACCAGAAATACGACTATATCGTCACCCTTTTCTTCATCGATACGTCTTCCAATGTATTTGCGACTTTGGAACACATTCATACACTGCTGAATCCCAACGGTGTCTGGATCAACCTTGGGCCTCTCCTATGGTCTTCGGGAGGCGCCGCCAAGTTGGAGCCAAGTCTAGAGGAGCTGCTGCACGCGGCACGAGAGATCGGTTTTACCTTTCCGCGGGACTGCCCTGAAACCATTGAATGCGAATACACCAGCGACCAGAACGCCATGATGCAGTGGATATACAAGGCCCAGTTTTGGACCGCTAAAAAGAAATGGTTGGCAGAGTCTATCGTTCGCTAGTTTACTGTCTCTAATCTTCAAATAGACCAACTCAAAGAGGAGGCTCAATTTTGTATTTCGTCACATGACGGTGATTACTGGTACTGTGACCCAAGAGTCTGACCAGGTCTCACCTTGCGTCCTTAATAGGACGAGCCGCTGCGTGGATATAAAATGTGCCCGCAACGCTTTCACCGCAACTACCATCACCACCACCACTACCATTCCAATCACTCTAGCCTCAACCCCCTAAACATGGGTGTCCCAGACTTCACTTACTACAAAGAACACTTTGAACCTCTCGTCGCGCAATCTACCCCTGAATTCCTATCATCCTCGCTGCCGGACCCGCCTTCCGATGAGACAGTTGACAAACGCACCTTTGCGAACTTGAATACCGACCCTTATCTCGTCCTTGAAATCGTGTCAGAGGATGAGGTAGAGGTCAACAATGAAATCCGACGTATAGTTGGCTCCAAGCGAGTAGCCAGGCATCACCGTAGCGAACACCCTCACAAGACACTCCCTCTGCCTTCTACGCCAGCGTTCAGTTTCAAGTGCACGGCTTCAATGACGCAGACGCCTGACGCTGATGGCAAGGTTCGTGTTCTGTCCAAATGTCCTGACGTCTAACACGTGGTTTTGCGCAGGAAGTGCGGGCTATGCCACCCCAACTTCCGGTTGACGCCTGTAATATGAAGTGTGATTCTCAACCGGATACCACGACTCTCTCCTTAGCTTCACCGTACCAGAGTGATCAGCCGCATCTTCGTCTTGATGTAGACATGATCGATATTAACTGTTAGAGGATCTTCATGATTTTGAGCTTGAAATATCCTTCGTCTTGTTCTAATATCCCCCAGCTTTGAATGCAGCACCGATGTTTTCGTATGATTTATAATGCCTTAATGACAGTACTTATTCAAAGGCCAGGTTCGAGTATTATCTGTATGAGCCACAATACTATCTTGCCATACCAATAGTTGTTTCAGGCACCAGTAGCAATTTCCTTAAAAGTCACGGACGAAACTTCTCGAACTCTTCAGGAGCACAGAGTGGGGAGACCGCTTTTGTTGACTTTCTACATACACCTCGTGTAAAGTTAGATACCGTCCTACACTCTTCACTCCTGGATTTTAGCAAGGATATCCGAATCCCTGAATAAGAAATATTCCTACGTAACCCAGGTCTCAGTCATCCATGGACACAACAAATTGGATTCAACAAGACGCACCTCTTCGCCGACCTTGATGGAGTTGCCTCCCCATCCAGGTAAAAGGACTCTGTCTCCCGCCTTCACCTGTGTGGGCACGATCTGGCCATCTTTATTCGGTGCACCGGGGCCAACGGCGATCACGGTAGCCTCTGGTAGGGGAGTGGTCGTCGACGACGTAGGCAAGAAGATCCCGGTTGAAGTTTTCTGGCACAGAAATATCGCATCAGGCTCCAAAAAAAAAAAAATAAGATTAAGAATGCTACACACTGTCTCGGGCTTGAACCTCTGCACTAATACTCGGTCAAGGAGAGGAACGAGAGCTTTGATAGATTTAAAAGTCGCCTGAGCAGCCTGTATGAAACAAAGCATCAGTCATCGTCATTCGCTATCGACAACATGCTTGGACTTAACATCTCTGTAGCAGGTGGGAAAACAAAGAAACAGAGAGGAAGAAAAAGTTCGTGTTCAAGTTTCGCGACGGCCCGCCCAGAAAAATTGATGCATGCATATGTAATCAACCATCCCGTGAGAATATTCCGTTTATGGTCATCAACGCCTGAATAAATTAATGGGAAGGAAAAACTGACATGACGTATATACTTAGCAGACTAAAAAGACTGTACCTACGTAGCGATGTGATATGACGTGAGTAAAACTAACATAATACTCGACGAAAAGGAGGGACACGGACAAGAAGAATGATCATTACGATGACTAGATGAAGAGAAAGAGGTGACAGACAAGGAAATGGTGGGGTGAACATGCAGCTGCTGTATACGATATGCTTATGCGAGATAAAGACATGGAAAAAGAAGAGACATCGAGCAGATTATAAACCAGGAAAGAAGAAAGAAAGGAGAATCCGATGTTGAAGCCCTCAACCCAATACCATATCGAGGTCAATATCTGGTCTCACGAGCCCTTGTAACTGTGAATGGGGGCCAGGTCCTGGCGGTCTTCGTATACCTATGACATCCTGGGCGACTGCCGCTGTCTGATTGGCTTCAGCCCTTCTTCTTGCATCTTCATCTTCGTTCAGGACGTTCAAAAGTGCATCTGCCGGCAGTCGCCTTTCCCTTCTGGGTCGATACGTTATCACTGGTATCTGAACCGGTCTGGGATCTCCTTGCCCGACAAATATGGCGCTGGCAGTAGGGTGATGAACACCACCACCAGCAGTTCTCGGTGCTCCACCAGTAGGTCTTGTACTGCCGCCGCCTCCTCCTCCACCGGGCGGAGCTGCTCCAGCATTTCCAAGTGTCCTCGACCTGCGCGCAGTACTGCCGCCACCCCCTTCCCCAGCCGACCCTCCATTCCCATCATTGCCAGGCGCAGGCCCGGACAGAGGATTTGAGGAATCGTCGTCATCTGCGTCCTTCGCGCTACACCAGAACCGATGACCCTCACTCCAAGCTGTACTCTGGCATTCCTTTCCGCAATACTTGGCCTTCCTACACCGTCGACACTTAGCGAATTCTCTGGGGTACTCTTCCCACCGACCACATAGCACTTCGAAGAAGTTAGACAGTGTCCATAGAAATATTGAATGAATCTCACTATTAGCACATTGTCGTATCCCACCCCGACTCTCGTCTTTCCGACACGCATTCCTCATAATAACTCCAGCCCAGTATTGAATCTCCGGAGGTAAACGCGGAGGAGGATTAGGCATATCAGTCTCCGTCGAACTGGGCCTAAACGTAAACCGTTCTACAAGCGAGAACACGTTTGTTTGCCTTGGGCTACCCAAAGGAGCCGGCGGAACTACAGGTGGTGCTTTCTCCTTCTCCTTGTCCCTTCCCCTGAAAGCCCTGAAGAACGATCCTGACGCCGACGATGGTGTCAATGTACTCGATGAGGGAGTCGATTTGATAGACGGGGCAGGCGATGTCGAAGTAGAACCATATCGCCCACCAGATAAATTCGCGCTCGCTGGATGGAACGTCAATCTGGGCTCATAAAACGCTTGCCTAACATGGGGGTATTTGCTCAAGTATGCAAGAAGCTGCAAGCTGAGCAGAACATCCTCGTCTCTATAAGGACCGGACTCAGCATCTCGATGATGGTGATGGTGATGGCTTGAGCGCGCCGGGCCTCCAACCTCGGTACCACCAGCGGCATCAGTTCTCCCTCGAACGGTTCCACCACGTTGTATGGGCCCGCGAGGCAAAGGAAGGGGAGCTGTCCCTGGCCGAGGTGTAGCTTCCGGAGGTGCGTCTGCTGTCCGCCTCCTTGTCGGTTCTCTCATACCTACATGAGTAGGCTCATCTATAGCACCCGGAGCACCGGGAGGAGCTCCCATCGCAAAATCGTCGTTCTGCTCCAATGACACGATACCTTCCTCGACACCGCCATCTCCCCCGACCATGACCTCACTTCGTGCGTCGTTGATGATTATATGTGCATCCGTGTTCAAGTCCACCTGCGTCACAGGTGCGTCAGATACTATGCCAACCGCACGACGCCCAAGCGATCCGTGATGAGAATGGCGTTCTGGGGACGGAGAAGCTGACGCAGATGTCGATGTTGATGGATCATCATCCGCAGCGCGTGACGGTTGGTCCATGTCGATGTCACCGTCGTCTTCGGTTTCTGTTTCGGCACGGGAGGTATCTGTGGAAGTTGAAGGTGATGGAGAAGCTCGAGAGCGCCGTCGAGTGCCCGGGACCGGCGTAGGTCGCGCCACACCCCCTGGGTTTGGAGCCCTCACTGGGGGCGCTGGATCCCATACAGGCCGAGCAATGATAGTTCCACTACGATCTCGACCTGGGACTATAACACTGCCAGTGGGAGTATTAGATCCGAGAGGCGTCACGGTCGTAGATACCTCAGTGGATGTGTCAACATCAGTGTCGCTTGTTACGGGTGTATTGGACTGTCTCCACCATCAACAAGGAGAAAAAATAGACAACTCAAATTCAACATACCTGCGAAGTTTCGACGGAGATTTGCCTTTGCAAAGCCCTCGCCAGCTCAACCGCCTCGTCCCTCTGACGCTGCTCAGCTATCGCCTGCCTCCGAGCGTGTCTCTGCTCCCTAGTCTCCCTAGGTAGCCCCGTCGCACTAGAGCTCGGACCGACCGCGAAACCTTTCTTAGCGAGCCATGCTTCTAAAATACATCCCACAACTTCAAGAGTGCCCGCCTGAACGACACGGCTTCGGATGGGCTCACTACCACGTACACCTATGTTTACAACACACTGGAAGGCGAGAGAAAAGCGATAGGCAGCATGCTTGTCGAAAGATGGTGGGTTGAGAGCAGGAATCAGTTTCTGAGGCCGGGCATTAGGCGGCGACAGGCCATAGAAGAGAGCCGGATTTTCAGGTGGCGGTGGACAGAGACAGAATTCATGCAGAATCTTTACGAGTCGTTCAAGGCCACCATCCATGGTCATGATTTCACGGATTCGCGGTGACGTCGAAGTCAGATAGGTAAGATGCGTCAGCGAGTTGAACAAGGGCAATGCCGACGACGTATCTAGCGCTAAGAGACATTTCAGCAAGAAGTAGATGCATATTCGCCACTATTCACCTCGTCTGTCATACAATTGGGAACTTATACAGACGCATGCCTTGTTTTGAGCCGGAAAAGCAAAGTTAGACTCGCGCATGGCGACCGATCAGTGCGTAATAGCAGTATCAGGGGGTAACCCAGAAATTCTTCGCTATCCGAGCAGGAATTGTGCTTTGGGAAAAAAGCAAGTGTCGCGGAAGGTACAGGAGAAAGAACAGGTATTAGAGAGAGTTGATTCAGCACCGTTTGATGGCTACGACCGGATGTTTGTTCCTGCTTGGCTAGGGTGGCATCTCCCGGCCCGTGCTGCCGCGCGCTCGAACACCAGACGCTTTCTTTCATGGACATAAAGGGTATGCTATTCAAGGATTTCTTGTTGTCCAATGAATGGCATTATCTTCGAACAAACAACCCTCCTTTAGATACCACACCGAATCAAAATTCATGATGAGAGGTAATGTAGCATGCAGTCCATGCACCATATTAGTAAAGAGAGCTCTGTTTGGCGTTATGTAAATGTCCTCGCGTATCTTAACAGGGCTTGCTAGGCTCAGCAGCCTGGTTCTAAAGGACACAAGTCCTGTCGAGGCGACATTTCATGCGATTCGAAGTTCAACTTGGCATAGAAATCCGGTGATCTTCGAAAGTAACGAAAATAGGGAAAAATATGCCAGAAAATTAGTTTGTTTTTTTTTTAGCACACTGAAAAAGCGCGTTACTTTGCTTCATGAATTGAAGGAGACTGTTACAGGACAAAACGTGGTACCGGCGAGGATCGGGCGTTAGATATTACGACACCAACGGAACGGCTGCAGGAGAATTTGAACTATACATAGTGACCCAGAGTTCACAAAGAACCATGTCAGTATGGATAATTCTCAAAAAGAAGAAAGCTCACAACACCATAGCACGGAAACATGACAACCAGCGACAAAAAGTTATTCCACATGTCCATTACTTTACAATACAAGTAGACAAGAAAACCTGGTCCGAAAGCGGAGCCGACGTCGATGTCCAAAGTAGCATATGAACCGCCAACAGCGATCAACACGTATCATTTTGGGCATTCGACTGGTTACTGATGTGAGCGGCTATGAACTCGTTGAAATTAAGTGCATCTGTGGTAGTGAGATAGGACTCTCATACTTCCATTACCTGTTCTTCCATCCACGTCCATAATCTCTGAATTCCGGACCTCGAGTTAGCTTGGTCATCGCACCCTCCTGACATCACGGAACCATGAACTAAGAGCCGCTATGAAGAAGCGGACTTTCCCGTTCGCATCTTCGTATTCTGGGCTCGTGCCAGCCCATAACGACGTCCATGCACCCCACTTGCGGGTCATATGAGCAAGAACCACTGTCACGTGTCAGCATGAGCAAGGCGTATAAGAAATGTAGGTACAATGCTCACTAAACCAATTGAGTGGAGCTAGCTCGCATGACGGTCAAGATTCGTCTTTGGGTTGCCAGGATTGAGGCTAATAGATACTATCCCTTTGTCTCCGAGTTCCAACGCAAACGTCGCGTCGCTTTGTTGACAATAAATGAGTGCATCTATATCAACACAGCGAATCGTGCCTACCACTTTGCTTTGAAAGTACAGATACGATGGGGACTTGCGTTTCAAACAGGATCTTGCTCCCTATAGGCGCATAAATAGCCGAAGACGAGGCGGTGACTACCCGGGCCATGCCTTTTGTTGAAAGTAATGCTGGCAGCGGCACCGAGGACATTAACGCCAAAATGATAATCGTAGCCTTGGACAGTGAGCATGTCCTGTGGAACTAGCATCACGCCTCTGACACGCGATACTGATGAGCAGACGATAGCCAGCGCGTCAATCATAGTCCTACCCATTATTGAATAAGATATCGACTCTTCTCGTTCCTAAAGCAATACAGACATGATAAACATTCAGCACCTGTATATACAGAGATACATACGAAAGGAACTTCTCAGCAGCAGCCTTGACAGATTTCAGGTCTCCAAGATCCAGGTCCAAGAAAATGGCTGTTCTTCCAGTGGCCTCCGCCAGTTGATAACGTTTGCCGTCTTTTCTGATTCCTAGCGGCAAGATATACTTTGGCGTTGTGAAACAGCAATTCCTTTGGACCTTTCAGCTTCAGCACGCATAGAAAATGAACTGGGCAATGCACCTTGACAATCTCTTTTCCTATCCCCGACGAGCCACCGGTTACGATAACGACTTTTCCTGCCAAGTCTGGCATCTGGGCTGAGGTCCACCAACGCTTTCCAGAAACCAGGCTTGCTTGAAAAAGGCGCCGAGGTTGTACAGGGTCTCGAGGATTTCTTCAAAATGCATCTATGAGAGCCAGCCAAGTTGTGGCGGTATTAATTTGAAACGACACCGAAAGGAGCCATTCAAATTCCAACGTATAAGTTGAAGTCCTTCCTTTATGCCCGCCGCACTGCAGATGGAGAAGCACCATATTTTCGTCCTGTAAGTACGAATAAAACGGGCAAGGAAGTGATTTTCGAACTCCGAAATGTGATTCGGACCGATCCCTCCGAGCAGTGATAGGAATCACTCTTTTCTATAGTTACCTGCCCTGGGCTAGGACCTTCAGCGCGTTCCACTGCAGCTGCGGTCGGCTGAAAGTTCGGAAATACCCTCAAATCAGCCATTTATGTGGAGCCTGTTTGGTAACGTCTCGTCGTCATTCGTGTCTTCAATTGACACTAAAATGTCATATCAAGATCCTCACTGGCGGCCGCCATAAATATTATTGAATCAAATCTTAGCTCAACGTGTAGTAAAGTCGTTCTTTCACTAGACACCATGGAATTGGGGCTCCTCAAGGCTGTATTTCTATACGGAGCAGCGCATAACTTGAATAACGAATGTACGAGCCTGGGGCGAGGTATTCCGCAGGTGCGCAGTATCTACAGCTGGATGATCATGATGTCGAGGCCCCATTTGCCGACATTATCTTGCATTCCGCCTCACCACGTCTCGAAATTTTGCTCCCAGCTGTCCCAAGCTGGTGACGATGAACACGGCATCGCGATATCTTTATCTCGTCCTGGGTGCTGTCGTGCGCAATAGTTTTCTTTCCTGAAGCTTGTTCATTGACTATTTTCATGCCGTAGATAAGTTTTCATTATATACTGTCTTTCACACACCAGGAGTATGGCCGTATAACATCACTCAACAACATCGCGTCGCATTTTCGTGATGAGACTAAAACGCCAGCATTCGTGGATCAGAATCTGGTCCCACTGAAATATTACGCGCCATCGAATTCCTGGAATGAAACCGCACCTGGACGACGTGCCAACGCGGCGTTCGTTATCCTCTGTCGAAATAGCGACCTCCTAAGAATACTCGGAAGCATCCGCGAGATCGAAGATCGATTCAATCGACGGTACAACTACCCTTACGTTCTTCTGAACGAAGTAGAATTTACTGATGATTTCAAAAGGCGAGACTTCTCTACTTCTACAAGCTACCCAACTAACTTCTCGCAGACGAGTCTCCGTAATTACTTCTGCGAAGATGGAGTTTGGCTTGATACCCCATGACCATTGGTTCCAGCCGGACTGGATAGATGAAGATAAAGCGACACAAGCGCGTAAAAAGATGATATCCCAAAGCATTATCTATGGTGGTATGCCATTCATCTTCTGTATAATACACCCATTGCTGAAAATAGCGAGATAGGTAGCATATCCTACCGGAATATGTGCCGTTTCAACTCGGGTTTCTTCTTTAAGCATGACCTTGTAAAAAAGTACCGCTGGTACTGGCGAATTGAGTACGCTCATATCAGCTTGGACTTCGATGATGGCTCACCAGATGACAGACCTAACGTCCATTTTCACTGTGATATAAACTTTGACCCATTTGTGTATATGGAGGAACACAAGAAGATCTACGGATTCACAATCACGATGTACGAATACGAGGAGACGATAACCACCTTATGGAAACACGTCAAAGATTTCGTCGATTTGCACCCCGAATTCGTCGCAGAGGACAACGCGCTAGATTTCCTCTCGGACGACGGCGGTACGACATATAATTTGTGTCACTGTGAGCTCGTCTCCCGCATGCCTCTTTCCACCGCTCATGGCACTTCCGGCAGTCTGGAGCAATTTTGAAATCGCAGATATGAACTTTTGGCGAGGGACAGCGTACACGGCGTTCTTCGACTACCTCGAGTCCCAAGGTGGATTCTACTATGAAAGGTGGGGGGATGCGCCAGTGCATAGTATAGCGGCCGCTCTGTTTGCGAGCAAAGATCAGATTCAGTTCTTTGATGAGATTGGATATGAGCATCACCCATACACGCATTGTCCTCAGGATGAGGAGACGTGGAGACGAGGTATGTGTACCTGTGAAAGGGAGCAGAGTTTTGGTGAGCGACTCTTTCGCTTTCTTTCAAGCGTTTTCTGACCTTGAGTAATCAGATCTTGATTCATACTCTTGTACGAACAAATGGGATAAGATTATAGGGAGATGATTAAGTTTCAAGTATCCCGTGGACAGTAACTGTATTTTACACATATATTAAACGATTGTACAATCGTCGAGTACGCCTGGCAGCGTATTCTCTGTTATTTCCCACGCATTTTTACTCCATTACTGCAACGAAACTGTACGACCATGGCCGCCATCTGTCCCACCAATATTCAAGAATTCTTGACCTTCCTTCCTAACCCACCTCGGATAACTCAAGATCCGTCGACATCGACAATAACCTATACTGCGCATAACATCTTGACCCCTTCTGAGGGTCAACCAATCCTCAGCCGATTAGATCCGACTCTCATTCCTATACTGACAGAGTTTATCACCTCAGTGGTTGCTGACCTCCATATTGGCCAGTCGATGCACCAAGCCCTTCAGCTTATGCGAATATCAGAACTCCAAGACGAAAACAACGTGAACCTCTACGGCGAATTTACTATTACAACGATAGAACCTGTCGTTCACGCTATTGTTGATGCTGCCCATCTCGAAGACCTATTTACTCTGTTCCGCCTACCCGGCAGGAAACCCCAATTTTCATGGAAGGGCGACTTTACTATCACACCTGTCCGAGAAAACGAGAAGGAAGGCACTGTGGAGCGTATCTGAGTCTGCTCTGACGAAGATAAGACGTTCTCGGTATTTACTTTCTAAGGCAGAGCAGCTCAAGTCGATTCGTCTTGACCCCACTAGAAAACGAGAAGGCGCCGCCACCATGGCCATCAAGGTTAGTCTCCACCGAGTGTTGTCCTCTGTCGCCATTTCACACAGTCTAGCTTGCGTTGCCGATGATTACTTCTCGCGTATAGTACGGATTTTTTTTTGCCGGGTACATTGCAATTGCCGCCCAACTAAGTAAGACTTTCATCATCGCTGGGCTCGACAAGCATTTCATCGATCTCTTCTAGTCCGGTCTAAGAGTGCGTTGCGCCCGGGATATATCCACCTTCTATCTATATTCAAACTTTCCACAGCACCCCTTTGTATCCTAATCCAAACAAAGTGCTCACACAGTTCGACGCTAATATCCAACCAAAGCCTTTCCTGGCCATACTTGTTGGAATGATATGCTCTAAATTGATTCCAGGCCACGGTGTCCCAAATCCTCCTCCTGACCTCTTCATGCTTCCGCCACTAGAGGATACACAAGATGAAAAGGAAGTCGATGAAGATGTTTTCAGTGACAGTGATGGTCAAATTGAGACTGTTCCTTTGCAAGTCACAACTAATGCGGTATATACAATCATTCTCTTCCACAACAGAATACGCTTATGCCGTTAGATGATATTGGAATACCCGTGGTTTCGCGCCACCGACGTGTACCGTATTTCCATAACCACGACACAACCTTCAAGCTTATTAGATGTTCAAGACACTACGACCAGCAGTAAGACCCCTAATTTCGTGATGGAAACCTCCCCGCAGTCCTCGGTGAAAGTTACACTGGGGCGTCATGCATGGAGATCTTGAACCACGGAACGTGGCGCAGACAGCTCAGGGCTTTAAATTCTTCGATTTTGGACGGTCGGAGCTGCACCACTGTCAACGTGATCAGTGCGACGCGCTGCAAAATTTGCTGAATATATAGAGCTGCCATGCAATATTGTTATTTTATCGCTATATTAGCGGATGGCATAGACAGGGTCCTGCTAATTTGCGGGGAAATCTGCAGGGGACTGTGTATGTGTTGGCAAACATGCCATGATTCGGGGAACTTTTCATTGGACGTTTGACCTTGAATACCACTGAAAGAGATAGACAGACATTGTTCCCATGTGATAGTCCATTCGAGTAATAGATCGTAGGTCAAGGGCAAAGATGCGAGCGGTTAGCTTCAACACCATATGCTAAAACGTATGCAGCTATAAACCTGCTCCTCATGGATCCAGTGCGCATCCGTAGACCTGCTTCGCCGTCGTTCTCCATCTCTCGGTATCAACAGCAAAGTCCTGGGCATACTCCACCTCCAGGTGGTGAAGTCGTTTGCCGACAATGACGAGACTATGCAGAGAATCTCCAAACGCATCTTCTCGATGGTTTACCAAGTCGGTCAGGGTACCAGCGACGATCCTCTGATTATCGCTTCCACCGCCAACGCGAGAAAGCGCAACTGCAAGTGTCGTATCAGGAGATAACGTACCCGTCTGCCTTACAGACTCGATCTCTATAAGTTGAGAAACCGCTTGTCGTATCGACATGTATCGAGATGGTTCGTAGATCTTCCGACCCCTGATACAATATCAAGACATGAGTGTGGGAGAGGAAAAGTCCCTCACCGAGCCAGATTCTCCTCACTCTGCTCCTTGACCTTTATATCCAGCAACACGAGCGTGTGCAGTCCGAGATCTGCGTTCTCCTTGATTCTATCATAGAAACTGTCAGGTTTCCATGTCTCTGTGAAGAAGACGAGGGAGACAGTCTGGCCAAAGTTGTAGAGCTGGAGGCCGCATGCGCCCACTGCGTTCATTATCGATGCATTGTGGATCACACGGGTAGGGATGCCCAGGCTGCGAGCACGAAGGATGATGTCGGTATGCGTTGTTGCCCTGCAACATCTGTTGTGAATTTGCTACCAAAGAAAAAAGCGTGCCACCCACCCAAACGGATCCCCAACAACCAACAGGGATACATCCTCCCTGTCTGCATTGGCTAATATTTCATCGCTCTCCGTTTCCACCATGTCCCGATCGGCGAGTATCAGTGGTTTGTCGTAGAATGCTTCCTTGCATACGTCGGCTCAAGGAACATGGTAGTGAATGGTTATCATACCAGTCTGTCTTTTTGTACCATCAAGATGCTGGTATAAGCTTCCAAGTATACGCGTGAAGAGCTTTTAATGGCCTGGAAAACAGTAAGAAATGGGCCAGTTAAGACACACTGAATAATTACTTCGAGTCCACGAACGGTGACATCTTTTTCATCGCAGAGCCCAAGACCGATGATGTAGAACATGGTAGGAAGGAAAGATCAACCTCGGCAGTCTCCGAGCCCGGCCTAAAGGTATCCTTCCAATCTACGAAGATCTCTAACTTTTTCCAAGCGACCTGTGCTGCAAATTCGACTGCAGACGCGTCGATATTGCCCATGATATTCTCTTGCCGTCTGACCCTGCCCTGATTCCATCTTGACGCGTTATCGAACACTAGCTCTCGCAAGACTTGTTACCCTAAGTTGACGCCGGATAAATTCAAGGCACGTCGCTGATCACAAAGTGAAAGAGAAATTGCTCGCAGGAGGCGTTAGATTTGTAGATTCCATTCCCAAGGCGAGTAAGTCCATACTTTTCTGAGTTTAGCGCAGCACTTATCGATCACCAATATCAATAGAGTCCGAGTGGAAAACTACTTCGACGGGTCCTCCGAGATGGACTGAAGATTTCGCCAGCTTAAAGGTAGGCCAAATATATAAACGTCCGTACTCATTGATTCATGATTTACTTCTCAAACAAAGCATCGCTCCTTGAATAAAAACCATCAGAATTTTTGTTTCAAGTTGATACGCTTAAGTCGAACAGAAAAGCAATCTTTCGAATAGCAATACAAGCTCAATGCTAGGAATAGTCGACACCACGTTGGAGCAACCCATCGTATATCGTCCTTGTCGAGAAAGTCTCCTGTTGTGATCCGGGCTTCGTGATGGCAGTGATATGGTGGTTAATGGTGGGAAGGGCACGAGAGAAATTGGTGAGACTGGCAGCCTCAAACTGGAGACGAAATTCCCCATGGGCATGAGAAGTCTGCTCGTTCGAACCTTCTACTGGCGAGCTAACGCTGAAAGGGCCCGAATCTCCGGTCAAAGTGATCACCGTCACGACAATACGTGCGGGGCGGACTCGTCATATACCAAACCGTGTATGAACTTGGTACCCCGAAGGATCCTGCACTTGCCATTACATTGAGAGTCTAAAGGACACATCTCAGTACATGAGGTCGAAACATTTAGCCATTGGTATTTGTTACAACAATACGATCACATAAATAAATCGGGACAGGTTCCTGAACACTTTGTTGGCTCAAAGAATGTAATTTAACAGTTATGCGGCGTAGCCTCTGATTTTGTCCTGTGGTTTGTCCTTGGAGGGGAAAAATCAGCTCTTATCGAGCACATGAATCACCGTGACTGACATTCATGCGAACCATTTTAAAATCATCGTCGAACACCTCCTTAGTTATCGCAACCACTGGCACTCGTCCTTGCATTCTATCTGTCCGACGTGAGCCTTGCATCATTTGAGAATTGGCATCCCGTGTCATAGTGGATGTGATGCCCATATCGGATAAGGACATGTAGGCATCCCGTCCGCCAAGAATTTGGATTCGTGAATTCAGCACCATATAGACGGTATTAGCATATAGCTTGGTCATGATGAGGGCTGGTGTCCCGTAGAAGGTCTGATGAGGGAAGGCAAAAAAGAGGATAAGGTTCAGTAGAGCGACAACAGCTAAAATGAAAGTGGTGTTATTCCTGCAACAACGGTGGATGGTATTGAGTACCTGTCACGAATCCCGTTTCAATAGTGAGGCGAATTAGCTTGGTGACAAGCATTCGGGTACGACGAAAACCAGTATCGCTGCGCATAAGCTACGAAATTTTATCAACAATCAGTGAAGATAACCCAAGGAGAGGAAGACCCCACGTAGAAAGTCATGCAGATGGCGATGACGATATCACTCAGAGCGGAGGCTCCACACCAAAACTACGAATGGGTCAGCACGGCGAATATGGGAAGTCCAGTCAGCTGCTTACCCCGACAGCAATACTCGTCTTCCTATTATTGAGTTTAATAATGTTGCCTGCTTGGAACGAGTAGACGCCTGTGATTATAGCTGCCACAGAGCTGGTCAAAGAGACCTGTATATATGTGAGCAAGACTATCACGGAGGAAGAACATAGTGACTAACACAGGTGACGAATATAGGGACAATTTGTGACTTTGACAACATGAAGATTCGGTACGCATAGAAGGTCTGCCCGATACAAGCAACTGTACTCATTATTAGTAACAGAAAATGAGCAGAAGAAAATGCAAGCACCAGCAGCGCTCGTGATTGGGACAGTGAGCCAGTTAAAATGCATATCTGTAAGGGCTTCCATATCACCGAAGCCGTACCCGAACGTTGCAAAGGCGTCGTGAGTGACAAGCGTCGTCTGAACAAATTCGACAATGTAGATGCCATAGACGAGACATTTTGTGGATTGTCTGTCCTTCGGAAATGCCAGATAGTACAGATCTACGAGAATGCATTAGAGATAATTTAGTTGGAAAAGATCTAGAGCGACGCACACAGCTGCGTAGAAAGGGTCCCGAAGAGTCCCCAGTGCAAGAGATATGCAACAATCTGAATTGTCGTGTTAGGGACTTGGTAGTGGTGGATTAAGCGAAGACAAACCAAAGGTCCAGATCTGAAATAACAAGATTCAGAACATGCCACTAATTTCCCGATGATAACTTACAGCCTTTCTATGGGATAAGCTGTGGAGACGTGCTGCATATTGTATCTGGGGTCGTTTTCACGGTTCTGAAGAGAAAGAGCCTGTACATATATTTCCGACAGTCAATTCATGTGGTAAGCGCATCGACTCATCAACCCATTGTCATCGCGGTCAGGTTGATGATTGAAAGTCTATTTCTGCAAAGTCTAAGGTTCCCTGGGGGATAAGAATGAGGAATACAAGAGGGGGTTAACACTGGCCATGGGAAACAGCTGTTGAATTACTCTGTAGACAAGGTCGATGGCGCGGGACTTTTTCGGGGTGCCGGTCCGGCTTGACCTGCTAGCGTAGTCTCGTAAACCAGACTCAACGATCCGTATGAAGATAAGTCGTTCAATAGTTCAAGCACTCAGATTTGAATGTCTGATGGTCCGTTAACGGAAGAATCCAACGTTGACATTGTAAGTTTTGATCTATTAGATACGCATTCATCCACTGATATCCAGGCTATTCTGTGCTGCAATGTAAACCTGACGGCCCCACGCTGATCCGAGTCGCGAGGAACTTGATATCACGGTCATAATGTGCACAATGTGATGACCGAGTTTCACACACCACAGGTGAGAAAAAAGTTTCAAGGTGGAAAGCTTTCTTGTTGTCTTGCAATAGTACGACTTACAGATCATCTAGCAAAATTCCCGCTTATCTTTTGGAATTAAGACTCGGTTCCACGAATAGTGAACTTCGTCAGAATCAAATGTGGGTATCTCGGAAAGAACCCATCAAATAAGGAGCTACTCAAGCTCCGGAACACATGCTATATCAAGGTCCCGATTGTGGTAGCCAGTCCTGTGGTACTGCAGAAATAGATCGATAAAAATGATTTCTATTACTACGTACGCTCTGTGCGACTTCGTCCACAACATCAGTGCAAGAGGAAATGCCTTTGTAGCTGCGATTCTGATGGGGGTGATTATATGATAACCCTTGAACTTGCTGGAACTGGACAGGTTTAAGGGGTATCATCAGCTTTTGAATTTTTAATGCTTGCTTTCTATAGGCATCAAAAGCAGCTTCGCATACCCTAGATTCTTCCGTCTTCGGGGTTCTTTTTGATCTTTCGCGTGTCTGGTGATTTTGTTCGTACAAAGAAGTCCCACACCCATTGGATCGCGGCATCAATACGCACACGGGCGGCTATATCGGTATCCACCTCTTTGAACCAGGCCATCTCTGTATTATGTCTCCCTCTCGACAACCTTACTCTATGGAGAGTAGTCCAGGAGACGTAGAACTGGGACAAAGCTTGAGGGCTCAGGGTTCCAATTTAGGATCACAGCCTGAAACTCGAGTGGGAAGCATAATCAACGAAAAGGTCGACGCAAAGGATGAAGCTTTGCGAGTCGAGGAGCCTTCAAGTGCACCCCAGTTTGTCGAAGGCACAGTCCAAGGATGGTTAACGGTCTGTGGCGCGTAAGTTCTTCCCTCTTTCGTTGGTCTCTGCTATGATGAAAACTCGTGCTTCCAGATCTCTAGTTGCGATGTGTACGTGTGTTCTTCTTTTTTTAAAATACTGCTTATCCTAACCGACACCAGGCACGTTTGGAAACATTCAGGTAGCAGCATCCTTCTGCTATTCGACCCAACCATCTGATCACGTATTTCACTAGTCCTTTGGAGGTTTGTTTTACGTGTTTCTAATATTCACCTGCATGGCTCATTGCCCTTAAAAATAGTCTACCAAGCCTATTATACCGTATGTTACGTCTGCCCTTCAAACTGATCCTATTGGTAACACTCGAGATAGCAAACCTTTCTCTCTGGCAACTCGCCGTCTAAGATAAGCTGGATCGGTTCCGTCCAGCTATGCCTCCAGTTTACTGTTGGGGTTTTCTCGGGAAAACTCTTCGATCGAGGCTACTTCCACTCTCTCATGATTGGTGGTGGCCTCTTTTTCCTCTTCTCGTGAGTTTATCTCTGCAGAACGTACTCAGATTCAGATTCATTCCTTGTCAGATCTTTTATGCTCTCACTCGTTAAACCTCATCAGTTCTATCAAGCCCTGTTGGCGCAGGGTCTTGGCATGGGTATCGGGATGGGTTGTATGTTTTTGCCAGCCTTAAGCATCACGTCGCACTATTTCAGGAAGAGGAGAGCCGTTGCCATGGGGTTGGTGGTAGCGAGTACATGCCTTCCCTTTATTTCGCCACCTGAAACCTACTGACGGTCTTTGGAGGCGGGTCCTTGGGAGGCGTCATTTACTCGATTCTCCTGAATAAAATATTTCCTCGGGAGGAACTAGGATTTCCTTGGGCAGTTCGGTGAGCCGATGGACTGTTTCCTGTGGCGAGCTTCCGTCTCATGGTATTCCAGTTTCATCGCATTCATCAACATCATCTTCTTGGTTGTCGCGAACCTGATCATGAAGCCGAGATGTGGGGCAACTCTACACATTCACTTCTACTTTAAAAATTTCACTGAATTACACTTCTAGGGCCGACCCGCAAACGCGCTCCAGTGGATATGAGTCAAATCATACATGATCCCCCATATTGGGTGACGATTATAGGGTGAGTTGTATCGCCTGTTATTTTTAGTCCCTTCTACCAACTCCCAAAAGGCTTTTTCTAGGATTCTGGGGGATATTCATCCCATGCACGTGTCGTCCGTCTCCGCCTCATCCTAAGGTGCTTATGATACCGCTTTGACAGACTTTTACCTGCAGCTCTTCTCTGAGACTCATGGAATAGATCCTAGCTTTCTAACTTGGACGGTACGCTTTAGATCTGTCTGCAGCTTTATCTGTGACTCACAGCAGTGGCATAATAGCTTCCCATCCTCAATGCCGGGGCCGTTTTCGGGCGGTTCGTGCCCAACTTCCTAGCCGATAAATACGGCCCGTTGAATGGTAAGTCGAATGATGTTGACTATTGCAAGCCGACCTAATATCCCTTCAGTCATCATTCCAAGTGGAATTATCTCAGCCGGAACGCTGTGGGCTCTTCTCGGCGTTAGAACCGTTGCAGGGGTGGTATTATTTGGGCTGGTATATGGATTTGTCTCTGGCACATTTTTGACCCTTGCGTCTCCGGCCCTCGCGGCGTTCACCCGGAGCCCTACATTAGACGACATAGGGTAAGATTCTCCGTCTAGCGAATTTTCTGTCCTGATTTTTGGGCAAGGCTTCGGATTGGCATATCGTGCTTCTTCACTGGGTTAGCACTGTTGACAGGCAATCCAATCGCGGGCGCTTTGCTGTCCGCTCCAAAGTACATCTGGTGGCGTCCGCTTACTTTTGCCTGCGTAAGTAGCCGGTGGACATTAGCTTTGGATGGGTGCTTAGACATCTGCATTCTAGGTCGTGATCATGGCTGGCACTATTTGCATTACAATCGCTCGACAGGCACTAGTGCGAAGGAAGGGTGGCGTGAAATTTATCTAACCAGCTTCGTTTGCCCAGGCGAGCGGAGAACTACGTAGAAGCGATATTATTCTGACTAGATCCATCTTATTTACATGATTTCTGATTTCATCTTTCTTCATTCTACGTACTTGGGTTCGGGTATACCTGACGACTTGGCGTAGTTTACAGTTTAGATTTCTCGTCTCTCTAGACAGCCGCACATTCCTCAGATTTATAGATTCTCTTTCCCCAGGCCCACACGGGATTGTTTTTTTAATTCAATCTTACAGCCGTTTGCATACAGGTTAACAATCAGGGACATTTTTGCGGATGATGAAAGAAAAAGCAATCGATCTTCATCACTGTAGACGGGGGTTCCGAGATCGCCGAAATAGCCATAAACCAGCCCATAACCGCCATAACAACATCTTACACTGACAGTCCCTTAAACTATGGTTTATTACGAAGTCGTAGTCGCTCTCTTCGCTTGTATAAAAGTCGCATTACTGTCAAGCTCTATACAAATGACTGTAGAGTAATAAGCGTAACATTATGGTCTACGTTCCTGAAAACTTGGTATGTGTATGACATCTTTCCAACATCTCAGGTAGTCGTATGGAAAGTGAAAATTAACTGGTCCAAACCGAAGCCAGCAATATTCAAATGAAGAGTTTTCTGGGTATACCTCATCACCTGAATTATGCATGCTCGCGCGAGAATCATATTACAGGACAGTGAGTGACAGCAATTTCGTAGCTAAGGTAAGTTAGGTAGGGGCATTGTTGATCGTCCTCATCAAAAAAGTGCGTACAAGGTTCGACGAGGAGAAAATCCAACTAGGAAATTGCATTTCGAGAGAAGGGGAACGGGGAGAGCATAAGTAAGAAAACGAAAGGACCACCCGCTAGATAGGCGAAAGAGAGTAAAGATATGATACGATATTCGCACACAAGTTAATGGAATAAACAGGTATTTTCTGAATAATTAAGGAAAAAGGGAAGAATGAAAAAGGATGGAATGAAAACACGAAGGTGATAAAGAAATGACAACCAATAGCCCAAGGGGGTGGTTCTCTGGCTCAAAGAGAAAATTCCAAACCAAAAACCAACCCCAAGCCCCCAGATGCAGTGCGACTGGGAATACCCCTTTTTCGATTCATCGCATCCGACAGTGGGTAGGAGGTGAAGGGGAAGGGGTATCCTTGAATTACGATCCAATCCATAGTTGAAGAAGAAATACCATCTATGCCGTCATCGGCTCGACGTTGGCGGCGTCATCCCCATCCCCACTCTCAACGCCCTCCATATCTTCGGGAGCGCCCACAGCCGACGCAGACCTCCGTCCACCAGATGCCCCTTGTGGTCCTGATCTCGGAGGGTTCGCGCACCGATCCTTCCCATGCGCGACTCTCAAGTTGGCATATTCGGGCTTACTCTTGATGGCCTCAATGGCCTTGATCGCGTTGGATATGTTCGTAAAGTTGACAAAGGCACAGTTCCTGTTATACACTTAGTCGATGATTATCCTGGAGAACGAGGACACATACTTTTCCTTGAGAAAGTTGACCAGCTCGATGTCACCATATTCTCCAAAGTCCCTCTTCAGTCGCTCCTCCGTGAACGTCTCAAAGTCCTCGACGTTTCCAATGTACACATTCCTCGTGGCGCCCGAGTGAACGGCAAGAGCCAAGGTAGGGGGAAGAGCGCCGGAATTCTTTCCCCATCCAATCTTCAGCCGCCTGTTGTTGATTGTCATGCCCTGGTATGATGCCACCTGGAAGAATGTGAAGGCCGCAGCAGGGTCGACAAATGTGACGAACTGAAAAAAGATTAGTGTCAGTAAGTGATATGGCGGCACAGACGCACAGCGATATGCTTATCCTGCATGTATCGTATGCTCTGCAGGACACCACCCCTGATCGAATTGCACAGGTCCTCGGTCGAGGTCTCTGGGTGGATATTACCCAGATAAACGGTTCGGTTCAATCCTTGCATGCCTGCTCCAGCACCGGCAGCCATGAGCGCGTCTACAGACGGCGAGAAGGGATTATAGGGGCTGAAGGGGTTGTTGAATCCATTCGGGTTGGCACTCATTGGCGAGTGCATAGCCGTCTGAGGCGAAGCCGTCTGAGCGATCAAAGACTGGGCAGCAGCAGCTTGCGCCTGTTGGGCGGCGGCCTGCTGCGATTTGGGAATATAAGCGCATCGGTCCTTGCCGTAGTTGACACGTTTGCCTGCCCAGTTCGGTTCCGTAGGAAGCGTATTAACAACCTAATCGAATGTCAGTACCCTAATTCAATAGCAGAATTCTGTACTACATGCCTTGGTGGCAATCGCAATGCTCAAAAAGTGAACGAAGCCAATGTTCTTGTCCCGGACGATTTTAACCTGGTCAATCAAGCCAAACCTGCTTAACTCATCACGCAGCTGCTCCTCTGTCATATTCTCATCTAATCCGCCGAGATATACATTCCGGCTGGCATTGCTCTGACTGATTGCTAAGGCTACCTGGGCGGGGACTGGGCTGGGTTTACCCCAGCCGATCTTGAGCTCCTGTCCGTGGAGTGCGAGCTTCTTGATGGTGGCATCCGCGTGAAAAGCAGCAGCAGTACCGCCATCAAGGAAGGAAAGGAAAACGCAAGATTTTTCTGGAAGAACGCGGATAGATTCTAGGGGCCCGAAATGGACGAGGTTCAGGAGTTCGTCAACGGACGCAGTGGCGGGAAGATTTCCAATGTACACCGTACGTCCCTGGAGGGTTCCTGAAGACGCCGAGAGGGCGGCAGAGAGGGCGGCAGCTGGTGTGTAGGCATGAGCAGCATGAATGTTGAGAGATGGCAGACGCTGTTGCCCGAAACCCTGTAGTTCATGAGATAAGCAAATTAACAAGATACGCAACCCACACACCTGGGAAAAATTGGGCATTTGACCATTGTATGGGAACCCTAGCATGTTCATTGACGGAATCCCAAGTCCCAACATGTTGTATGTACCAAAGCCACCATACGGCGACGCTCCCCCGGGACTCGGCTGCTGCTGCTGTTGTTGAGCGAATCCAGCTGCAGAATTGGGGCTGAGCTGGCCACCCATACCTGATCCATTCGTCTGAGTGTTGATGGAAAGTGGCGGGGTCGAGTAAAGCTGGTTCGGGCCAAAAGGGGTCGCAGAAGGAGACGTGTTGAAGCCAGGCTGGGCCATGCCAGCTTGAGGACCATAGCCGTAATTGGCAAAGGCGTCGTGGGGCGACGAGCCAGTAGGAGATCCGGCGGTATTTTGAGAAAAGGGAGGTGACCAGCGGGCCTTTTTGGCATCAGGACCGCCAACTGGCTCCATGGAGCGCTACCACAGGTAAGATATGGTGAAAAGACAGAAAATTTGAGGAAGAAACATACCTTCATCATGTCGATTTCAAAACCGTAAGGATACTGAGAATCAAAGGCAGTCTGTGCACCGTCCATGATGAAAAGAAGGGAAAGGACAGAAAGGGGGCAGGAAAAGAGTTAGAAAAGCGTAACGCAAAGGAATGTATGCGCAAAGGAGTGACAGGTGTGGGTGAAAAAAGACACGCACAAGAAAAAAAGAGTGGGATATAAAATATCAGTATCAACTCTAGCACATGCAGAAATCTCGTCAAAGGATGAGCAAGGACGAAATAAAAGTCAATGAGAACTGCAAGAATGCCTCCAAAACGAACTAAATCGCTCGAAGAGACGGTAAGGAAGGTGCTATCCGAAGACAACGAATGCTGAAAATTGTCCCACGATCCACATACTGCGCACGGGCCACCTGCGGCCCGGCCGCCGATCCCGAAATGCGAACAAGGGTCGAAGTTGCGGAAAAACAAGGTGGTATTGATGGTTGAGTTCACTAGTTCACTACGTTGGGACGAGAGGAAGACAGAACAGGGTATCAACGAAAGGGAATACAGTAGGTACAAGCAATGGGTACGAGGTGTAATACTTAAGAGACAGCAGCGGCGTGGTGAATACAACGGACAGTGGACATTGAGAGGCAATTCGTGAGAGGGAGAAGAAAGATGCAAATTCAGAGGCGGACATACGATTTTGGGAAGGAAAATGAACTGGACTTCAGCTAGTAGTCAGCGACAATTTACATTAAATTTACAACACGATACAGACACGGTAAATTTAAAGAAGATCCCGATGCCGAAGAACTCTGGAATCATCAAGGGAAAAATATACGATACCCGAGTCGCTAGAATGATCGTTTTCAGCCTAAGAAGAGGATCCGTCACCGAGCCCAGTCTAGAATATACGCAGACATGCGGTCAGTCACCGGTTCGGAGCTAGGGATATCAATTTCGACTATGACTACTATCCGAGAGAGCGCCCAAATCCCAAAATTCCCGATGTCATATCATAAAAGCAATTTTAGGACCGCCCGTCCGGGAGGATTCCGATTCTTGTTGAAGCTGACACAACCTCCAAAGTGGTCACTCTCAGTGCACAGTGAGATGAGGGTGTAGCAAGTTAAAGAATGCAAAAGATGGTCTTTACAGTGCTTGGTGATTATGAGGTCGCTAAGCACACCTCTTTCGGTTGCCGACCCAGCCTAGGCACCTAATGGATGACAGTGAACGAAGGAGGGGTACCATCGACTGGTAATCATTGACGAATAGGGTATACTAGGTTTACTTCAATTTGAGTGAAGCAGGAGCGGTGTTTTATGCTACCATACTATTCCATTCCTTTCCGACGGCAGAATAGTCCTTTTTAAGATCACTGAGTTACGTCCAGTCGGGTGAAGGTTGTCCAGTCGAGGTAGAGTCTGAGAAACGTCTTCGTCTGGTTCCTCTTGGAGAATAATCGCAGAAGAACGACAGTCTCCAACCAGGTGACCGCAGTGTTAACCGGCCGGCAGCGGGATTCTATCATTCCAACGGAGCCTTCCGAGTCAACATCTTCTGACATTATGCCGGAAAGGACGAACACTCGCAAACGCGGTAGAAGAGTGACGGCATCCGCAGAAGGAACGGTGCGTCTGATCGTGAGTTTGTCGAAAAATGACCTCGCAAAGGTTTCGAGAAGGAATGTTCAAGTCGGATATCTTACAAGGTAGGTGTTAAGCATATGGTGCTCAATATGCACTCCGTCAACACCAAACCGTGGATAAATCTTAGTCTTGTTGAAGGGCAATAGAATCGATCAATAAGATTCCGGATTGCCGTAAACGTATTGTCGACGTCGAACTCTTTGTTAAAAGTCCATCCGTCGAAGAACAGTGTTGACAGAGCAGGGGTTGTGAGCTGATTGAGTACTTGGAAGGATGGGCGCTGATGAGTTAACCGCATTGAAAAGTTTAGCAAACGAAGCTCGCGACAGATAACCTGGGCTTGCTCCTCATCAATGAGGCTCGTGTCCCATGACTCGCATCTCAAATGGCACTCCTCGATATTAGGCATTGATCGAAGTTGGTCCACGATCTCCAATGCAGATGGATGTGCATCATGAAGAAAGGCGTGATCGCTTCTGAAACCAATAATCTGATTCCAGGGCAAAGTAAACGACCGTGAAGGATACTTGATGTCCATCACTTCTATCGTCCGTAGCTTAGGCGCACCATCAAACAGCACCGTTCCTTCTAGCTCACTCATCTCTCCACCGTCGGTAGAAAGAAGGATCAGGTGCTCAGGGATGGGAAGGATAACCGTAACGGTGGCAGGGATGAAAATGCAGCAAAGAACATGGCTAGGAAGAGAACCTGTATTCTCTCCGAAGCCGAGAAAAGAGGGGCAATCAAAGCTTCGGGGAGCTCATGGGAGTTACTTTCTTCCGCGTCACGATGAATCATTACAGTCAAACGATGCTGCTTCGAACGAGCAAGCTGTCGACTCAGGAGACGCATATATCGATACGTGCGCATGAAGAAATTATTGTCCGTAACGATAACGTTTAGGTATGAGCAGAGCTCCGGGAAAGACAGGACGACTTCTCTGACAGTTTCGTAGAAAATTCGGCAGAGTATTCCAGACGGAAGGCTCCTGACGAGACTGAGGAGTTTCTTCCTGAAATTTATGGCATCAGAAAGCTTCTCTCGCTCCGCCAAGATGTGCTCTACTTCGTTGTCGATTAAGGAGACCTGCTGCAAGAATGTGGTTTGCAATTCTCCAAGATTGACAACTCGGGAATCAAGAGCGGTCATGCACTCTGAATATTCGTCTATCATTCCTTTTAAAGTGGCAGCTTCAGCGGGCAACGTTTCCTCGTTCCGGCGCGTCAGATGCGCCAAATTGCTGTTTTCCAATGCATTATCGGAAAAAGTGGATGTAGCACGGAAAGTCATGATCTGGGCAAGTGCAACCTCCAGAGCAAGGCTTCCATTGCGAAGGACAATTCAGCTGAGCCATTGCGTCAATACCTGGAGAATATCTGGACACAAAAGTGGTCAGAAACACTGTAAGATAAACAAAGGAGCAAAACGGGTACATTGCAATTTGACCGATGGGTTTTGGGACAAAATAGAAGCCTTCCAAGTTCCGAATAGATTTACCTGAAGCTGTCTGAGAGTCCCACAAAGCCTGAGCAACATTTCGCACCCACCGTGACCAGACAAAGGTATGAAACCTGCTGCTAGAGTGGCCAAGTGGTAGTTGACGTAAAAAATTCGGAATTCGGACCGACTACGCGTCTCGCTGACAAACCAGTGAACAATGTCCATTGTCTATTACCTATTTTGGATATCAACGTCGACGACGACGATGAGCAAAGCATCCCACAACGCAGAGCAGGCATATCTATGATGGCGTACTCGATAATTCTGGGCATGATTGGCTGGTCTGTCCTGCCCGACTTTGCTACCACACACGCGCTCCGTTTCATTCATGGACAAATGAAGAATCCACCGGCGCCACGTACTCCGCTGTACGTCCAGCACTATCGTTACACCTTCGCGTTCGTCGTGCTGGCGTATCTTCTGTACAACCTTATCCAAGGTTCCAGCTCGGTACCTCCCAACTTTTACCAGATTCTGGGGGTCCCGCATGACGTTGACGACAATGGACTGAAGCTTGCTTTTCGTCAGTTCGCGAAGCGGTACCACCCGGATAAGCCTGGCATTGGCCCTGAGGGCGCCGAGATGTTCATGAGGGTTCGTGATGCGTTTGAGGCTTTGAAGAATCCAGTCGTCCGGTTCGCGTACGATAGGTATGATGTGCCTCACATTGCTTCTAGGTGGTACTGAAATATCCTAGGTTCGGACCTGATGTCCTGCTTTGGCAGCAGCTTTCGACGCCAAAGGAGTACCTGAGGCAAGGCCTCATGCAGTCTTCGGGTTTTCACATCGTCAGCGGTCTTGTCTTGGTCTTCTACTCTTCTATCGGTCGGGAGAGCCCGGTCAAATTTGTAGGTTTGCATGTTACCATGGGAGGATGCTATCTAACTTCAGACTAGTGGCGTTATATTCTTTATGCCGTTTTCCTCTTCTCTGAGATCGCATTATTGGTATCACCATCACCTTCCACCCTCCTGTCGAACCCGACCATCCTCCATTCATTCTTTCCCCAACGTGTCACGTTTCAACATGTTCTCTTTTTGCACCAACTCTTCTTCTCTTTGAGCGTTGCTGTTAGTCGTGTCGCGCCTAGGCTTTTCCCCGAGCCTCCTGATCAAACTGTCGTTGAACTTGAGAAACTCCACACCCTTGCCGGCATGGCGGATCGCGAGGCTTCTCTGCTTTTGCATACGGAGCTTCATTCCGTGCATCCCGCTGCCAGCTTCTCGGAACGGATCCCGCTATCTCGTATGAGACCGCTTCTTGAGCCGTCGTCCGACGTGATGGACGAGCTCTCGAAGGAGATGGAGAATATGATTATAGAAACAAATGTCAAGAAGGACGCTGGGCCACTGAAGAGTATGTGGGAGGCTGCGGTGCAGAAGGGACACAATTCTGCCCCTGACATCGTAGAGCCAAAGTGGGAGGACTTTAGCAAAAATTTACCGTCACCTAGGCCATCGCCACCTCCTCGAATTCCCTGTAACAATTATACCAGGGCCAGAAGTGTCAGTTACTAGCCGTCTTGCTCTCATTGTATTATCATTTCTAGATGCAAAATAACTTGCCAATCTCTTATATCAGAACGAAGATGTTATCATGCGCTGATAACAGCGAAGAATCTCGACGTCACGGACCAGTGGCATGTCTTCTGAAGCCTTATCGACCAGGGTCCCTAAACAAACATGTCGTAGCTTGAAAGGCTGTAGCTCCAAGCATTACAGAAAAAGAAAAGGGCCAGCCACTTTGCCTGGTGGCCTCAAAGAGCCTTTTGTCGGCCTCCGTCGTTGTGCCGATACCACAATCGCCTTTGTTCCAGCCGGATTTCATATAAATGGTCGTCTTCAAAGTGAAGCGCGGCCAGCAAATAACCATGAGCTATTCATACCCAACTCTCCTCCTCACAGATGTCGCTACCGCTGAGGCCGTTTCCTCCGGCGCATACCCATTAATGATCTCCGACCTCTTTCCCTCTGCCATCCTTTTGGATAGCGCGTTGCCGTCTTCATCCAGGGTTGAAGACAAGAAAGCTACGAGTGGCAGCTGCGTCGAAAAAGAGACTAAGCAGAAATGCGCGCCTGATAGAGGCTTCTTTCAGCGATTCATGCTCTGGTGGAAGGGAAAAGATGATGGGGACGGCGACAACCGGGGAAATAGCGTTATGCATACTTTCTTGGATGGAACTATTGCATCACCATCGGCACTCTTCTTGGCTTCAACGCGCTCGTTAGATGCGTACGAATGGGCGTTAGATGTTAGTGGACGGAGGGGCAGTTTCCAGTTGTATCTGTCTACTTGATTGGAAGGTCCTTGACAGACACCGTCATTAATGATACATCGCTCATTCAGGAGCGCAACTCAGAATTGTATTAGTTGCAGGCACGAACGCCTACCTTACGACATACGCATCCTAACCACTCCTCTTCTGCACAAAGGTTGTCTCATCGGTACCACAATCAAAGAAGGGCCAAAGATATCCAGATACCTAGGCTGTGATTAGCTTATTTCACGCTATACGGCCGATGTCCACAATGGATAATTAAAGTGGAACAGGCTCTTCTACATCTTGTCTACATCTGCCAAGCGTTGCCAAGAGATAAAGCCAAGAATAAGTGGATCAGGTTGCGATCTTATTGGACTAACATCAAGTCGCCAAGCCTTCTTGACTGATAGCGCTCAATCTGATAAGATTCTGGAAGAATTAATCTGATTAGATTCCGTCATTTTCGCGTTATCGGAGGACTGTCGGCCTAGCAGATAACTGTCTGGGCTTAAGGAACCTCTCATGGATTGTCCGCTTCGAAAGGCATTATTCTAGGGGGCTGCTCCAAATCTGTGGGAATACTTAGGGAATACTAATGTCTTTACTTGTTATTCAAGCCTTCTTTTACATTCTGACCTCCATTTCTTTCAGGCGCAACTAAGGGAACAAGTGCTACCGAGACGCGTACACTCCACCCTTGCTTCACCCAACCTGCAGGTCCCGTTCCTTGAGATTCGGAATTCGGCGCAGGTTCAGCCTAACGTCAAACACGCATGGGGATGATCAACGGAGATGGACTGAAGCTCTTGCATTATATAAAGTACAGCAATTTCAGTGGACCACCAGGAAGATCACAGTTGATTGTCCCCCTTCGATTCTTGACTTCGAAGCCTCCATGGCCGCCGTCGAGGAAATCAAGTCCCAAACCGGATCCGAAAGCTCCATCGAGCAGAAAGCCGACACCATTCAGGCTCCCAAGTCCAAGTCAAAGCCTGAGGTCGCAGGTGTCGCCCGTATCGAAGCTCTGTACAAGGTCTTTGGCGGTAAAAATGGCGCACCGCTGTGGATTCTTTACCTCAGCATCGCGCTCATTGCGTATGTCTACTCCCTCGATTCCAACACTACGAGCAGCTTTTTACCTTTCGCTACATCTGCCTTCGAGTCGCATGCGTCAATTGGAACTATATCAGTTGCTGCTGATATTATAGGCGCCGTAGGGAAGCCTTTTATTGCCAAAATTGCGGATATCACGTCGAGACCGAGAGCTTACGTTTTCTCTCTTTGTTTTGTTGGTGATTTTCTATTGTGTTCCTGGCAAGTATATTGACACTGTAGCACAGTACATTCTCGGATATATCGTGATCGCTTCCTCATCCACAGTAGGTGCAGTCTGTGCTGGAGAGGTGTTGTACACGATTGGGAGGACCGGTTTAGATTTGGTATGTCTAACACTTTGCAAAGGTCTTGTCCTGTGGACTGACAGACCTGTCCCAGGTGACGGACATCATTGTCGCTGATTTGTCTCCATTAAAATGGAGAGGCTTCGCAACAGCTCTCCCCTCTTCTCCATACATCATCAACGCTTTTGTCGCCGCCGAAATCACCAATGGCTTTATTCCTGGAAAATGGCGGTGGGGTTATGGAATCTTTATCGTGAGCTTCGTTATTTCCATCCCTTTCATCCATTTCTCATCGAAGGTTTTCATAGATCATGCTTCCGGTTGTAATGGCGCCTGCTCTTACTGTATTATTCTGGGCAGAATACAAGGCCAAACGCGACGGCACGGTGTCCATCGCGTCCAGTGCTTGGGAACGGCGTCACGAAGGCTCTGACGAGAAAGTTACCTGGTACACCATTGCCCGGGATTTCGGCGACCATGTCGATATCATCGGTCTCATCATATTGGGTACTGCCTGGGCGTTGCTTTTCCTTCCATTCACTCTCTACTCCGATGCAAAGGACGGATGGAAAAATCGTACGTATTATGATATTTTTAAAGAAGCCTGTTTTGACGATCTCGAGCAGCCAGCATGATTGCCATGATCGTTGTAGGAGGTGTTTTACTATTCGTGTTTGCGGCGTATGAGAAATGGTTTGCTCGTTTCCCGCTTATGCCGACCCGTGTCCTTAATAGGACTTTCCTTGGTGCGGTAACGGTCGATGTTCTCTACATGCTCTCTGGAAATATGAGATCTTTGTATTATTCGAGTTGGACGTGGGTTGTTAAGGACTGGTACGTCTCTTCCTACCCGTCCACGCACGTTATATTTGCGGCACTGAGCTAAAGCAATCATTTGCAGGACAACTCGGGAGTGGACATATTTCAATAAGACGTTGACCGTCGGCCTTTGTGTTTTCGGTATCGTTGGAGGTCTGATTCAGCGTTACACTCATCGGTACAAGGTACGTGTGTCCCGCTGATCCCCTTCAGTTATCACCGACATTGATATTCTAGGTGCTGCAATTCGCCGGTCTTTGCATTCGGATAATGTAACGTGGTTTTCAACCCAGAAAGCACTCAGTACTAAGTATCCTACACAGCGGTATGGGCTTAACCTTCTACGCCAGAGGCGATAACGCAACGTAAATACCTTTTGCATCATATACATTCTCAATCTTAATCAATGCACTAGGGATGTCGCCCTTGTTTGGACCCAGCTCCTCATTGCCATTGGTGGAGCATTCAGTGTCGTAGGCTCGCGCGTTGCCTCCCAGGCATCTGTACCACATGCCGATCTCGCACAGGTGATTTCCCTGATATCTCTCTGGACTTCCCTTGGTGGTAGTGTTGGGTATGCCATTGCTGCTGCTGTCTGGACGTAAGTAATTTGTCTGTGAAGATGCTGTGCAATTGCTAAATACTTGGCCGTTTGCTGCTGGTAGAGGCAAAATGCCCGGATACCTCCACAAGCACCTTCCATACAAGACGGACGCCCAGATTGCTAAGATATTTGGGTCCATCAAGAGCGCTAGGAACCTCGAAGCGACGGACAGGACCAATGTCATTTACGGTGTGCATCAAGTAGTGCTCTGTACCCGACTATTTCTTATTCACGGCAATTCGCATAGCATACAACGACACCGTATATCTCCTCTATCTTCCCGCTCTCATTCTCTGTTAGTCCTATACTGTTCTTCCACCGGACGGCTGATGACATCTTTCAGCTTTCCTCCCTCTTATAGTTTTGGTGTTCATGCGAAACTTCTACCTCGGCGATAACCAGAATGCTGTCCAGAACATTGGTATCGATGGCCGCGCTTTGGAGAATAATGAGGTTGACGAGAGGAAGGAAGAAGACGCCGAAAAGGGGTCAGCAAAGTAATCTTGCTTTTTCCTCTTATGATATTCAGTTTACGCATCAAGTTATTATGCATTTTTATTCATGTCTGTGCTAATGAAAATAATCGTCCGATCCTAGGCCTCTTTTGGACTTATGACGAGGTGAGGTATAAAGAAAAACTGAGACTCTTGCGGAAGTCGCGGTCATTCAACCTATTATACCATCTCCGCGTAATTTCTCCACCTCCTCCTTCCTCAAACCTAGCAATTCCTCCAATACAACGTCCGTGTGTTCGCCCAAATCGGGACCAGCCCAACGCGGGGTGAGATCAAAACCTTCGATCCGAGGGAAAGTTCCCAGCATCTTCACATTCCATCCCTCGCCGTCCCTACCATCCACCCAGACATTCTCGATAGCGCCTCGCGCCTGATTATGCTCGCTCTCTACAATATCCTTCACATTGACGACTCGCCCGACAGGGACGCCAGCTGCATTCATGACATCTATAATCTCCTCAGTCGTCTTCTCGCTCGTCCAGTCCGAGATCGCTTTCTCGATTTCGGCTTGTCGTTGCACACGGTGTTGGTTCTGCGCGTAGTCAGGACCAGTCAGTTCGGTATGTCCGATCGCTGCCATGAGTCGATTGTACATGTTATCCGCATTCGCTCCGATAACGATGAACGTCGATGTGGACGATCCTGGCTCAGGAAGACAAGGATAGGCATTTGTCGGTACGATTCCCGTGACGGAAGAGCCTGATGGCCCGCGAATCTTGACAATTATTCAATAATACATTCTGTTATGCCGTGGTATTACTTACCTTTCCTTTCCGATCATATTCTGGTATTACTCCCTCCATAAGGTTTAACATACTACAATATAAATCAGTATGTACCCGGAACGGCCATCACAAGTTGTACCTTTCTAGAATACTAACGTCGACGGTTGTACCACCCTTCTCGCCGCGTTCGATTTTGGATTGCCTCGACAGCAAAGCCAGCACCTAACTTGAGTGGTTAGTATGCTTTCGAATAAGAGACGGGTCACCTTACAGTTCCAAATGCAGCATGGAGACCTGCAACTGAGTCACCTAAGCTGATGTTTGGCCGCACCGGTGGGCCGGTAAGGCCTCCAGTCTTAGGGTCGGGGAATCCATTTATATAACGAAACCCGGATTCGGCTTCACAGACAGAAGCATAGCCGGGACGCGGTGACCACGGTCCCGTCTGACCATAACCACTCACTCGGGTAAAGATCAAAGAAGGATTGTGTGGGTGCAGAGCCTCGGGACTCAGACCCCACTTTTCTAGGGCTACATGCCAATCAGTGTCAGAACACACAATTATTGACCACGAAGAATAAGTACATACTTCCAGGCTTAAAATTCTCCAAAAGCACGTCGCTCTTAATGGCTAGTTGTTTGACCAATCTGGATGAATACGTTAGCATCGGATGATGCGCGACGTTAGAGAAATCACTCGCTCTCTGCCTTCGGCTTTTCGTAGGTCGATGGCAATACTCTTCTTGTTTCGGCCAATACTCCGAAACCAGGGGCTCGTACCGTCTGTATCCAACTCGCGCCAGACACGAAGAGGATCGCCGAGACGAGGAGGTTCTACTTTGATGACTTCGGCGCCAAATTGTCTAAGCTGCGCGTGAGTCGTATACAGCGTAAGTACAGGCTAATGCATGAAATACCCGAGCAGTTGCCCGGCAAATGGCCCAGCGATCACCTGTCCCATTTCCAAAACGCGGATTCCTGAAAGAGGAAGATGCTGCGAGGATGTGGTTCCGTAGCGTCTAGCAGAAGACATTTTGTAAGAGAAGGTGATGAGAATATAAGATTCTCACCTAAGAGTATTCCATCGCAGTGCGGTCATAATGGACACTACTGTATATCAAGAAGCTATCTTGAGTTGATATACCCACGGAAACTGCTCTTCGGCCGAAACCTCGCACCTACTATAGATCAGGTGGTCCGTCTATGAACTTGTATTTAAAATTATTCGAAAGGCTTGCAACTGTATGTCTTTCTCGCGTGAACGTACAACTTCGTTTTCAGGATCTCGCTGCTAATGGAGCATTTGAGGGAATGATGGTGCTGGTCTCGCAAGCTAGCAAAAATCGAAGGGTCCATCGAGCTTTCTTTCCTGTCATGGAAGAGAACCTCAACTTCAACACAGCCTCTATCCAGGCAATGAAGTGAGGGAGGCTTCCTCTGGTGCCTTCGCTCGATCCCAAAGACGTTCTAAATCTCAGCTGTACTTCGATGCTCGCATTCGCTACAGGAATCCACAAGCGACACCTCATCCAGCCCGTGTGCTTGGCAGACACCACTTCCTCCATGCTCGTCCCTATTCCCCGTCATATCATTCTGGCTATGCCTCTTCTGCGAGCACATCATCTTACCGTCTCGGGCTTCTGAATTCAAATTCATTGATTTCCACCACACCGTGGTCTTCGTTCTAGCCCGGGTCACAAATTACAACCAATCCATTGAAAAGTTTAGGACGGAACCAAGATTTTTCACAGACTACTTTCCATTTATTTGATTTCACCCTCCATCTGGCGGTACGAAATACAATATCGACTCTGCCCGGTCTGTATTCACTGCATACCATGCAGTTCTCTCTACATCACCGCCTTTGAGAGACATTCTCATTCACCGACTGGAGGAAAACAGGGCACTCACCGCTAATCTCATCCTTCAATGTATTCTGGACAAGTTCGCCCATATTCCGGAGGAGTCTGACACGATACTTCTCCATCGATCTCTTTTCACTATCGTATCCTCTACTGTCCAGCTCTCCGTCCAATCTGTACCCATCGACATCGCTTTACTGAAAAACAAAAGTATCCAATGGATATCTCTTGTTTTGCGATTTGTCACCCGGCGCGCACAATTCACTCTAATTCATTTTAACTTCCGCTGTAGTGCCTTGGAATATCAGCCGGAATGTTCATGACTTGTTCAGGGTGCAGGTTCACGCTGTATTGCTCGCGGACATGCCAAAAGAATGACTGGTCATCTGGTAATCACCGTCCCCTTTGCGCCAAGATCAGGCAACTCAGAAATGGTTCGTCAGATCACCTTAGTACTATGCGCCTCGTTTTCCCACTGGTCTCCTAGATACTCGCCTTCTGCCGACGTCTTTGAGCGATCGGAGGGCCATTGAGAACCTCAATAGCCAATATCTGGAGTATCATAAACAGAAGCCTTCGGAATGGGATGATCTGTTGGACGAGTATATTGCAGAGAATGGAGAGCCTTTTTGGCCCTTGGTCTTGGTCTTGGATTATCGTGCTCTCAATGTTGAGCCTGACATTCAGATCGAGTCTTCGCAGTCCGAGAGGGAACGGGGAAAATTAGAGACGGGAGGGAGAGAGGCTATGCATGTCAGGATAAGATATTTCACTTAGGCCAAGGGCATCGAGGAAAATGAACTGTCAAATGGAGCTGCTTTTTTCTTGCTGCGTCTTAGACCGACGTTCCTGCCTGCACCATATTTGTACCTTGACTCTGACTCTCCCGTCACGGCAAGTTCCGCTATGTTTGACAGTTTCAGGTTATGTGGAGTCGGTTATCAGCACTCCAAGGTAACATATTACAGACTATTAAAAAGCGATTGACCTATTCTCTGCATCCGATTCATACCCCGGGAAGGGTCCGCAGGGGAAGCACTTGTCCCAGTCTTCATTCATCCTGTTTTCACTCTATCAAGTACAACTCTTGCTCATATTTGTTTGTCACCGAGGGTCTTGAAGGTCTTGGTACACCTTGTGCTCGGCACTGTTTCACTAGTAGTACAGGACAGATAACTACCTAAGATTGGAAGTGATATAAAATGGCTATGAAATTGCCAATACTCTTCATGTCTGCCTACTTGCTTATCAACATGATGGGTCTCTCAGTCACCACACACTCTCCTCTCGCAGCTGCCATGGACTCCATCCTTTCTGGTCCTATTAAAGATGGGGACAAGTCCTACGATGTAGACCACAAGGGCAAAGGTTGCGAAGATGATGGCAGGAAGTACTGCAGCTACTGTAGCCAGAACAGCAAGGACAAGGATGATGATGACCACAAGGATGATAAGGATGACAAGAAGGATGATAAGAATGGCATACTACGACCGTGGCAGCATTAGCTGGAACATCCGCTATGACTACTAAGCCAATGATGGCTCGTTTATATCATGGTTATATGGACGGACTCATAGGACTTTGGATGGATAGTTTTATATGGTGGCTGTAGGTTATACAGATGGACTCATGGGACTTTGGATGGACACTGTTATATGTTGAATATGCAATACATCTTTTGTTCTTTTGAAGTGTACTTGTGATTTGTTGTTTGAAGCATGCCTCTGGGGTTAGCACATTCATCGGTGAAGTCTCCGACTCCCTGACTCTGATATTCTACGATAGGACGCTGTTGTTTGCTCAGGGTTAGCACGCGTTAATGCTCACATCCAACCAACACAGAGTAGCGGCACGGGCCCTCGTAATTTAATAAAGAATTCAGTATTTTGAGTTGCCTGCATGATTTTTTAGACTGATATGAAATGGCGGCCGATTCTGTAAGGCATGAAGAGACGTGAAGGAAGAGCCGTGCCTTGTAATGAAGAAGATATGTTCCCATAGTTCCGATGTTCATACTATTGCCCTAAAAAATGTTCCTATGTATGACAGTGATCATGCGAGGAGTTGAACCAACGCAGAGTAGCAGTATGGGCCGTTGCACCGTATCTGAATCCTCTAACAATACAGATTATGTCTACGAATACAATGTCTACTATCTACTCCTGCTGTCCTATTACCCACTCCAACCCTTCGCGACTCAACAAGCCCCTCCAAGAATCATCTAATCCGCCCGTATCATGCAGCTCCATGTACGTCTTTATAACATCCCTGCGACTCCTCCGGCAGAGTATTCCCAGCGCCACAGCAAACGCGTTCACTCTCCCTACGACCAGGACCTTTCCCGACACCGTCACGAAGAAAGTCGAGCGGGACAGAGTTGGTACGCCTCGGTCGTTCTGCCCCTCGTCCTCGACACGAATTACAACTCCGTCCCAATCCTCAATGTCCCCCAAGGCGACATACACGTCCGTTCCCTCTCCCAACGCTTGTATGCAAGCAGACGGACGTTGATGTTCTCCCCCAGGTCTGGGGGAGCATGCTGGGTGTGTTTTTGCGCTCCCGTCGTTGCTGCTCTCGCTCTCATCAACGACGGCCCTCCTTTTTGCTACCCTTCGCCGCGGTAGGTTGCTCACATGCGGTTCGAGATGGCCCTTGGGCTCGATGGCGACACTGAAGTCCAGCTTTTTGTAATGGCACGGCTCGGGGTTGATGAGCGTGGCTGAAGATGTGGGGGAGGGGATCATCGTGGTGACAATTCGTCCGGTTGAACGGGGGGCCAGCGAGTTCGTCAATCTTCTATTGAAGAGACATCGATAGCCCTTCGTTAATGGTACCAGGGAATGCCTTGTCTCTTAATTAACCATTGCAAGAGTGCGAATACGACGGACAAGACACACGGTAAACAAATTCCTCCTTCAGCGCCGCTAACGTTATGTGCAGGCTGTTCAGTGTCAACGCCAAATCCTCGTGTCCAAGTATCGTATTTTCGTTGAGTTTTTGACGCCGGAGATCTGGGAGCCAAATTCGGGGGTGAGCAAGAGTCGTACTTGATAGAGTGAAAACAGGATGAATGAAGACTGAGACAAGCGCTTCCCCTGCGGACTCGGGTAAAATCGGGTGCCGGGTGGCACCTTCCCCCCGGGGTACGAATCTGATGCAGAGAATGGCTCAATCGCTTTTTAATAGTCTATGGTATGTTGCCTTGGAGTGCTGATAAAGCGAGCTCCACATAACCTAAGGCCGATCCCTTAGGTATCCGTAAGAAGGATTCTCACATAAGAAAAAAAAATGGGTGACATCCTTGGTAAGAGTAACTACCAGTGTTGATGAGTCTTGGTGACTCGGTACATTCAAGGTTAACTTGAACTTGTGGCAAAACTCAAACCCAAATGCAAATGCAAATTCGGATACGGGGAATCGAACCCCGAGCTGCCGCGCCATGGTCTGAAAATGAAAGGCGGCAATGTTGGCCGTTCCACGTGCCGACTTTTTTGTTCATCTAATTTTAACTCCAACTCTTTGTAGACTTCCTGAATGGGTATGGTATCTGCCTTACCTACCTATCTTGATCCAAGCTAATAATTAGACCTTGTAATGGCACAGATTCCAGTGATGCATGGCTCCGAGTCACCCATGTCTAGATGCCCTCAATGTGGCTTTGGCACTACGATACCAAGAACACGGCTCACCGACACACCATCTCCATTCCAACACCTGATCTCTGTTAATGCCGCTGCTTCTGACGTGGATCCCATCCACCATTACCTCCAAGGGGTACATGACGAAATTCAGCACATTGAACTCGTGCTCAAGGAGGTGCGAGAAGAGAAAATTCGTCTTCAAAACATTGCAGATAGCCACGCTGCACTCATGTCAGCCTTCCGCAAATTCCCATCAGAGGTCCTCGCAGAGGTCTTCCGGTATTCGATTGACATCCCATCCATGGACGAACAGAATAAGTGGGTTGGCGACATGACACGGGTCTATACCGCGCTTTGCACGCTTGGCGGTGTTTGCCGTCACTGGAGGACGACAGTGCTATTGACACCATTTTTATGGGCTCGATTCAACGTTGGTTGGAGTGGATGGAAAAAAAGCCCGGTGCTGTTGTTGAAAACCATGCTGGATCGATCTCGCGAAGCCGATTTGAGCATCGGATGTGCTTTTATAGCATCTGGAATAGACAAGCAGGAGAGGCGCACTTTACTTGAATGTTTGGTTCCCACAAGTTACAGGTGGAAGCACGTGTTGTTACTGTTCGACGAGGACAATGTGGACATATGGGCAGATTCGGGGTCGTCTTCCATTGTTGGAGCAGCTGGAGCTTCGTTTTAAGAATTCGTCCAAACTTTCTTTGCAGGATTTCCGTGCCTTCGAGGACGCGCTTCGTTTGCGAGAGTTGATTATAGGACGAGGCCCATCTCCTGTCCACGAATTTACCCTTCCTTGGTCTCAGATCACCAGCCTATATATAGACCGTCAAATTGATCCTGACGATCTCCGTATCGTCTTCTCCATCAGTCCCAACCTACAGTCCTTCCGTATGACCGAGCAATATAACAGTACTGGTGTTCCCATTTGGGAGCCAGAAGAGCCTAATGACTTCATGACTTCATCCATACGATATCTTCATGTCGGAGACCCAGAACTGTTCCCAGCTGCTACATTTCCCTGTTTGGAAGAAATCTCCATCGAAAAGCTGTTGCCTTACGAGGAACATTTCAGTGGATACGGGAAAGCCTTTTTCCGTGATTTCTTTCGTCGTTCGCAATGTCCGGTACGGAAGATAACGATCTCACTCGGCGACGACTTTACAGACCTTGAAATGCTTTGTAGCAGACCATCAGTCCAGAAGCAACTGGGGGACGCTATTGCTGAACTGTTCATATCCCGATACTATGCACCCACAGCTAATCTCATGCTGTCGGTTGACATTGAAGTACAAGTACCCTTTTCATTGATTCCCGATCAGATAATGTGGACTAGCTCCGAAAGATCTCCCTGCCTTTTAGAATCGTTCTGGGACTTTCTCGAAGCACGTCTGATGAGTCCACCAGGCTTGTACAACCACATTGTAATTGAAAAGGGAGAAGGCTGGTAGGTCTTGTTAACGTTGTTGTAATTGTATTCTAGCAACCTTTCTAATCTCATATATCTCTAGGGGCTATATTTCGTATGAACCAACCTCCGCCTGAGAGACAAGGCTGACACAGGAGCCGAAATACATATTCTGCGTGCTCCTGTGTCCTCTCCTCCAGGTACTTAATTTTGCATCTGATATGAAATCAATTTTATGGATATACCCAGGCTACATGCAACGAAGCAGTGACTGACGAGCTGCGTCAAGGAAGAATACATCACTGCTACTGGCATTATAGCTTTCCTAAGCATTTCTCTATCATGAGAGCACTGTTATCCTTGAGCTATCGTCTTCCCTTTACATAACCAGAATTTGATAGTGTAATCATCCACCCAGGTTTCTGGGGCTCTCATGATGCGGTGTCAGACTTTGGAGCAATAGAGCCAAGGGATTGGCGGACTGATGCGCATTTCAAAAGCCCTTCTAACCGTGCACGGCAATCAGTGTTCTCAGTTTACCATTCTGCGGCATATATTGACCTCAAACTCGTTACTAATTACTACCTACAATGCTTGTTATCACTAGTTCCGAGTCCAGATTTTCTCTCTTGCTTGGACATTGACCTTTACTCAGGCCGCTGCAGGTCAACCTTCCCCACAGTTCACAGAGTCATAGAAACCCTCGAAATGCCTACGACTATGATGCCAATTTTCTTGAGTTGGTCATCGATTTCTGGCTTTATGATCAGAACAGGTTTGATGTCAAATTGACTGTATACAAGACAATCTATTTCACATAGCATCAAATTGCTCCATGAAAAGATCCAAGACACCTTTTGGAGCTGTACTGTCATTTTGTTTAGTAGAGCTCACCGGTAGATGTCGTTCGCGACGTGTCGAAAAACGTGACAGGAATTTGTCTCCTTTCGGCTTTTTCGGCCATAGCACCTTAGTCTGTGTTATATGCTACCAAAGTCGAGAGGATGAAGTTGCGTAGGTCGCCTTCCGAGATAATGCCGTGTACTGGTGAGTCTTGTGCCCTCATCCATGTCCATGGGTGCTGAGAATGGGACACAGCACCTGCCAACGACGACACGACCCTTTCTGCTTCCGTCATCTCAGAAAACGCGACCTCAGACCTCGAAAACGCGACAATTTCCACTCTACCGGTGGAGATATTGACAGAAATATTCTGTACGGCCTGCGAATCCTACGATTACACGAAAACGAATGTCATCGTACCCACCGCTATCGCATTATCCAACGTCTGCTCGCTTTGGCGGGATATCACGATATACAACTCCGTCCTTTGGTCCGTACTCTCAATCAACCTGCTTCGCGTTTCGCAAAATATATCTCAAGCCAACTCCATGCTCTCTCTGTATCTCTCTCGCTCCAAAAATATTCCTCTCAAATACATAATCTACTCTCCGGACGTCGAAATTGTAGAAGTCGCGGGATTCTTCAGATTCGTTATCGCTCTGATGATAGTCGGGAGAGAGAGATGTTCTTATGCAAAGATACGCATTAAACAGAGAGAACTAGCAGAGCCGTTTATCGACAGATTGTTGCTGACGTTCCGCAACGTCGCTGCCATTGATGTCGCGCCCCACTGGCTTGCATTAGGTCCCTCTTCCGCGTCGCTAGCCCATCTCACGATAACTAACGCCACGACTGTCGACATAGTCGCTTTTGACGTGATCGCTCCTAGCTTCTCCATCACATCCATCTCCTTCAAGAATTGTGATTTCGTTGACATTATGCTTGTTCTCTCCGCAAGCTGTCCCCATCTCGAGGCACTCACCATCCAGGATCCGAAATGCCCGCAGCCCCTCTCCGGGACGCTTTTAAAGATCACTTCCCTCACGGTCATTCTAAACAAGAATTATCTGGACAATTTGACTGCTATCCTTCTGTCCTTACATGCTCCCAAGCTCGTTTCTCTCACAGTCTATGTGCACGAGTGGACTCGAATGAGTCCAAGAGTTTTTTCTCACTTTTTTCGGCGCTCGATACGACTGGAATCCCTGACTTTGCGGAACTGCATCTCCCTGTGCGTGAATACGGCAATCTTCTCACTGGAAAAGCTGGGTTGGTTCGATGTGCAAGTGACCTTTGGAGATTTGGATGCTGTTCTGGACGCCATTGAGGCTAAGGCATGTGCTTGGTGTCCTCTTAAGGCTGTCGTACTACGCCTGGTGCAGCTGGAGCCACATAATGGAGAAGTGGCAGAGATTGAGGAGGACAGTGGCGCGGAGAGTGATCCTGAGGACGAGAAGTTGTATTGCCTCGGCTGTGGAACAGCACACGATGTCGAAATGAATATCGGAGATGAGGAAGATTCTGATACTGAGGACGATGGCGATGAAGACTTGGGTTCAGACTCTATCGAACAGGAACCAGAAATGATGGAATGGAGAAAGAGACGAGTTGCTGACATCTTTCCTAGAGTTGTCCCGGTTCCAGTGGATCCTGATATGCTCAAGGCTGTTAATATCAGGTATGGCCCACAACTGGACAAGCTTCGCGCCGCTGGTATGCGAATTGCTATCGTCTCAAGTTGAGCCTCGTATCAACCACGAGAGGTAGGCCATGGCATTATCCTAGCTCGGGTGGCGCCTTCATCAATCCACCCACAGATACTTTACTACGCCTGTACTTATGTAGAACATCCAGCTTCGAATGAATCAAATCGTTTACTTATTTCAACAGTCAGAAATAAAAGCCCGGGCTTCACAAATACTTATCCAGTTCCTCTCGACTACATGACGACGAAAGGACTCATTCTAAATATCTAAAGCCGTTCTCCATTTTTCGGTCAACAATTCGATTGATGATCACGTGAAGCGCGTCGCGACAATTCAAAATTCAAATTAAACTTAACCTTGCTTCACTTTTCGTCCTCTGAACGCTTGGCGTCCCGCGTAGCAACATGGAACAGTCTTCGACCGAGAAACTTGTCTCCATGGTTCGTCTTCTTGACGGTCCTTCGGTAAAAGCAGAGGAAATCGAGTGGGCGGTGGACTTAGAGGCCGGAAAGACCCTCATCGACTGGCTCGCAGCTCAGACGCCTCTGCACCTGGACGTGGAGGAGAGCAGCCTCGAACTTGCCCAGAAAATAGTTTTGACTGGAATTGCCCTGGAACGGGAAGAGGTGGAAGCGTGAGTATGTTGGTTCGTTTTGACCTATTCCACGGGTGTACTGTCGACTACGTCCAGGTTAGCGAACGTAAAGACGAATCCAGGAAGCGATGGAAACGCTATTTGTATGCCAAAGAACTACTCAATACCAAGCGAAGCACGGTCGGTAGCTTTTCCACCGTCAAGGCTATCAAGTTGAATCGTTCTCAGGGAGCATGCCAAGCTCATGGACCTAGAATCGACTTATATTGAGGATGCAACCGAGTTGCTAAGGGCACGACTGAAGCAGACCAAGCAAAGTGGACCAGCAAACCTTGAAAGATCGCATTGCTCACCTTTCTGTACGCAGGATCGCCAATCGCAAGATGACACAGACGATCAAAGATTTGAAGCATGAGATTGGGCGGACCTCTGACGGTATTTCCGCTTCTCAGGAAAGACTTGCAGAGATGTCAATCAAGGCGCGTCCTTAGTCATCCATTTCACTTTGCGACAAAATTGATTAAACTAGCGCGTCAGGCTGACTCCACTTTCTCCGCATCCATTCGATGTGCCTCCGAGGTTCTTGATGTTCTCGAAAGCAAAGGTGCTGGTCAGTTCTGTCTATCGAGTACGAACCAGGCCTTATGCGAATATAGGCAACGTGCCAACTAATACTGAACTGAATGCATACGCGAACTATCGATCTGCTGTGCTCACGCGCACACAACAGCAAGTGCAAGATGTTGTAACAGCAGCCGCAGGCCTCCCATCTGAAGCAGAGCTCGAGCAGGTGGCAAACCGGGCGGCGAAGAAATTATACGACAGAGACATTATCAAAGCCGCTGAAGAGGTTTTTTTCTGCCAGCAGATGGAGGAAGTGTGCAGAGAATTGGAACAGACGGATCGGAGGGCTGGTGTTGCAAACCTGCTTCTCAGAGTGAAGTCAGCACAAGAACGCCAGGTCGATGAAGACACTGCTGCCATGAACATCAGCGAAGAGCTTGAGATAGCATGGCGGCTGGATCAAATGAGTCTCCTTAATGAGAAATCGCAAGTTCTGCAGAACGTTTGTCTTTCTTCCCTATTCGAAAATATTAGGCTGATCGCGCGCTTTAGGCTGTCAAAGATTTCGAGGACAATATCATACCTTCTTTGCAGTCGCTTTACGACTCCGTCAAAACTTCTGTATCTTATATGGCTGAGGCGGAAGGTCTCATCGCTGCACTAGGTGAAGAGGTGGAGGAGATAGTTGAATCCTCTCGACTGGCGAAGGATAGCCGCAATAATTTTGGACTATCGGAGGAGACTAAAACAGAAGCTCAGACTCTTCAAGCTGGTTTGGTCGATCTTCTGAAAAAGCTTCAAGGTAGGGATGTATCAATTCTTGTTGTATTACCGCTAATCCACGCAGACCTGCGGCCTGCCAGCTCTGAACCGTTGGTTCTTTTGGATCATGAAGATGTTTTGCGTGAGCTCAAAGCTGTCAAAGAACAAGAGCGCTCTCTGGAATCTGAAGAAGAACTTGGGGCTGCTGCTCTTATCCAAGGCTTGGAATATCTGTGAGTTGTACACTTGTGTCGGCAGAACTTACATCACTGATGCCGAACATCAGGAGGGGCTCGCTGGGGCTTTTATTATCTGATACGTATCTCCATGCGCCCTTGAACACGTCCCCTCCCTATGCGCTGCCTCTGGAGTTGAGGAATTTAGAACGTGAAACACAGAAGAAGAGCGAAGAACTAAGGCAAAGTGTTGCGATACTACAGAAGGTAATGTTTTCTGGTGCCTGCGATAGCATGGACATACTAACGTTGTTCGCATGTAGAATGTTGGGTCACTGGACAGCGAGCGTTCCAAGAAAAAGCTACGGAGTCTTGCCCATCGTGTGCTGAAGAGCTGAAGCCTAAATACACACGTCGTAACTATATTTCCAGCGTGAGCCTGAATGACAGAGCTATCCCGTGATCGTCCATCGCTGTCCCATCAAAGTTCTGTTGCTATACAGATTTTCCCCTCCACATCGTGCCCTTGGTTCAACTTCGCACATGGCAATTCTATCCTGCAAGACAGAGACATGTTCCTCGTGTTCTTGCCCCAGATCTCGAGTCGCAAGATCAAGAAGAGTGTTATTCTAACCCGCATTTTTGTATGTCTACGACAAGGCACCTCGCCATTTCGTAACCTCAAAGCATGGTTCTGACTAACGATCAAATTTCCGTTCATCGTCAAAACTCTTATTGCATGTTCGAGCAATCCCAAAACCGGTAGGTAGGTATGACCGGAAAATCTCAAAGTTTCAGTGTCATGTTCTTACGTGTGACATGGCCACGCTATTCCAACGTGCTGTAAAAATATTAAACAAAACTTGAAGGGTATCTGGATAAACGTAGTCTAGGTAATAGCTAAACGGGTAATAGTGTATGCGAGATGGATGTATCATGAAAATGAATAAACCAGAATCTCAATCCATAGACCCCAAAACCAGATCATCCTGAAGATTGGACCATCTTTGGACCGCTACAGACCGTCTGGAGCACAGATGAGCATTTCCCCACAGGGTCGAGTAAAGAAGCTAAATGACCCTCTGAACGGCTCAATTGGTGTCTCCTCGCAAATGCCATCGCCTCACGAACGGTCTCAATGGATGATATTTCCCTGACGCTCAACATGAGAATTATGGCTTCCGGCGGCTCCGAGTCTGTCGGTGTGGATGCTTGATTCAGATGAAGACATATGGCTGGGCACAAGATGCTGCTTAAGGATCAATAATGTTTGATGCAGGGGGCCTAGGACTTACAGTTTTCCCGGTCAAGCGACCCCTGCATTCGGATTAAGTCATCCAGTCTGTACTCCTCACTCCTAGCGAGGACATGTCCGGCTTTGAGCCACGGCAGTTTAGAGCAGATCTCGAAACGGATTAGCGAGAACGCCACCAAGTCCAATCTGTGAAAGTTCAGTATTAATATCTAAAACGTCTGAGACGGAAAGAGTTTGAATGCTTACGGTCCGATGTTTTGGTGCCACACCAAGGAGCCACCGTGCCGCCTTATACAGGATGTGCGTGCGTTTATGTCACCGCTTTTCAGACCGACATATACATTGGATGCACGATCGAGTAGGGACATAGAGGGGAGGCCGGATACATTGTCAACTTGGATTGGAAATCAGATTTTCTGTTTGTGATAGAAAGAGAAAGCACGGACTATGGAACTGGATGCAATGAGAGCTGCATGTTGGCCTTGAGATGGAATTGAGTGCTGACCTGGGGGAAGAGAGACATGATAAGAACATCAGAACACTCGACTGCGAGGCACCACTCACATGTTGTTATTTTAGGCAATGCTGAGATTCTAGATGCGACGATAAAGTCAAGGCACAGATCTGAGGGGGGGGGGAAGTGATGTGGAGATGCACACGACCGAGTCCCTTTTATAACTAAATGCCTCCACACCGGAACTTCAGGGCAACTACAGCACCGGCAATCTCTACAGCTTCCAGCCGCGCAACACACGGGGTCCGTGTCGTTAATTGATTTCGGTCACGAAACCGGAATGAACGAGGCGCCCCTGCTTGTTACCGCGTTTGAAGATGAAAGCCAGGCGCCTGTGCGAAAAGACTGTTGAGAGGGCAAGTAGTAGTTGTCTGAGAAGGAGCCCGGAGTGAGATGCCACCGCAGTGCAGTGCTGTGTAAAAACGGGAGTGCGCACGCCATTCGGAAATAGAATCATGCGCATTAGATCCGTGCTGTAGAGTGCCGCTGAGTTAGTCTTTTACTGCATCGTTCAACGTGTAGCTATTTCGCGGTGTGCCATACAGCAGGCATCCATGCACATGATGAAAAGGTGTTGAAGAAGAAGTACGGCATTGAAATTTCTGCGGCCGGACCCCTGAAAGCAGTATATCTTGTATTTTCATGCTGTGAAGTGAATAAGGACGGAATATGCATGGTCACTGGGAGGGATACGAGTACGATGCATGCGCACTCGATGCCTTGGTATTATTATTTTTTTGGTTTTTTTATTCCTTCTCTTCATTGTCCTACGAGCAACATCCAGAGAAAAGTAAGAACTAATCACGAAGAAAGCATAGAGTGGTTTCCATTGGAGAATGGCTATACTGGAGACAGCTTATCGGATTTCCCATCCAAGTTACCGCATTATCGAACAATGCGCCATGGTTACCGCTTACATCAAGTCTCTTGGGGAGCCCCCTGGGCCACTTCCCACAAGGCCCCCCCTGCCTTGGAGCACGGATTATTATGCGGAACGACAGGTATGATCATCGACATTCATGCTGCGTTCGAAACATTCGACGAGGACACGATTTTGCGCTCGGCTTATCCCGGTGTGGCAGAGAACTGATCATGATTAATTGCACTCGACTCATCAAACCCACCGGCTCCGTTCCCAAGTTCGTTGGCTGGAACGGTTCCTGATTTTATTTATCCTATTTTCATCCGAGTGATCCTCCCCGCCTTCAATTCTACCAATGGAAGATGCGTTATGATTATCTCAGTGCCTGATAGCTAGGGCAGGACCCATGTTTATCTTCCAGAGCTTCGGTACGATAATTTGTCTTTTTGACAATTTGTCCGGACTTGTCGCAAAAGCTGCCACAAAAAAATTGCCTGGGCTGGTTTTTGACCAAAAATTATCGAAATCTCCTTTTTGTCCCTAATGTCACCCTTCTCGCCGGCGGGAGGCAGCCGAATGGTGACCGAAAGCCTCTTTTGTTGACCGAACCTCTTAAAGGCAATAAACATGTGCTAGGGCTGCCTTGTTTTCTCGGATTTACGATCCCCCGCTTGTTCACATAGTCATGAGAGAAAAGGATTTAATTGTCCTTGCCTGTCATTCCTCTAACGTGTTTCCTGCAGGAAGAAGCTTTAAAGTACCTCCTGACTTTCTCCGGATGATCAGGGCCTATGTCAATTGACTTCGGCCATGGGAATGATCTTGATAACGACATATGGACGGAGTGAATGCCATTCCATCGTTCTTGGTGGGCCGCTTTCTTGATACTATCTGCGTTCGTTCATGTTCAACTCCCGCCTGGATTTCTCGGTTATCCCGGGTTGGATAGGATTCAGGAATTGTCCCTTCTTCGTGGAAACACCGGACGCAATCTATCCTTTTGTAACACAAGTTGAAGAATCCCATCGGACGCGTGATGTACTACCGTCACGGGAGTCGGCACTATGTAATAGATATCTGCGGTTCGCGACAGTTTTCATGCTTTGGGAACTTGTATGATTACTGAAAACATCATCTCGTCAAGTTCTAGAGCTCCTCCGGCGATTTGTCAATTGATGAACTGATATTTATTAATAGGATACATTCATAGTAGAGTTTAGTGGGAAATGACGCCTGCCCATGTGAAATAGCGGGTAGTTAATGCTTCTTTGAGGTTGATTGACTTGCTAGCATTGGAAGCTAGGCCTTGCAAACTTGAAATGCGCTTTCCAAGGATAAGAATGTTGATGAAAGAGGTACCCAACGATAGGACGGAACGGCCATCGATGCAAGAGTGTTGCTTCAGATGAATCAGATAATCAAGTGATCCCTAAAGAATCAGGTGCCGTACGCCAATGACCCACGTCCAGCCACTGGAGGACTCAGAATTGCAGTGCAGTTCGCACCGCGGTCAACTCTACCAACAAAATATTGAAGGAGACTAGTGGCAGGCGCTAACAAGCCATCAAACGAATTGAAACAAAGCATCGAAAACGGGTGGCGTTTCGTTGGTGTCACAGGACGTCACACTGACAAACAACGGCAAAGTATCCTTTCTCTTCTTCCAGTGCCGTTCTCTGCTTTACGCACTTTGACTTAGTACATATCTGAGCGCGTTTTACTCTTCCATTATGTCGACATGGACGCCCCAGCTAGCTGGTTTGGCAGAAATTCTCCAAACCATCCACGAGTCCACCGACATGGCCCAGTCGGTGCAACGAAATATCACCCAAGTGAGTTCCACGGACGTCCTCGATAATCTTCTCTAACAGTGTTCAAGAAACTCAATAGCTTTACGCGTGTACCCGACTATATCGCTTACCTTGCTCATATCCTATGCTGGATGCGGGAAGAGGAAGAGCGAATTCGAAGCATCGCTGGCTATCTTCTCAAGAATAACTCGCGCCTTATTCTCTCGTCTTCACCAGAGGTGGCCGCCTACGTCAAGAATGCCGTTCTACAAGCATTCACCGACTCATCAATCATGATACGGAACACTGCTGGGCAAGACGTTGTAGCATTCCTCGGCGTACTGGAACCCAAGAATTGGCCGGAGTGTCTGCAGCAGCTTGTAGGGATGCTGGATATGCCTGATCTTGACAAGCAAGAGGTGAGTGTCCGATTTTCCTAATTCGCCGCTCTCGGGCTACGGCCATGATAATCGGACGGTTCCGATGCTTGGTATCTCAGTTGTCGTACCGGTGCCCCGGCAAATGATTCTAGAGCCTCTGTATCACGTCAAAAGATTCAGTTTTTGAGCCAGTATCACAGTGGCAGAAAATCTGAAACTATCTTGTGCTCACAAGCCTCCATTAACGATCTAGTTTCCGATTTGCGGGTCGTTATTGAAAGCTTGTAATTTCTAACAGGCACTTTTGGATTTTCTGCCACTGTCATTCGCGAGCGAATCAATCTTGTCCATGATTCTGCCTTCTCGAAGATCAGCCAGTGGCAGCGTTGTCGTCAACAGAGAGAGCTTTCGTTTTACCTTGTCTTCTTTCCACTGCAATTACGTTTATCTTTTCTCACCTATGTCTTAGGCTGCTTTCAATGTCCTTGAAAAGGCTTGTGAAGATTACCCCCGAAAAATGGATGTCGAAATAAATGGAGCACGGCCGCTTGACTACATGATTCCCAAATTTCTAATCCTCGCTGATCACCAGTCGTCCAAGATGCGCTCACATGCTGTCGCTTGCCTATCTTACTTTGTCCCTGCCAATTGCCAATCATTGTTCGTCCACCTAGATGCTTTCATAGCGTGTCTCTTCCGCCGCGCCTCGGACGATGACCCTTCAGTTCGACGCCACGTCTGCCAAGCGCTCGTTCTTCTCCTTGCCGCACGGCCCGAACGGTTAATGCCCGAGATGAACAACGTAGCCGAATATATGCTATATTCTACCAAAGACCAGAACGAGAACGTCGCACTGGAGGCATGCGAGTTCTGGCTTACGTTTGCCGAGGACGCTGAACTATCCATCTACCTGCACCCTCTTCTCGGAAAGGTCGCTCCGGTTCTGTTGGATTGTATGATCTATGGCGAAGATGATTTGTTGTGGTTGGACGGTGATGCAGAAGACGAAGCCGTGCCAGATAAGGAGAGCGATATCAAGCCTCGCCACTATGGTAGCAAGTCCCACGGTTTGGAGAGGGATGTTAACGGAGAGCCCCCGAAGGCACGAATAGGCGCATACGGGGAAGAGACTTATGACGACGACGACGACGACTTCGATTACGACGATGAAGACTACGCCGACGACATGTCCACCGAATGGAACTTGCGAAAGTGTGCCGCTGCCGCTCTCGATGTTCTCGCTGTCCGATTTACCGGTGATCTTCTCAATGTTCTCCTGGGTCCATTGAAAGAAAAGCTCTGGAGCAGTGATTGGCTGCAGAGGGAGAGCGGAATTCTCGCTCTGGGAGCAATGGCCGAAGGTGCGCTTCGCTTCCTGATCATCACTATTTCACCTTCTGATACGTACCCAAACAGGCTGCATAGAAGCCATCGAACCTCACTTGCCCACACTAGTGCCGTATCTCATTAACATGCTCAATGATCCAAAGGTAACGCAATTCAATTCTTTCGTGTTCTCGTAAGCTAATAAGTTCTTCTCAGCCTTTGGTTCGATCAATCACCTGCTGGTCGCTCGGGCGCTATGCGAGCTGGACCACCCAACCAATTTCTGAGGAGCATAAGGCTCAGTATTTCATCCCGACTATGGAAGGAGTGAGTGATATTCTGCCTACTATCCTACGTTTCCTCCTAAACAAATACAATTAAAGCTCCTCCGGATGGTCTTGGATAGCAACAAGCGCGTGCAGGAAGCTGGTTGCAGCGCTTTTGCGACCCTCGAAGAAGATGCTGGTCCCGAATTGGCCCCATACCTCGAGCCTGTACTGAGGAACCTCGTCTTTGCGTTCGATAAGTACCAACATAAGAATATGCTCATACTATACGATGCGGTCGGAACTCTTGCCGACGCCGTTGGCCGTGCTCTTTCGGATCCTATGTATGTTGAGATTCTGATGCCACCCCTGACGAACCGGTGGTCGAAGCTCAAGGATGACGACCCTGACCTTATTCCATTACTCGAGGTGCGCTTTGCGTTTTGTCATGTCGTGTGGAATCCTGATGAGTTCATCCAGTGTCTTGCATCAGTCACCATCGCGATGGGCATGTCCTTCCATCCTTATGCTGGTCCTGTCTTCGAGCGGTGCAATAACATCATTCACCATTCACTGCTCCAATACCAAGCCTTCCAACAGAACCCCGAAATGGATGAGCCAGATAAATCATTCCTTGTCGTCGCGCTTGATCTTCTTTCCGGCCTTACGCAAGGGCTCGGCATGTCCTTGGAGGGTCTGATAAACCAGACACAGCCAAATCTGTTGTCGCTGTTGACGGTTTGTTTGAAGCATCCTCAGGCGCCCGTACGACAGTCCGCGTACGCGCTGGTCGGAGATATGGCTATGGGCTGCTTTACCGTCCTCCGACCGCATATGCCCGGCATCATGGGTGAACTGATACTACAACTCGATCCTGAACCCAAGTTTGAATTTATCAGTGCTTCGAACAACGCTGCTTGGTCTGTTGGTGAAGTCGCGCTGCGCTACGGACGGAGTGAGTGTCATCCCGTTACCCCCATTCCGTTATTTTTACTAAACCTGATTATCAGACGACCCTGAATTCCAACAATGGGTGAATCCCCTGATTTCAAGACTGGTTCCGATTTTGCTGCACCCGAAGGCGCCAAGGAGCTTGCACGAAAATGCAGCAGTGTCGATAGGACGAATTGGGTTGATGCACCCGACTCTTGTTGCGCCACACTTGGCTGAGTTTGCGCAAGCGTGGTGTCAGGCATTGTATGAGATCCGAGATAACGAGGAGAAAGATTCGGCGTTCCGAGGGCTTTGCACGATGGTCGAAGTTAATCCTGCAGGAATTGCGAAGGTGATTCTCCCCCTCCCTCTCCCCCGTTGTATTTCCTCTCGTTGATGCTGATTTCTTTGTGACAGAGTCTCTTGTGGTTCTGCAATTCAATAGTGAGATGGAATGCGCCATCACCGGAACTGAATAATATGTTCCAGACGATACTGACGGCGTTCAAGCAGCATGACGCGACAGGGTGGGCTGCCCAAGTTGGTGCGTTCCCACCGATCATCCAAGAACGGCTGGCCACACGCTACGGCGTGTAATACGGAATATACGCACATGTTTCTTCTCTGTCTATGTCCTCGCCTCTTGCCTGTGGATTCCCCTTTTAGTAGCAGTAGTATTTTTTCGTAGTGTAGTCAATATCTTTCGTAGCAGTAGTCATTTCCTCCTCCTCTCGTGTCTTGTCTCCCTCCGTCATCCTCTTCTGGATGTTTGTGCATATAGCCCTCACCCGCTGCATTTTGTCTTTTTTTTGCTTTTTTTTTGCATATCTGTCACTTTTTCTACGTAGCATTAGGTAGTCAGTAGTATAGCTTTCTGAGACCACATCCAAAGGCATCAAATTAAATCATGATCACGAATCCGACCGACAACGTTACAATTAAAAATATGTATCTCAATTTGCTTGCTGTTTTTATATGTAGAAGAAATACATAGATCGAATTTTCCTGGAAAATGAAACGAGTCCCTGCATTATGATACTCATACTTTGGGGGTGCATTAGATTATCCGAACCTCATAAGTTACCAACCTCTCCCGCGGCCGACTACAGACGCTTGCTACTCGAATACATCCCCCCTGCACCGCCGAATCCCACAAACCCGCTCGACCGCCCTCCACTAAAGTTCCCCATCCCCGAATATCTACTTCTCCTGCGGTACTCCTGGTAACCGTAATACCCTCCGGCGCCCACCCCGGCGAACAAGAGCATCTTGAAGAAGAACCACGTCCACGATCCGGCGCTCTTCTTGGAACGTTTCTTGGCGCCCTCCGTGTAGGGGAGATCTCCATGGGAGATTATAGCAGAGTGCGTTGAGACGGTGATGATGCTTTGTGTTAGGTAATAAGTGTTCAGCTGGTATGGGTGAGGGGAGGATGGCGGAAATGACTCACTCATGGTTATCCGATACGTCTCCAGTCATCGCGCTCATCCCGAGGAAGGGTGCGGTGGGTAGCGAGACCCCATCAGCACGGAAGCAGTCTGTCCAATCATCCCCTGCAGCGGGGAGTCAAGATGGATTCGTCACGTCTGTCCAGTGGCCTACTCACAGGCTTTATATTGCAGCTTAACCTAACAGGAAGAAGATCAGTACCCAGGCATTATCAGGTGCCGTGGAAAGGCTGGCACGAGAAATAGAAGGTTTCACCCACATCTAAAACGCTATCCTTGATGTATGTGATCTTGATTTTGGTTGCAACGTTTGTTCGGCGGAAGTTCAACTAGCAGGAGTGAGCGTGAGTTGCACATGGATAGTGAGATACACAAAACGCACGGAACATGCACCGATGCCTTGTTTATCTCCGTCGTTTTGGAAGTCGTAAGAGGTCTTGCCATCGCCAATCATTCCGGTGATGCGAGGGAAGGCATATGGGTGGCGTGAATTAGCGTACGTGTCCAAGAACAATCCGAAACCGGTGAAGCTATCTATAAAAGCATGAGTTTATTTCTTCGGAATAAACGTCCCAAAAAAACCGACCTTTGTTTCCAAACACCGGTCCTGGCTGAGCACGTTCCTTCGTTAGCCAGATGGCCAAACCGTCTCCGAAGAGGTTGTTCGAGTCGCCCGACACCTGAAGAACCACGCATGTTGGCGCTTCCTGCTAGACACAAACGGTCGTGTGCACTTGCCTTGAACTCGATTTCGATGATAAAATTCGCTGTCGTGAGTGGTAGACGGGACCATAGGTATCCCTAAGAAGGATAGAGCATTATTGCTGGTGTCGTCGAAAGGGAGAAAAAAGCAAGCGCACCATCTGTGATGGTCGGTCACGCGTCAGCCGTATGTGTTTGTTGGTATTCTAACGAGGCATCAGCTCGAATGTGCAGCTTGGATATATGGTAACCTTACAATGTAGGCATCGGCGCCAAAGTCCCACCATCTTTGCAAATGAATAGCAAGCCTCTCCGTACAGTTATTTCTGCTCACCTATTCTGCAGGTCTTGGTCTATGTACGGCGCATATATTGAGTGCGTGCGTAACTGCACTGTCTAGCAATCAATTAGTCCACAGAGTCGACGGCAAGGGCGTGACCCACTCACCCGTTCAACCGTCTTGTCTCCGACCTTCATCTTTATCTTCTCCTCGGCGCCTCGTGTCGTTCCAATAAATGAGGAGAAAACGGCAAAGGCAAGGACGACCATGCTACAACGCGACAGCATGTTTTCGAGTGATAGATTGTATACGGGATTTATGACAGTGAGCACAGGGCCCTAAGATACACCTAAAGATGGCCTGCGGGATAGTAACCAGCGTACAGTGTAGAATGCGGAAGGGAACGTGAAAGACTCGTTGTTGTCGTCGGTCGCTATTGACACGTGCTCGAGGGAAAATCGAAAATTATTTATCAATTATTTCTTTCCTTTCACGATGCGGTCGTGACGGTGGGGGTAATGGTATATGAGCCACGCCATTCCACCGAGTCCTGTCACATAATATTAATCCACTCAAAGTATGAACCTTTATAAGACTCGTCTCGTTGCCGAGCCTGAAGGATGAGACTAGAACGTCATTATTAAGGTTCAGTAAGTAAGACAAGTCTTAACTAACTTGTATAAAGGTTAACATGACTGAAACTCACTGTGAGGACTAGCAACTCCCTATCATTCTTCAACTTGGTCATGTTACTATCTATGCTGCAGTCCATCGCAGGGGTCTTTCGAAATAAACAAAAGAGGCCAAAAACAGACCATCTCCCATCTCCCAGCCTCTCTGAAGCTGGTTTGCTCTTTTTCCCTCCGAATGTCAACATGTCATCACGGTTTTGGCCTTTTCACTTTTGGCATTCCCATTACTACAAGGGGATGCTGATGACACATGGGCAGACAGGTGAAGACATCATTATAACCCTGGTGGAATACTACCAGTGTGAAGGGCCCCCTCTACAGCATGAGTTCATGGTCATTCACTTTGCAGATCAACACAACAGGGCTTGTCAGAACTATCTTCTCATGGAACGATGGTCATGGAATGAGACTAAAAAGGCCAAAACACCCACTGTAAACAGGTCGGCTTGTCTTCAATTTCTGTATACTTGTAATACACCCTTTCTCTAGTGTCAGTACCACATGTTCTGAAACAAGCCATGCATCATCTATACAACAACCTGACAATTTCATCATCTCCCTGCGTCGCATGATACATGACATTGACTTACTGGAACCCAGGAAACGTACTCTCCTCGCAACCATGGTCCCTTCCGCTCTCTCTACCTTCTCACTTGGCAACTTGTGTGTTTTGGCTTGTATCGTGAGCAATTTGGATATGTCTCCTTTTTATAATGAAAGCTTCTATTATGGCCGTGTCATCTGGGAGGTTATGAAGCTGTGCATGGGAGCTGATGTTCAGGTTTACACATCTTGGAAAGCACGATTCATGTGGACAAACCCTCTTCAGTGGCCTTCTAAGGAAGTGAACCCAGGCATGAATACTCTCATTCAAGAGTATGGGGCACCAGCTATAAAGAGAAAGTATGATGTTGCCTGGGGGATGTTCACTAAGAGAGTTCAGGAATTCCGACAGGTATTTTCTTTTGCTAGTAGTTGTGATTACAGCGACTGACTTGGACTATGCACATTCAAAGCCACCAGTATCTCGTCCTTTTATTGAAGCAAAGATAGCTGAAGCACGACAACGGAAAGCAGAGGCAGAGCAAAAGGAAGCAGAAGCACAACAGCATGCAGCAGGAGCACATCGGATGGCAGCAGAGGCACGACAACGGACAGCAGAGGCACGACAACGGACAGAGGAGGCATGTCAAAGGACAGCTGAAGCACATCTAAAAAGAGCAGAGTTACAAAAACGGACAGTGGAGTCACGACAAAAGGCAACAGAGGCACGACAAAGGTTAGCAGGGATGCAACAAAGAATAGCGGAGTCACAACAAAGGATAGCGGTGATGCAATACCGGACAGCAGAGATGCGACAGCAGACCATGCAGTTGAATAATGAAGCTGCAGAGGTGCAGAACAAGACAAGAGGCACAACAGCAGGCTGTGCGCCTCAATGAGGAACCTGCTGCTTGCTGAAGTGCGGTGCTTGAACAGGGACCAAGTTTATGCTAGTTAGAGCTTTTCTTTTCTTTGTATCCAGTAACATGTTTGTTATTTTATGTATCTGTTTCCTCATACAATCTATGGATGATACCTACCCTGGATGAAACCAACCTGTGCATCTCGGCTGCAGATCAGAGCCCTGTAATGACAGCCCCAGGAGCGAGTGTGAATGTTATTCTTCTATGATTTTGTACAGTCATAATCATATGGCATGGTATGAACTGTTAAATTGTAGTTATTACTGTCCCCATGTCGAAAACTCGACCACATGTCCAGTGTAGGAAAAGCAGTGCAAGATACAAGCTATCCCCGAAACATGTCTACTATTTCTTAAGTCCTCTATAGAAAAGGAATTGGCCGAAAACTAGCTAGATTACAGAGAGTAGACGAGATCATGGTCGTGTATATACAATATGTATCTATTGTAGGAGTAGGTAGATAGCAAATATATGATACCACCGCACCACCTCCACTCAGACATGATAAGGAATGTGTCACGCAGTCGCATTGTTGAACACCAACAAGTTGGGAGTTCCCACCGGCAAATCTTCGAGCATATCCCCCGTAGCAAGGTCAAGGAGGGCGGTCTTCAGCTGTAGGGGCGACAGGGTGCCGGGATAGCTCGGTATGGGTGCAGTCATAGTTTCAACGAACCGGGGTGAAGGAAGGAACGCGGAAATCCATCGAGGGAGGGCAGAGCGCGCGATGCTGTAGACGGACGAGGAGAAGTGGCTCTGAGATTGGAGGTCAAGGAGAACAAAGTCTGATTGGAGTTCAGGGTCAAAGGTCTTGTGGGGGTAGATTGAAAGGAGGTAAGCCAGAAGGCCAGCAACATGGGGAGAAGCCATGGAAGTGCCGGAAAGGGTAGCAACGGCGTATTCAGAGCCTTTATATATTGACTTGATGTTGAGACCTGACAACGACATCAACAACTAAAAGGTCATGATGAAACGACAGCTTACCAGGAGCGAAGACGTCGACACACTCTCCGTGGTTGGAGAAGTATGCCCTGTCGTCGGAGAGAGTCGAAGCACCGACGGTGACTGCCTTCTCGGCAGATGCGGGTGAATAGCTGCAAGCATCCTTGTTGTCGTTTCCTGACGCAACATTACAGCACCATCCTCATGACAGAACCAAGAGACTTACCGGCAGCCACAGCAAAGTGAAGACCAGCATCGACAGCCTTGTTGACCGCAGCATCCAAAGCAGGCGACTTTCCTCCGCCAAGACTCATATTAGCGACTGAACCCTTGTGAGCGGTCTTGCCAGTTGCCTGATATTCAGCTTTGGCGGCATCGGCCTTCTTCTTAGCTTCAGTGGCTGCCCATGAAACACCACCGACAACATCAGCCATGGACCCACTACCATTCGAACCCAAGACCTTGACGGCGATGACGTTGGCTTTCTTGGCAACGCCATACGTAGTTCCAGCAACGGTACCCGCGCAGTGAGAACCATGACCGTTACCATCCTCGTCGACATCATTCGTGGGGACAGTCTTACCCCACGTAGCACGGCCTTTGAGTTCAATGTGATTAATGTTGATACCAGTGTCGATGATGTAGACGTCGACGCCATCACCGCCATCAGCATCATATTCGTATCTCGTGAAGGTACCGAAAGTGAGCTTCGGGCGGTGACTGATACGAGCGAGACCCTAAGGACAAGCAAGAAGATGAATGCTGGCACAAGACTAGGAAGTAACTATGACTCACCCAAGGTGCGCCCCTCTGAACAGCGGAGACATCGACTGTTTCGATCTCCATCGTCCTTACTATCTGGTCCTTCTCGATGAATTCAACTTCAGGTGCCGTCCGCAGTTGTTCAATGACATTCTGCGAGAATTTCCCTGCGTATCCCTTGATATGGCCGTCGTACACTTGTTGAATGCCAGAGAACTGGGAAACGAGAGGGTCTGATTCGTGGGTCATCTGGAGGAAGTTGAGGTGACTCTCCATCATCGACGAGTCGGTGTTATCCTTGAGCATGACAATGTACGAGTCATTGATAGATCCGTGGACATGAAACTCGTCAATGAGTGGGGCAAGACTTAGCGGGGAGCGAGAGGAAGGAGGATGCTGGGAAAAAGTAGAGAGCGGTGATGCGTATACTGTCGCAGCCAAGGACAGTGCATAGAAGGAGGAACAGATGATGGAGGTCATGGTTGGTATGAGAGATATCTCTTCCCCCAATCCGGCTGATAACGCGGCCTTGTTTACCTTTGTTTGCCAAAGGCCATCCGGAAACCTTGCGCTTTCGCGTTCGTTCTTAGGTAACCGCGGGGGAACTAGTGAAGCTGATATTTCCTGTTTCTGCGTTCTCGGTGACACATGGCATCCACAAACATGATCCGGTATCTAAACTATGTCTTCTATCGGTATATCTAATAACTTGCAACCGTATCTTTTGCTCACAAGTACAGAATAGTACTTGGTTCACCGCCCGAGGAGGACAGATTGGGTTCTCTATGGGTAAGAAAGGAATGACGATCAATTTGGGACATGTCCATCATACACACTCGTGCTTCTTTTACTTGGCGTCGGGGCTTCAAGTTATCTAGCATTGAACACAATTATTCTTGCGTAGAGCCCTTTACTCTCCGAAATCTATCTATTCTATTCTCCCGTTTAACCCATTCTAGCGGAATGTTTACTCGTTCTGTATGAATTTCTTTGCTCGCACAATGTGATCCTTGCATTACCATTCCAGAGTCTGATAAGAGCAACGTCCTTTTCTTTTACATTGATAGCCCGTCTAATTCACGGCATCTCGCACAGACTCTAAAAACTCTGATAGCCCCACAGCCGTAACCCAAAGCGGAAGGTTCGAATCGTTCGATTGGCCCATGGGCGGTGATTACCCATTTTAGACTTGACTTATCACCATAACTTAAACGTCTCATAGGTCTAGGTCTGAATTCGTAATTTGTTGGGTCCACTTCTTTTACCATAATTCTTTCTAAGCCGTGGCTTTGTTAATCCAAAACGACGCGTCTTTTCCCGGAAGACGATGCCTAGGGCTATGATGCGGCTCATCTGCTGGAAAGGCTTACTAGCTTGGCAATGAATATGCTAAATGAGGCTGCGATAGACAATAGAGATCTATGGCGGCAACTTGAGGAGCTCCTGTCATGATGCATAGACGACAACGATGACTCGGACATCCATTGAATAAAGGTACTGAACCTGTTCGTTACTGGTGACATATTTCATTCACCGCTTTTCAGGAATGCATGGTTGAATTCTGAAGAGATGTAGCAATTGGCTGTCACTTCTCTTAGACATGGCATCGGGTTACCATCGACATACCTCTCGTTCCGACATGAATCTCGCCTTTTTTCTCATTGTAAAGGTTGCCCAACGTGTTGTAGACATACCTTCAGTCCCTAAGCCTTCAGACCATGCTCATATTTTCGTGTTTTCTCACCTCCTGGGAATGACAATCCAGGATGCTAACTGTCTTTGCACCAGGACGATATCATGCATAAATGTGCGTGATGAACAGAAAACAGCCTTTGTTGACGACGAGAGGTGCCAAAAACGCTTATCTATTAGCGATAACATGTCTCATACAACGCCTCTAAGGAAACTCCTACAACTGGAGGCAAGGCAAGCCGCTGCCGAACCAGATATGCCTTCGCGTTCAGTCTCCGATCTCCATAACCTTGGGCATGCTGCACAGCTCCCCCTCCCCCTCCCCCTCGATAGCAAGAGTGCCAATTCCAAGCCAAACAATAATATTCGCTCTCCGCTTCTCTGCACATGGCCATCTCGCTGCTACCGCGTGTCCCCAAAAGTTACCCTTCGGAATGAGGTCCCCATTCAGTTGTCCGTACCCCCACTGGCAGCCCCACTTCCCTGAAATATTGTCTTTATATATGTGGTTCTCCCTCTTACGCCCTCCCCTTATTAACCGGTCTTACGTTCCATGCCGACACTTTTCCTTGCTTGATACGTGGCATAGTCCCTCGAAAGAGATTCAGGTCGAGGATCCCGTCTCATGGATGTTTACGCAGCGAAGGACATCCCGTTTATCGTCTATCGATTCAAAACCGCATATCGGTTCCGACCTATGACTGGGCTGGTGGGTGCAGTATGCATTACGTAGTCTACCTTTGGGAACAAACACGCTCGGATAAATGAATAATCCGAACATTGCCCTAGCCCGCTGTTTTGAGCATGGCTGTCGTCGGGTCGGTGCAACTATCCCAGACAAATGCAGATACGTCCTAGTTATCTTCAAGTAGAGGGTCTTCAACGCACTGTGACAGTATGCGATGTCCCGAAACATATTTCTCCTCTGATGAGCGAATAGCTATGCATCTCCATACGAAGGCTCTAGAGCGGAACGGGCCAGAAATCCACCCATCTGTTGTTTCGAAAGTCTGCTCAAGCTGATACCGGAAATGTCCACGTGAATTAAGCTGGAACCACCTGGGATGGATACCGAGTGCATTTTCGAACTAGGAGATCCGGAAGGAGACAATCCGGGAGAAGGCGAAAGGGATACCGCACCCATGAGTCAGAGTACTGGCGCGTTGATGATTCACGGGGTATTGTTCTATGCGAAACCGGCACTACGCGCAGGAAAGAAGGGAAAGCGAGCGTAGTTCTCCCATGTCATGGGCCCGTCACCAATCTCCTGAAATCCCCCCTGGTTAAAGTCATGTGTCAGTCCGAGACTCAGAATCTGAACGGATACTTCCGACGGGCATGATCTACGAACCGTTGCACAAAGCGAGACGGAAAGTGTTTGTCTCTGATGCGAATCCCTCGGGTCACCTTCATGCTTCTTCGCGCCCGCTCCTTGACTGATGATTGCTCCATATTGATATTCTTTTTTCTCGCAAACATTGCATCCATCCTCCTAGCTTTGTTCCCGAGAAATGCTACAACCTAAGCCACATATATCGAAACATATTAATATCGTTTCCTTTTTGTTCCTTCATACGTTCCACTTATCATCTTTATCGTTCATCAAGGATATGTGACTACACTCTTCATCGGATCAAATGGAAGACGACCTTTGCTTGCGCTGGTAATATATTGGTCTCTTTACCCTGAGAGCGTTGGTTTGGGACGATATCTTAAATGTCAGCACTACTGCGATTCTCCGCATCGCTCTATCCGACTATTTAGTTATGTCATCTCTTCACTCTATTAAAGACGGGAACAAACGAAACAGCCAATCAATCTGCTTCACGTGCATGATGATACAAATGATACGCGGTACGATGACTGGTTTTCAGTCACTGGACGTCACTTTTCTTAATTGTAACAGCAGGCCTGCCCCATTTCTTTTCTTCCAGTGACAGACCTATCATCCTGAGAAATCTCAAACACGGCGCCCGAGATCGACAGGGAGGACAAGTCGGAACTCTTACGGGATTTACTTATTCAGAGTTTTTGAGATCGGTTGGTACCCGGTGGAGTATTTGGAAGTAGAGTCAAGTTCGGGTTTCTTTCCAACCTAGACCGAACTCAATACGGCAGGAGCTTCAATCGCTACGAGTCACAAGCAAGGTGCAATCCGGGGTACATTACTCGACGTTCTCGTTTAAAGGTCCCGAAGGCACGGCAGCCGCCGCCGGCATACCATCGATGGTCGTCGGATCTGACGCCGTACCACTAGAATTACAATCCCCATTCTTGGGACTTCGGCTTAGGATGGACAGGGAGCCGCACTACATACTCCTCATAATTCTCGAACGACTTTCCTTGGAATGGGAACGTTGGTTGTCATTTATTAGCTGTCATTTCGTTGGCTGACGATCTTGAACAGAGATTTCGGCAGCGTTCTCCCAGCACGAACTACCAGATCCTCTTCTATACTCTGAAATCGATAACGGCCCATTGTCAGTTATAATACTACCTCTGTCTACTCTTCCATGTTTCAGAGAGCTGTCGAATAACCTCAGCTCGCTTATCGGCTCTGATCTCGTTACTTGCCGGCTATACAAACGTTACGGTGAATCCATCCCAATCCAGATGCCTCACTCTAATCATAACCATTATCTCGTCATGAACGCGATGACCCCCTCCGCTAATTCCGAAAACCAATTCAACGATTGGTATACAAAAGAGCACATTCCCCTTCTTAGTAAGGTTCCCTCATGGTTGTCCTCTCGGAGATTTATTCTTGTGGAGACGACGGAGGAGCTGGGAGCCCCCGAGTATCTCGCTCTGCATGAATGGGCGGATCTAGCTGCGTTTGAGAGTAAAGAGTTCCTAGATGCGACGAATACGACCTGGAGAACAGAGGTATTATCTCAGGTCGTACGGAAGGAACGCTGGGTGATGGAGTTCAACAAGGGTCTGGATTCTGGAAAATTCCGAGGACGTTACACAGTGATGTAGAGCATGATGACAGGTGAAGTGAGAGCCCGCTGTCCCTTACATTTCTTTCTCACGTGTAGGACATATTCCCAGATTTTTCATGTTTCCGAAAGCTTCTCTTTAGGCTATCACCGATGCAAACAGCATGAGAATTTGGGTTTTATATCACTGAGTTTCCTCGCTTCTCAGTCTGCAGGATTTTCTACCAGGCATCTATCTCTGTGTGGCCATTTCTCAGTAAGACTATCCGCATTACCATGTATCTTTCTCATTCTGGGCGGTCTAGTACTTCTACACCTCTGTGTCTCACGGGCTGAATCGTGGGGCTTTGTTGGCCATGCCATAACACTAAACGATGATACTTGTGCTGTCACTTCTTCCAATGGAACACGTTTCCAACCACGTATCTGTTGCTACTGAATTACAGGATGGTTATTTTCCGTCACCACATGCAATGGTCTCGAGGCGGCGCGCTAGTCAATAGTTCGAACAAAATCGGTGCATTGCGGGATGACGTTGAACAAAGATAGCTTCATATAAGATTGGAGAGGAACGATTACGAACATGATCCAGCAGTTCTCCAACACGCTTCGAGCCTGAGAGCGAGAACACATCAAGTACATAGGCAAGGTTCCCCTCCTCGTTCAACCCGAGCTCGCATTCTGATCTCGCCGGAATGACCTAACAATTTAAAGTTGAATACGGGAATCTCCATGGGAAAATCAATCATAGAGCTATTTTGTCTTTCGGCGCTTGCTCTCATTTTATAGGTCATCAAGGCAGATGCGCCCTTGATGGAGGATCATTCCACACCGCTATCGAGTATCGACACGATCCGAAGCGAGGTAATACCTCTGCCAGGACAGGTTTTTTCTGTGAATGAGAAAGTCGCGACTCCGGAGATGAAACAGATTAAACAATTTATATGTGAGTCTTAAGGCGGTGGGAAGTCGCTGGTGCATAATGATACCGACACTGATGAATATCTGAAATAGATGATTCTCGACATACCTTTCCCGCTGCGTACGCGATGGAATCCGGAGTTTCGTATGGGTATCTCAGATACGTGCGCGTAAGATCGCGTGGCAATTCTGCCTCGAAGGAAATCCAGTCTTGGCGGGGAATTTATTCGGGGTCGTTGCATTCCGGGACGCTCGTTGTAACAGGTATTACACATCCTTCAGTCCTGAGATACGAGCGCGGGAACTAAGGGGTATGTTTATTTTAGATAGAACCAGCTTCCGGGATAGATACCATAGAAAAAGATGGCCTGTTTCGACTAATGAGATAGTTCTAAATAAATAAATCGGGCTTTCTAAAGGAGATATAGCGAGTGGTCGTAAATTTACGCATAGCCGGCTGTTAATATGAATTTAAACGCTTGCGGCTTCCAATACAATACTGTACGATCCAACGTCGCAGTTGCTCACCTTTACTGGGAAATTGGGAGGACTGTGATCCGTTTAATCACAGCATACAGTAATCGGGAACTGGCGACGTCCACAATGATTGCGTGGGGGCACAGCGACTGAAGTAGGTAGCATAGGTTCAGTCTCTATTGGACTAAGTCAGTACTGAGGTCACTGCTTCGAGCATTAGAATCACGGCATCCTGAGAGGCTAGTATTCTAGACTTTCTGGTGGATCCACTGGAGCCGGGCTGACAATGCGAGCCCTCAAAGAAGATTTGGCAGGCACGCCACAGCCTTAATGCCCCCAGGATTCACGGTTGGGTTGTTTATCCGGATTAAGTAGAAGCGTAAGGGTTGCATGGGATCGGACCTATGGTTTTACGACAAGGTTCCGGAACGATTCCATGACACGGGATAGTTGAACACCAGACTAGTGGCGCGAAGAGGTTGTGAGCCTCAAGCTGTATCGCCCTCAAGGACGGACGCAGCTACAACTTGCCATCTCTGGTGGTAGAAAACCTGTGTAATATGTTCCTCCGATCTTTCAGGAGATGCCCGGTAAACAGCGTGCAGTTCTTAATAATCCTGTGTATAAGATGTAGACTTCGAATCAAAGTCCAAAGGTCGGCCTCGGCGGAGAGCAACAGAAAAGTGCAAGGGCGTCTAAGTAATTAACTGCAAGTTAGACGTATGTTAGACGCCGAAAGAAAAGAGGGTCTAGGCATGACATTTCTGATCGGAGGATCACGATGCGATGCGCCGAAAGCCACAGGTACATAGTAACTGTCCTGAGGAAGCGTAGAGACCACACGAGCAGCCATCCGTAATTAGTTCACAATGCGGCTTTTATCGACTTGAATGCAAACAAAGTCCACGTTGACCGAATATTCCGTGATAAATACGAGCTTCTGGGGCAAACGAAACTAGAGACGAGATTCTGGTTTTGTCACCACCCATACAACATCAAAATCGAGGTGTCTGCATCAACTGAGATTGAAGTGTTTTCAGACAAGAGACAATACCAATGTTTCGAGACACCTTTATCTGATTATCCGAGGTCGTCGCCAGCGCCGAGTTGTTTTGTGCACAGGTAACTGGCGTCTCCCGTAGGCATTAGGCGCCAAGAACCGGTGCATAAGGTGACAAAGTCCTACCTCCAAATAATATGTGTTTTCCTCAATCAAACGTCGATAACGGTCGCAGGGAGAGAGAAGATAGAAACCAGAGGGGAATTGAAAATGAGCGTGGGAATATGAGACCTGATATGGGTCTGGAAGCCGGACGCGAAGATTGACGATTTTTGGTTGCTGTTCATCGTCCTGTGCTTTGGCTGGGAGCTCTTCGAAATTCAAATATTCACGTCTAGTGCCTCCTGCTTACCAACCTACTACTCTGAGGATATTTCTAATTTGTGCATCCTTCCTTGAGGCAGGAACAGCATTTGTCTCCCGGTGAATCGAGCATCGCAATTTCACGAAGTACGGGGCAATAGATCCTGTCTAATTGAAGCTTCCCTCGTTTCGGCTATCTTGACGCATTTGAAGCCAAACCACGAATGAGTCGGCTGCTCTGTGCTTGCTTTGATCACAATCACGTTTCAGTATGGGATTCACAGCCGCGGCTCTCTGTGGTTTCCTGGAGACACATGTGCCATTCATCCTGCAAGAGGAAATCCTGAGATACATTAGGACCTCGATCTGATGATGCCAGGACGGTCGCAGCTTACGGGGATAGATACGTCACAAATCTGGGAGGCCTCGCCTAAGGTGAAGGTGAATCTGTGTGGGAGGAAGATCAACAGCTTCCGTTTACAGCATCTGCAATTGTATATAAGCTAGTACCTGCAATAGTTAACATTCCAGGAAACCTACAAGCTACTGTCCTTCATCTCGTCTACCCATGCCTTCCGTCGCCCAAAAAGTCTCCACCAAGTCCTATCTGTCTGCGACTGAGCTGCTTCACGACGTGCAGAGTGCTTTTGAGAGCAACGAGGCCAACTTCAATGTCATATACCCTCACGCGTTGAAGTGTCGGGCCGCCGAGCAGGCGGGCCAGGCTCCCAAACCAGGCCAGGTGTGGATCGTCTGCTTCTCCTACGACCCCGAACCCTGCGCACTGTTCATCCTCTCATGCACGACCACCGAAATGGGTAAATATCCCATCTTCATCACTACCACCTGCCCCACAGAGCGCCTTAGCCCCAACTCCATTCATCACCCAGTTTCCCTCCTCGCCAAAGAACTCTATAGAGCCGTCCCTGTTCCCAGGGTCTATTCAGTATTCGCACCCGACGCGATCGCCCAGCATTTCGCACGGCTGTGGACCGGCCTCACGGGCGTCGGTCACATACCGAATCCTTACTATGCTGCAAAATTATCTTTCTGTACAACGGGGACATTCAGATACAGACGGGAGACAGTGGTTCAGGGAGTCACATATGAACTGTGCCCAGCGGTGGCCAGCGACATTGAGAAGATCGCTCAATTATGCTATGGCTTCGCAAGTGAATCGGTAAGCACGTCCGGCTTTTTGCTTTGCTACGCGCGGTGCTGATCACATCATACCTACTCGCAGGATCCTTTCTTTCTCGATCACGCCGGAGCTCTGAGAGAAGCCACTCTCCTCGTCGGTCAAAATAAAGTTTGGGTGCATCGCATCAGGAGGCAGGGAGAAGACCGCAGTGCCATCGCATCCATCGTTGCCTTCACGCGTAACAGCGGCAAAGTTGCGACAATAACAAAGGTGTATACCAATCCCGATTACCGCCGTGCAGGTTGCGCCGAACGACTTGTTAGGCGAGTTTGCAAATAGTGGGTCATCATTCATTCTCCTTGACTTCCGTTGCGACTGACCGTGCTTACATAGTTTGTTCATGACCAAAGAAAAAGTAGCCTTGTACGTTGCTCACAACAACCCGGCAGCGTCTAAGGTGTATCACCGCGTCGGCTTTGCCGGGCTGGGCGGTGATGGTGTTCCTGTCAATGGTGTAGATGCCTGGACTGAAATAGGGTTTGACCGCGATGTGATTGACCTTGGACATTGGTAACGGATCGTAAAAAGAGACCGCCGATACTGAAAGGCAAGGGGGTTGCCAGTACGTTGACAGAGTGACGTGTAATATATCTAGAATTTACGAGATAATGCAACTGACGCACCACAGAAATACACTAGTCCTTCATCCATTTATTCATGACATCCTAAGTGTCAGAATTTCCCGGAACAAAGTAACTTTAAATTCTTCAGGTCGGCCCGGCCTTCCGGACGCTTTGATATGTCACTCGTGACAGTGTGACGCCAATCTGCTCTAATCTACTTTGAAACATTGAAACAGCCTCTGCGCCCAGTATGCTCCCTATCTTGGATATCATCCATCGCGGCGTAGTTTATTCGTTGGTTGGGCTAACGATATACGCTGGAGTTGGGATCATAAGCACTCATAACAACACAATGAGAGCTGGTAGAGGTACGCTTCCGGTTTTACTTTGTAACCATACAAATACTGACGAACTGATGGTCCTGTTTCAGAGGTCAATCAATCTTTACTTTCCAAGTAAGAATCCCCCCTGATGTTCTTTTCTCTGACAGGCCTTAGCACGACACGAAGAAGAAATGAAGAAACAGGTTAGTTACTACAGCATCCGTGTTGCCAAGTCATTATCATTTTTTCTTAATGAATTTATTTATTTGTGAACAGCAGGCAGAGGCGCAGTCGATCCATGAACCGTGAAAATAGGCCTAGCTGTTCTCGGTATGTTTCAGCTCCGGCAATTTAACCATTTACTTACCTCCACGAAACCGCCCTTAGCTCTACACCTATCGGGCTATGTATGTTCCACACCCCGATACACGGGACGAACCTAGGATCCGTCGTTTCGATGTGCTTGTTACATATGACTAACGTGTCGAGCGAAAATGAATTCATATCGACTGTCGATCAATCCCCTGAAGTGATGGAGAATGTCCAGTCGGTGCGGTTGCAAATCATCATGGGTCTAAGTATTTGTAGGTCTACTAACTTCGCCCGAAAGATTGCAGAGCGAAAGTACTCTGTTCACCTAGAAAGGACTACTTGCCGCTGTGACCACTACTATGATACTATGTGTACAAACCTACAGCGGCGACGTACAACAGTTATGTGAGAGGGATGCTATGCCAAATATACATACAATGCGAGAATAAATACTGTAATAGACAACAAGTTCTGTCGGGTATAACTGACTGAATAGACAGACATGCCAGGAACCAACACTGGCCATTTTTTTTTCCGAAGGTAAAGAAGCCTTCACATCGCCTGAGACCAACTAATAAGCAGAAGGTGCTCTATATTCAAAGCCAGGAAAAGCATATCCAAAAGGGTCAAGGGCAGCTTGTCCATAGGTCAACGACGCGTTATCTTCAGGGTAGCATTCAAAACTAGGGCAAGGCAAGTCAACAGCCAAAACTTGCGCGTAAAATATCGACAACGTACGCGCTAGCATCACCTTCACCAGTGATTTGGGGCATATAAGGTGCAGTGAACTCCCTCTTTGTCATTTTATCCCAATCGACTTCGGCAAACCAGCTGTGCGCGAAAATGTCCTGGGCACCACGGTGCAAATTTCCGTATCGCTTGGTCGGCTCAACGTCCATCAGGTGAATGATGAGGTCCTTGGCACGCTCGCCGAAGCCGGCAGGCCACTGAATGTGAAGGGGACCACGGCTAATCCTTTCATACAAAAGAATAGTGTTGTTGTCGGGTTGATGATACGGAGGAAGACCGTAAAGCATCTCGAAGATGAGTACACCAAGGGCATACCAGTCGACACCTTTGCCGTAACGACCTTGGAGTAGAATCTTGATAGATGATAAGTATTTTCTCACGTACAGTGAACCGAAGACGACTTTACCTCGGGGGCTATGTAATCTGGGGTGCCGCATAATGTATAAGTGTGTCTACATGATTTAGCAAACCCGAAATCGGTAATTTTGATATGACCATCGTGGTTTAAAAGGATATTCTCGGGTTTGAGGTCGCGATAGATGATGCCGTGCGTATGAAGATAGTTCAAGGCAAGTGCGACTTCAGCCGCATAAAACTTGGCGACAGGGTCGGGAAATCGCTGCATATCGGTGAGAAACATCGGTAACTATCCGTAAGGCAACGTACATTTGATCGCCGTAACAACGTGAAGAGCTCGCCGCCGGGAACAAAGTCCATGACCATGTACAAGTTGGCACAATCCTGGAAAGCGCCCCAGATATTGACGATGAAGGGGTGTTGGACCAATTCGAGAATACCATGCTCATTATTCGTGTGTTCAACTTGCTTTAGCTTGACTATTCGTGCCTTGTTCAGGACTTTGATGGCGTAGAAGCGAAGATTATGTTTGCTTCGCACTGATGATAGCATTAGGAAATGATAACGATAAGATGGGCAATGATAAAAACGTACCAAGGTGCACTCGTCCGAAACTGCCTGTCCCGAGAGTTCGTTGTATTATAAAGTCTTCTAGCCGGTAAGAGCCCTTCTGTCGAGGTGTAGGGTCATAGTACGGGTACAATTCAGTCTCAGGGATATCGAAGCTGTCTCTATGCTCCAGCTTACTCAGTTCGCTCATCGAGGTCCGTGTCGTCGTTTGGGAAGGTCGCCTAGTATCAAAATACGTGGGCACCGACGACGACGCCAATGAGGAGGGCGACGACGGCGGAGGCATGGGCGGCAGATCCTTGTGGAAGTGCGACCCAAGCTTGTCCGTCATTCGCTTGAGCATGGGGGAAAGACAAGGGTAATGGAGGAAGGGAGGAAGAGAGAACGAAATATAAGGGACTTCCGTCCAAGGCTATCAGGTCATTGTTCTAGGGACAAATGTGAACAAATATCCGAGATTGGATCGTTGTTAATGCCATATCGGTCCGAATGTCCGGCCTCGTTATTGTTGCCGTCAACTCTTCGCTTCGTACCAACGACATTCACCGTCATGAGTCCTCCTTTGTTCTCCGAGCAGCTTCGTGATACTGCGGCTGAAATATGGGAAGTATAAACACGGATATGATTTTGATGACAGCCCGTCGAACACAGAAAACTAGGACTAGCTGGCTGCGAAGATCTATGGAAAGAAAAAGGTTGGCGATTCACCATTATCGCGATATGCGTATAACCTACGATACTGAAAGTTTCAATAAGTAACGTTCCGCACCCAGTTTTAGGACAAAAGACCCACTGTCTACACCGGGGATAGCCTTACTTTGCGGTGCGGCGAAGTTTACTTTGTTAAACGAAATCGGAAGGCTTTCTTCTGCGGTGCCATGCGACTGGGCAGTCAAGTTATTTCCGCCCGATTGACCGGCCTGGTACATGATCTTTAACGTAGGAGAACAGAAAAGATATCTGTGCGCTCCGCGATAGATACGTATATTTTGCATTTTCAATGGTCCCTAACATGTATGTGATTCTTAATTTCCCGATGACCCATCTCATATTCACCCCTTATCAGTAGACTAAGTACTTGTAACATCCGATCAGACCTTGGCTACTGGGAGTTCACGCGTAAGGGTTTTCTCAACTATTCCGTTCATTCCCCCACAACATCTTCCGGGCAGGTATACTCACCAACAATCTACTCTGTGTACTTGTGTTCTTCGTATTGTTTGGGTTGGATGCGCTCAATGATCTTGCTAACCCTCTCATACACGGCAAACACTATCGCCTGACCAGGAGCAACACGCAAGATACGCGGCGTAATACCCTTGTAGAACGATCTCACACCCTCAGTTCTCCACATATCCTCAGCAATGATAACGATACGGCGGAATGCTGACTGACTGGGGATGGCGGTGCTTTTTTGGAGACCTTTCAACCAAAAGAATTATGCGGAGGTATGTCATCAAAAGAGATGGGAACATACGAGTTTTAATAGTGTCTATAGGTGCGTTCGACATTGGTCCAGCAGCGCCAGAAATAAGACCGATAAACATGTGTTGCCATGATGGCAAGTCGGGAAGATCAGGCTGGTACCTTTGGAATGCCTTCTTCAACTCCTGGTATACCGTAAAGTTCGCTCCCTGGTTCGTCGCCTGCCTCAGTGCAGTGAGCGACACGCCACGGTACAGCGTCGACACTCCCTCCTCTTTCACAATCTTATACACCGCGTGCGCGGCGTTCCGATACCGCGGTACCTCTAGCGGATCAGCCAAGGAGTGTTGCTGTGCCTGCAGCCGAATCTTCACCACTTCCATAGGCGTTACGACAGCAATGGCTTCTGTCGTTCCTGCACCAAGACCAGCTGTGGAGCAGATTAACCATCAACCGACGGCTTGTGGAGAATTTGAATGGCCAACGCACCAATGAAAATATTCCCGAGGCTAGTCTTCCCCGTCTCCTTGTCCGCCAACCAGCCTTTGTAGGCTTCGAAACTGGCGAAACGGATCGCCATCTTGGGGACGATGCCAGAGAGGACGGCTCCGAGACCCTTGTATAGGGCCAGAGGCGTTTCCCGCCGTACGATGTTTGCACCGGTGGCGAAGAATCCCCTCGGTTTTGTCTTAAAAATTCCATTCAGGCGTTTCGTTAAGCAGGAGATGGAGGCCACAAGCTCACCCCTGGTGCGCGTCCCGACTTGGACAACTGCATTCGCACCTTGATGGTATCCAGGGGCTGGCATGTCAGCTGGGGGGCGAGTTCATTAGTACAAGCATTGTTGATGATCCACCCCGTACGCACCGCTTCACAGGCACCGGCTATCCCACCTGCAGTGATATGAGTTGCAAAGCCTACAGGTTTCTTGTTACCGGAACGTGACATGGTGGAATGCAGTTAAGGTCGTTGTGGCTGAGGGGGAGGGGGGGAGGAGGACAAGCAAAACGTGGAACTCGTCTTCAGAAAGCAAGCAATGTTAAATAGGAGCGATTCTAACTCTTACCCGCTTAACATGTGATGGATCGAGACCCTGAAAATTGGCCCCTTTCAAATTTTCTTACCTTCGTCAAATTGGTCCCGCACGGCGGGAAAGGACTCTGGTCGACCTCGATACTTGGACCTGCCTTTGGACACTTCTTTGGGAGTTGAATATACGTCTAGAGGCATAGATTCTGGGGTGCTTTGACAAGCTTTTGAGGGCGATTGCGACGGAAGTTTATCATATTCACGTTGCGGGGTCCGGGGAAGAACCCCACCTCCGGCACATCCCCCTGCCGCCTTGCCGACAAGTGCCGACCACCGACATCCCCTCCCGCCCTCCTCGCTCTTGGAGTAAGTGTTGGGATAGCAATCCCGAGCGAGTACGAGAACGTACTCGAAGATACGATGCCAGTCAGCGGCAGCTGACTTGGATCGTGATCCGGACTTAT